AGGCCCATATGGTGACGTCGAGTTGGTGGGAAATCCGTATGGAGGAGGCAATGATGTTGTTACAACACCAATCGCGGAGCTGGTTTCTGAAGTTAAGCTTCCAGTTCCGGTTGGTCCGTAGGAGAGTGTCGAGTTGGATGGTACTCCGTAAGGAGCGGATGAAGACGACGTGACAATACCAATAGCAGAGCTGGTTGATGAATCATAGCTACCTGTACCTGTTGGTCCATATACTGAGGTTGAGTTGGTTGGGATTGCGTAAGGAGGGGGTAGCGAAGTAGTCACAACGCCAACCGCGGAGCTGGTTTCCGAAGGAAAGCTTCCTGTTCCAGAGGGGGTGAAGGAAGGAAATCCTCCTGAGATTGCCGAGGTCGAGGGCCCAGTGGAATTGTTTGTGGGAAAGGGTGGTGTCGAGGAGTCGGTTGAAGAAACGATACCACCGGAAACAGAAGACTCGGAGATGCCTGTGCTGAGAGGCGGTAGGATCACTGTGAGTGACGAAGTCAGGAAAGGGATGGTACCTGTTGAGGGCGGTGTGTATTCGTTAGTGGAATTGTTTGTCGGAAACGGTGGTACCGAGGAGTCGGTTGAGGAGACAATACCGCCGGAAATAGTAGAATCAGAAATACCGGTGGACAGAGGCACTGATGTGTAAGGGCCGGTTCCAGTGGGGAAGATCGAATTTCCTGTTCCGGCTGTTGGTCCGTTGGAGGAGGTGGTATTTGGGTACTGATAAGGACCACCTGAAGATGACACTGGTGTTGGGATGGATCCGCTGACACTTGAGGTAAACTCTCCATCGGCTGTTGAAGTATCCGTATACAAGACGGATGAGCTTGAAGATGTCGGAAGCGAGTAACCCGTGCTGATGGGTGCAGTGTACAAGGGTGCGGTAGGACCAGTAAGTGAACTCGAGCTTCCGTTGTAGTACGGGGCCGTAGCAGGAGCGGAGGAAACGCTCACGCTCATTGAAGGGCTTGAAGTTGCAACACCTCCAGTCAGACTGCTTGAAACCTCATTAGTCACTGGGAAGGATGTCCCAGTTGGCCCCGTAGGCCCAGCAGAGACCGAGGAGTTGCTGTATCCATACGGGGCCGTACCAGAAACCGACGAGCCGCTAGGGCTGAGCGAAGGAACTGAGGTTGGGATTCCACCTGTGAGGGTACTGGAAAATTCGCTTGAATAGGCAGTTCCAGTAGGCCCAACGAATGTTGAGGTATTAGTGGTATAATATGGAGCCGTTGGAGGGATGTACGAGCTACTCGGGCTGAGCGAAGGGGTCGTAGTCGCGATACCGCCATTCAGGCTGCTGGAGACATCGGTTGATGTGTTTGTGTACACGCCGGATGAGCTCGACGAAGACGGCAGAAACCCAGAAGAGCCGCCTCCATAGTATGGGATCGATGTAGTGACGGGAACCGAATCTGTCGAGCTCGCAGTGCCTTCTGTCAGGGTGCTCGAGACATCAGGTGTCGACGTGTTGGTATAGGGAGCCGAGCTCGACGCAGACGGAATGATTCCAGAGGATCCTGTACCTACCGGAATAGAAGTAATGACTATGGGTGATGCGGTTGAAGTGGCGGTTCCTTCTGTGAAGGTGCTCGATACATCAGGTATTGAGGTGTTGGTGTAGAGAGCCGAGCTCGATGCCGATGGAACAATCCCCGATGACGCCGTACCCAAGGGGGCGGTGGTAATCACGGTGACGCTCTGAGTGGTCTGAATTGTCACCTGGGTGGTGCTCTCTTCTTCACTCGTCGTGGATGAGCTCTCGACAGAACTGACAGACGAGGTTGAAGGAGGGCTGTAGCTTGACGCAGGAGATGATGTGGCCTGAGTGCTGCTGGAGCCCGATATGAGCGAGCCTTCTGCTGTTGATGATGCACTTGCCAACGAGGAGATAGGCGATGTAGGCACAGATGAGGTTGAGGGCGACCCCCCAAGGCAAGAGCAGGCAGACGAAACAGCAGATGGACTATCCTTGCACTTGGCGGCGACAAACGCCGGAAGGCCAGTTGTAGCCGTGTTGATGGTCTGGGTATATGTGGCACAGAACGGCCCTACGAGGGACGATGACTTGACGAATGCACGGAGGCAATTGTTCCTGTTACACTTCAGGGGCTTGGCCGTGGTGGAAGGAGCCGACGGGATCGTTGGCAAGGAGGCCGATGAACTTGAAGTGGCCGGGTCGCTGACCGTGGAGAGGGTTTTGCCAGAGCTGATCGAGGTTGGCGAGGATGACCCAGTGCTCAAGATTGGAGGCGAATACAAGCTGGGGGATGAAGTCGCACTGTTGAACAGTCCGTCCGCAGTCGAGGTCTCGGAGACGGGAGCTGATAGATAGACAGTAAGTCACCTGCCGACCTCAAGCAATCAGATCTCGCTTACCAGTGTACGACTTGGCGGAAGTCACTTCACCAGAATCCGACGTAGTGGATACAGTAGACGACAACGAGGTTGGCTTGACTGTTGGGAGAGGTCCAGAGGAAGGCTCTGAGTAGCCCCCACCGTATTCGTACTCTCGATCGTAGACCTTGTAGGCGCGAGGTGCGTTCTTGAGATCCTCGATCTCATGACGCTCGGCCTTGAGCCAGCTTGGAAGACCACGAGCTTGGGTACCTGGGACCAATGCAAACAGCAGTGAAGCTGATGCAAGGCCGAAAGAGAGGGTTTTGATCTTCATGTTTGGAGCTGGAACGGGAGGAGGAAGGTAGGCGTCAGCATGTTGATATCACCAGTTTGGACCCGTGGAGAGGTCGAAGGAAGGATATATGACAGAACTCACTGGCAATGACTGTCACGTTGCGTTGATGGATGTCAATCGAAGGGGGAAAAGAGTGTGATGCTTCTCAAAAGCTGGCAACGAGTGATGGCAGAATGCAGAATGCTGAACGCTGGATGCTGGATGCTGGATGCTGTTAGTACGGCAGCTCGCTCCGTCGATGACCAGGACTTCCGGTCGATGGAAGAAGCGGTATCGATGAGAGACGATACACGAACGAACGAGCGAAGGAACGTGGGGGGGGGAGGAGGGAGATATATGAAGGTTGAAGAAGTGAAGATGGCAAAGAAAGAAGAGAGAAAGAGAGAAAGAGAGAGAGAGAAAGAGAGAGAGGTAAAGACGTGGGAGATGTAGGAGGCCGCTAACTAGGATGAGTAGGGTTAGTAAGGTATCTCGGGAACGGTTCTTCCGGTTAATTCCCACGTCGAGGTCCGGCTCAGAAGGGGAGGTACGTCTGGGCCAGAACCTTAAGCCACATCCACACATCCACACATCCGCAAATCCCATTGATTTTGCCGGGAAATCTTATCAATTCTATCACTTCTATCACTTCCATCACGTCACGTCACGTCACGTCGTCATCCATCTGTCTGGTTTCAGCAGGAGCCACCATGGCCACCAGCCGAGCCGTTTGTACTCTCGTCCTGGAGAGAGGGAAGAAGGGGCGATGGGGCGACGAGAAGACGAGAAGACGAGAAGACGAGAAGACGAGACCACCATGCTATCGTATCGAGGGAACACCCGAGCAGGCCAACGCAGGGCAACGCAAAGCCCGCGGGATCCATGCCCCCTTCAATCCGGGGAAGGAACCATGCCATTCCGTTTCCAGGTCCAGATGTTTCTTCCGGAGTCTGATAGTCACTCCGTCGTCGTCGCCGTCGCCATCGCCGTCGCCCAAAACGACAGACTGCAGCTTGTCCCCCGGGAGTGCCAGATAGGGGAGATTCCCACCACCACCACCACCACTGCTACCAGCGATGCAGCCTCCCGTCGTGCCTGTGCCTGTCCACCTCCGTCTCCACCTCCACTTCTGAATGGCTCTTGAGTGGTATTGAGTCTTGACTTGATAGCATCATCCCCGAGAGGCCCGTTCGTGTACTTCCCATCGCTACCTAGACTCAGCGGCCTGTGTATCGGTCAGAGCTCGGCCGGACGGGAAGGTGCCCCTGTCGAAAGCTTGAAAAAGAGCCTCGTGTTACTCACGAGTTGCCTGGCTACATAACCTTCGACAGCCGAGATGGCCAGGAGAGGTACGGTACCGAGTCTGCCACTCTGCAAACGCACCCTTGACATCTGGGATCGAGGCCTTCTGTTTGCCACAATCAAGACGTACCGGTGCCATTGGCTCGCTGCTCTCTAATCTCCTGCGTTTGCACAGAAAAGCTTGTTGGTGTCAGATATACAGTGGTCTTGCGCGACCGTCGATCCCATCAACATCAGCTCATAGTCGAAGAGACTAGGCTCACGACTCATGCAAGTGCTCATGCCGTAGCTTCGAGATCAGGACGGCGATGCAAGACTCGCATAATCTGGGTCTGGTACCTTGTTTGCCTCGTCTCCACAAAAATAAAGATAGAGGTACCGGGTACACATAGTGGCGTTCTTGCCGAACTCAAATCTTTCCTCAGATATATATATATATATACAAATATATTATATATGTTATATACAAGTGTGTGGGTGTTCATGTGTGCTTACATGTAGAAGCTGGAATTGAGGCTGACAATGGTATCATTTCATCGGAACGGGTAAATTTTAATTTTGTTGCGGTGTTTTCCGTTCAACGCCACGCTATCACAACTTCATGCAAAAAAAGAAAACTGTACGGAAAATTAGAGAGGTTGGAAGGTGAGACCTCGCGATGTGGCTTGATGCACTCGACCGGTAACACGAGGCCCTCGATAGCAGAACTTCGATCGCACGACGACTGCACAATCACCGCTTCATCTCGGCTGCCTGCATGTCCGTCACAACTCCTTCTTGGCATCCTCGCTGAATTTTGGGACCTCCATCTCAGTCATGCTGGTGTTGTTGGCCTCGATATCAGCAGCCCACAGAGCAGCACCAACTTCAAGTGGATCAGCTAACGGGGTCAGATTTGCGGTGAGTAGATCACTTACCAGTGTTTGAGAAGGTGAAGAAGATGGACGCGAAAGGGACGAGCTCCAGAAGGGTAGCTACAGTACCGAATCTAGATCTCGTTAGCTCGCATTGCGGCTACATGTGCCAGTGCATAAGGTAGGGTGAATCTGATCCGATCGCCAGACCTCCGGACATAGTCAATCTTCCGGGGCTTTGCGGAGAAATTATGCAGAGGTGGTACCCAAGACTGGGTACCACAAACATAAAAATTGTAACAGCCATATTGGCTGGCTGACGGCCGGAAATTGATAAGGGGCGGAAACTGTGAAAATGGACCTACGCGGTATAGGGAGCTGTGTTCTTCGCAAGCCATTCCTCTCTTTCGGAGTTTGACCACTTCTTGAGTTGGAAATACTGGTAATGATTAGCCACTGCTTACACAAAAACCGGGGCTGAGTTGATGAGTTTACTTACGCGAGTGTGAACAGAGTTACCCCGGGAACGACCTTGTAGAAGAACAAAGATGACAGTTCCCACAACAGGGATGAAGTTAAGTGGGAGGTACATTAAATATCGGATGAACGCCTTGGGGGTGTACTTCTCAAAGGGCGACTTGATTAGCTTTCCCAGCTTCGCCATCGGGTCGTTGAAGTTTCCCGACTTGATCTCGCGACCCTCAGACAATACTTCAGTTTGTCTTCTGGCAACCAAGACACCATCGAAAGTATCTACGATAGCTTCCTGCAGCAGAAAGGTTCTCGACAGAAGGTTGATGATGGTGGAGCTTTCGCTGAGGGTGAGCAGGACAGTGGTAAAAGCAGCCAACGGTCCATTGACGAATACGAGGACGGCGAGTTGTGGCAGGTATGCAAAGATGAACATGAATGCGATAACACCGAGAGACAGGGACATGGTAGGGATCAGCTTCGAGATGAGAGGCTTCCAAAGGGATTTGTGGGAGACGAAGTAGAAGACGCCCTGGGTAAGTTAGCCATGTCAAAAGAGCGATCGCGAGCTTGGTTTGGTTTGAGTTTACCTTGATGGGGTAGATGTAAGCTCCAGACTTAGCAGCAGACTGCGCCAAAGCTTTTGCCTTGTTGAAGTCCTCGACACTGCGAATACCGTCAGCTTTTGTACCGAAACATCGCCATGCCATGCCATGCCGTTCAAGACAAGCTCCTGAATCGAACTCACACAACCTCCTTCGCCTTGGCGCCCGCCTTATCAAGTGAGTTCGACATTTTTGCGAATATTTGTTTCGATGCGTTATCAGTCTGTCAGCTCTACAGAGTCGGTTGGAATTCGTACGAGATCAGGTTGGACGGGAAGAAAGCTGGAATGAATATACAGAGTACCGCGAGTGTACGGAGGGGACTTGGTTCAGCCACGATATCGAGAAGGGATGACCGGGCCAAGCTTTTGTAGCCAAGTAACGTGACGTGACGTAGGTAGCTGTGGCGCTGCCCCTCGCTAAAGCTAAGCGGGCTGTCATCCAGACGATGAATTGGTTTATCCCTTTGCTTACTTGCATCTATTCACGGCGGAGAAAAGATCTGAAGTCTTCACCGATATCTTCTCCATGTCAGCCATTCCAATATCAGCCGACTTATCCTGGCACTTACTGTTCTGGTAGTGGATCTCAATCGTTCCCCCAGTTCCCCCAGTTCTACGGAGTATGTATGATGGTGGAATGCACCCAGTCTTGTTGATATTGTTCTCACTCTAGATGTTCCAGACCACATCTCACTTTCGGCAGCTGCGCCTAGCAATCTGTCAGCCCCTCCAACAATATGCCGATGTGCGTGCCACAAAGGTGACCCGAGGCACGCAGTCCCCGCTCCGCAACTGCAAAGCCGGAGATCTCGACTGGGTGATCGTCCGCGAGAACAGCGAAGGCGAGTATGCTGGTCTCGGTGGCCGTTCACACACCAACCAATCTTGGGAGCTCGCTACGGAAGTCTCCATCTTCATTCGTCACGGTGTAGAGAGGATCATCAGGTTTGCGTTTGAGGTTGCGAGGGGGAGGCCAAAGAAGCATCTAACTGTTGTGACGAAGAGTAATGCTCAGAGGAATGGGATAGTCATGTGGGATGCGGTTGCGAGCGAGGTGGCGAAGGAGTTTCCGGATGTGGAGGTTGATAAGATGTTGGTGGATGCCATGACTGTGAGGATGACGCTGAAGCCGGAGACTCTGGAGACTATCGTTGCCACGAATTTGATAGGCCGGGATGAATTCGGAGCTGAGACGAAGGTGTACTGATGCGCGCTAGCACGCCGACATTCTGTCGGATCTTGCAGCTGCCCTGGCAGGACCAACCAGCAACCTTGACCCAGCTCGCGCGAACCCGTCCATGTTTGAACCTATCCACGGTTCTGCATTTGACATTACGGGAAAGGGCATTGCAAGCCCCGTTGCTACCTTCTGGACGGTCTGTGGGTTGTTGGCCTGGCTTGGCGAGAAAGAGGCTGCAGAGAGCCATTTGAATATAGTTGAGGCGTTTGCGAGAAGGGGGTCATGACGAGAGATCTTGGAGGATCGGCTACGACGGTAGAGATGACGACTGCCGTGTGTGAGGCGATCGAGACGAAGCTGGGGAAGGCGAGATCGTGAGCTGTTTCTCTCAATCCTAGGATATACCAATATAAATACATTGTACTGTATCAAAGCTAGTACTTTTCGTATTTAGCTGGCTCGTAGACTAGAGAAAGTCGTCAGAAATAAAACCTATCACTCGTGATGTGAAGCTAAATAGCTCATCTGATATGATGTATCAATCAATTGGAAGATGTCACCAACGCCATCGACCTGATCCATCGTATTGAAGAACTCGCCCATTCCAGGTGCCGTACGAAGTAGCAGACTCTGAAAAGGAGCTGGCCTTGTGCATAGGGCGACTCGCGTTCTTTCCTGGAATGGCACACCAGAATTACCACCCATCATTGCACCACCTCGGCTTAATAAACTTTCCCATCTATTGCGAAGCCCTCCCTCCATTCCGTCAATCACTGTGGGTGTCCATCAGCTTTCTTTAGCTTTTCGGAATATCTCTCTACTACTGAGCTCTTCGTCGCCGGTGGCTGGAGCTTGGAGCCTGGTCTCTCGTGGCTTGGACGAGGTGTGGAGCCTAGGCTGGTTGGTGTATTGGCCGTGGCTGAAAGAAAAGATTCGAAAGGTGGGCAGTGAGTTCTAGGGAGAGATGGGAGGGGATCGACTGGGGCTACGACCTTCAATGTCCTTAGAGAGCAAGATTGAAGAGTAAACCAAGAAGCGGATTCGAATGTCAGAGGGCCTTGTAGTCTTGTGGACAATGCTTCGTAATGAAATGAATATACCGAAAAGTGGTCAAGAGTAATTTGGGTCTTGTAGGTACGCGAAGAGTAGTAAGAGAAGGAAACGGGTATCTGTCCCAGCCCCTACCGGGAGTGATGGGTCTGTATAACGATGATCCAAATGCTCATCAGATGAGATGTAGCAGAGAAAGAAGCGGTGCATCTTCAGTGAAGTGAGGCCTCATTGTTGTAGAACAGCGATGCGTTGACATTAAAGACGCCAAGTCTATCCACCGGCCCTCTGGTCCTCAGCAGCACTCAACGCCTGCAATATCTGACCTGCTTCAATGCCCTCATTCTCATCACCTACAGCGAACCCGCCCATCCCCAAAGAACCCCCAAGAAATGCTGATCCGGTACCATCGAAGATGTCGTTCGTCTCAGCATTCGAATTCGCAACAAGCTGCTGGAGAACAGCATTTTGGTGCAAAGGGTCTGGCTCTTGGCAGAAGGCGTAGAAGTCTTGGTTCATGTTGTCGGTGTCTGTGAAGCCGAGATTCATCAGACTTTGATCCCAGTTACCGGCCCTGGGTGAAGATTAGTGATCTGGACATCTAGATATGCTGACACTTTATATGAACTAATGAGAGGTAAGAGTCCACGGATTTGAATTGACCGAGCCTGGGAACAAACTGGGTGCCACGTAATTCAAGGACTTTTGAAAAGGCGCCACATACCACTCAGTTGCATCGAGTCGCATCAATTCATGGAATACGGGATCGGCCTCGGCGTCGGTAGAACTCATAGTCAAAGACCGGTGCTGTTGGGGATTAGTAGGCGGTGCTATATTGAAAGACTCTTGCGCTACCATCTGCGGTGTAGGCGGCTTGGGAGCTATATTTTGCCTGTTAGATGGGTGTCGTTTGGCGGAGCCAATAGTGGCATGCAAATCTTCGTAAATGTTACGAGGATTTTGAGGAAGCCCATGCCCGGAGGATTGGCCTAACGATGGGTGGCCGGTTGTCCTGATTTGGTTTGCTCCTCTTGGCCTCAGTTGCTCGACCTGTTCGCGAGAGTTCTGGGGACTGAAAGGGTCAAAAGCATCGTAGCTTGCCATGCCCAGAGGAGTTCTACCAGAATTCGACGTATCTGCGTCCCAGTCCATGCCATTGATAAGATCGAATGCCACCTGGCTTTTCCTCCTGGGAGCCTGTGACGTAGACCGATATGCGGTTGAGGACTTGAATGACTCGAAAACAGGCCAGGCGAGCTCCATGTCATCTACACAACGGTCCAGATTTCGTCTCCAATCGTTGAGGACGATATGGGTGCTTTCTATACTGCTGTGTACCGCATGGACTATATCGTAGGCATTTTTGACAAAATACTCGTAGATAGGCGGGACAATGAGAAGCCCGAACATGTCCGAGTGTTGACTCATGAGATCAACGGCTTGCTGAGCTGATTGAGTGCATGGCTCGAGATTGACTGCCTCTTTGCCATGACGATGAGACAGCAGCTGCGACATCGCTAGTGTAGTGAAATAGACATTATGTAGGTGGTACTGATGAGGAAGCAAAGATAGAGCTTGATCGCTGCCTCTTGCAGCTGAGTCGAAAGACAGAGGGGGTGATTGGGTTTGGCTCCAGATATGTAACTTTTGCAATAGAGTGGTACTCAACTGCAAGGCGTTGGAAGCCACTGGCAAACATGACGCTTCGTTGAGAATTTTGAGAACCTGGATTAGTCTGTTGAAGGTGCTCAATATCGACGCAGGGGTGCGCAAGTTCCCTGAAGATCTTCTCCGTACTGTAAGGCAGTCTATCCATGGATCCCATTCTTCGAGACCATCCTCTTCTAGAAGACCTACAATTTCGACATCTTCGGACCTCAGGTGCGGCCGGCGACCTAGTCGGGCTGCTATGAGTGTCTCCAGGGCGAAACAGCCAAGGAAAATGTGTCTAGATCTCGAGCGTGATTTTGGGTCCGGCGGCCGATCCAGGCGTAGATCAATCGCTGCTCGAACAGCTTGTCCTACTAACAGCCAAGCTCGACTGAAATGACCCATGCCCAGATTCGCAAGTGTGAGGATAAGTAGAGCTTGTACGTGGCCTACATAGATATTAATATAAATATCCTGTAGTGTATGATAGAATGAGAAGACATGTCGCATTTTGAATTACAACAACGAGACCCCTGAAAGGTCGGACAGTGTGTCTGAAGCGAAGAAGACAACTAGAGGAGTAAATATGCTTCTTTGATTTCGGAAATTTTAACGAGATAAACGGCTGAACTTACCCAGCTCCAACGTCACCTCCTCATTTGGAACCAGAGCCCTGGCGTGGCTATACATCCTTTCTGCAGTCCAGACCATTTCTCCTACAGCTCCAAGAGCCCGTGGTATATTGTTGATGGCTCGGTGCTGAAACTTTGCATATGCGATTGCCGCCCAGAGGACTGCGTTGTCGCCAGAGCCAGAAGAGCCAGAATTACTTCCCCAGGGTCAGCTAAATGTCAAGACCAATATCGGAAATCGAGATGGCGCTTGGTCCAAGTCCAACTTACTTGGAACGGTTCTGCGAGTACTGGTAGGATGTTCGCAGTAAGTCATGCTTCTCTATTATTGGCAGCCAGGGATGCGTGTAAGAGAAGTATACATCGAGCAAATGCCATGTTTCTGAAGGTAGCTCAGGTAAACCAACAGCAGCAACCGGGGTCCCACTGGACACATGTCCCACAGAAGGGCTAAGAATCGATTCGTATTCTTTAGGCTCTTTGAGCAGACTGATGTTCTAAAGTTTGCTGTCAACATGCATGTCCCATTGCCCGAATGAGGATCGCAGTAACTCACGTCGACAGCCGATGGGGATGTTTGAAAATCGCTGAGCGCTCGAACATCCTGAGTTCGATCGGACCAACTCGAAGTCGAAATATCGGCTTCTTTGCTGGGCTGAGCTACATCTATTGATGGCTGCTGGATCCCTCCCTTCTCAGCTAAATCTTTGGTCTCGGTGTTCGTTCGCTTGCGTTTTATTTCCGAAGGCTCCTGGGACGATAGCAACCTCTCCAGCTCTCTGGAGATGGTAGATTTTCGCCACAGCTCTACCAAAGTCTCTGAGTTCGTCTCGTCATTCCAGATACTCAAGGGACTTTCAGCGCCTAAGCATGTCAGTAATTATATCCAGACCAAGGCGATATATTGATGTTCTAAGCGATACGAATCGCTGAAAGAACTCTGTTAAATTCAAAACTATAACTAGCCGCAACATCGGCTTGAACTTGGTATTCGTTGCAGGTTGGGATATCCATTTCGCGCTTGACATCCCAGGATTTGTGGCACTATTTAGAAAGCCTAGAAAACTTCGACCATGTTGAGATAAACGGATTTCAACAGAATGATTTGACGGATGGAAAGGATAGTCCTACTCTCTTCGTTGCCCGACAGAGCTGACAGCATATTATCCTCCACCTCATCGACATCTCGTATTGCAAGTCCCCATAACTTCTCCAGCCCTCGAACATATCCTTCTGGCAGACCCCTCTTTTTCACATTGGCGTCGTAGGAACATTCGCGGCCGTTCGCAGTGCAGGTTGAACAGGTCTGTATATCCTTCCGATTAGCATACACGGTCCTGCAGGAGTTCTCGTCCAAACGTAAACTCTGCCAGAGTTAATGTGCCACTGTCTTATCGCGACGTCCGGTCTGTTGCTTTAGAGCTCCGGAGCCATAGCATCCATCATCAACCGTTGTCCATATTGGATTGCAGCGTTGAGACTGAGAGGCTGTCTCACCGGCTTCTTCCCATCGCATTTATCTTTTCGACTCCTGCACCTGTCGCAAGCCTGCGAGACCCTCTTCCGGGGACCCCCCTTTAATTTTTTTTGTAGCTCTCCACCGTCTATGCCAATCTTATCATCTGGTCCTCCATGATCCGGCCCCAGCTGCGCCATTCCCACCAATATTCCTGTCGTGCTGTCGAGTCTCGTAGCCCATGGGACAAAGCTTTCGGGGATCGCTCATACAGAAGCTGTTCGCAGTCGTTCCTTGCTCTGGGGTCTGGGGTCGAGGCTGCTGAGTGATCGATGGGTATCTGATTAATTGACCGATGCACAGTCACGACCTGGAGGCTGGAGGCGCAACTCCGCCGGCTGAATTTTTTCGTGGGGAAACTCTGCGACCACAAAATCGAGGCTCGACGAGGGCAAAATCTGGGGTAGGACTGAGGAAATTCAGGTCGACCAATTAGAGGGTCTGTAGTATTATACGAGCGCTTAAATCCTTATCCGTAGCACCATCAGACAGGCAGACAGACAAAACGACTTCGATCCACTCACCACACTCCTCTCCCTTTGACTACTGATGCAAAGAAAAACTGTCTCCAGATACCCTCCTCCTGTTCTGTCCAGTGTGTCGTCCGCCCGTTCGCTGCTGCAGAGCAAAGCAGATAGATCCCGGATTGACTTTGCCCTGGTTCTGGTCTATACCGCATCACGTGATATAGAATTGAAAAAGTACGTTGTCGCTGAGACGAGAAGACGAGAAGACGAGAAGACGAGAAGACGAGAAGACGAGAAGACGAGAAGACGAGACGACGAGAAGACGATATGTCGATCGTAACCCAGCTGGAAGCACCATTGGCATACCTCGAAAGTGCCGCTGCTAGACAGCCTCGGCCAAACATCCGAGACTTCCAGCTCAATGCTTCTATCGTATTGATCGGATCTAGGGGCTCGGGGAAGAGGACCCTGGGATTTATAGGGGCTACACACTTAGGGAGGAGACTCATAACCGAGGATCACTATTTTCAAGCAGTCACAGGCGTTTCTAGGTGCGGATTCATCTTCTTGCCGGATTATTCACCCGAGATGCTCCATTGTCCAGTCTCTTTTTGGGGCAATCGAAGGATTGGGACAGGAGCATACCTATGTCCCATGGGTTGCACTTGAACTTCTTTCCTCTATCCGGCCCATTGTTCAAATGGCATTGCCCACGATCTATTTTGGACACTGCAAGAGAAGCAAGCTAACTAAAACAGGGCTGTCTTCATGCAACAACATGGAAGTCTCGAGTTCTATCGAAAAAATGTAGAAGTGCTGAAACGCATGCTAGACAACCACAGGACCGGTTGCGTTATCGAATGTGGAATGGGAAGTCTCTCGGGGGCTGCTCAAAAGGCGCTTTATGAGTACTGCAAAACAAATCCAGTCATATATGTCACCAGAGAGAGTCAGAGAATAAAGTCGTTGCTCAGACTTGGGGAGGAAGAGGCAGCGCGTCTGGAGAATGCGGATTTGGCGCACCGTAAATGCTCGAACTTCGAGTTCTTCAACCTTCATGACGATTCCAGCTCCGATGGAAGCGATGCGCCCCCTGAAAACGGACTCGCGAAAATCTCATCCAGACTGAAATACGCCAAGGAAGACTTTTCAATGTATTTGGACTTCCTGACGGGTCAAGGTATTGCCCGCAGCGGCCTGGAAAGTCCTTTCTCGATTGCAGCCCTCCCAGCCGAGTTCAGGTCTTATACGTACGCCCTATCGCTTCGGCTGTCAGTCATACCCGACCTGAACTTGACGGACCTGGAAGCTGGCGCGGACGCAGTTCAGCTAAAGATCGACTCCTGGTCACCTGATCTTCAAAAGCTCATTGGGAAGCAGGTGTCCACTATCAGAAGGAGCCTTGGAGTTCCTATCATCTTCCAAGTGGAGGACTATGCTTTTGAGGGTGCGGGTCTCTCGTTTCAAGAGCAGGAGAATGCATATTTCTTGTTGATGGAGTACGGCTTGCGGCTCGGAGTCGAGTATATTGTGGTAGACTTGAAGTACTCTTCTGACCGCTTCTCCGACATCGTTCGGGCATCCGGCAGGACGAAAATCATCGGATACCACATGTATCGAGAAGATAACTCCTGGGGCTGGGACGACGAATCGAAAATGATACAGTATCAGAGGGCCAAGTCTCTGGGCTGCGACATCGTCCGATTTGTTCGGACAACATCAAACGCAAAGGACAACGACACGGTTCGGGACTTTGTCAACAAAATCGAGTCAATCTCCGACCATCTTCCTCTGATTGCATACAATATTGGAGAATATGGTCGACCTTCCTTGGTCGCCAATCGGATCTTCACGCCGGTCACCCATCCAGTCATGCAATCGACTGTGAGCAGGAGCCAGATTCGACAATTCCTTCCAACGGCAGCAGAAGCTATGCAAGCCCGCTACCAATCGCGTATCAACGACCCCATGCACTACTACCATTTTGGAATCAGCGTCTTTTACAGTCTGTCGCCTGCTATGCACAGTGCAGCTTATCAAGAATGTGGGATGTCCAACGATTTCCAGTCACTTCAAGTCACTTCGCTTGAGGATATCCAACAGCTGTGTCAAGATACAAACTTCGGAGGCGCAGCTATCACCCAACCATTCAAAGTCGAAATTTTGTCTCGAGTGGCCGCAAAAAGCTACCACGCAAAAGCAATAGGAGCCGTGAATACGCTATTGCCACTGCGAGTACTGTCCAACCATACACCTCTCGATGGAGGTACCCAGGCCCTTTTGCGACATGCGAATCAGCGAGGCAAAGCTGGTCCTATCATCGCTTACTACGGCGACAATACCGATTACATTGGCATCATGAACAGTGTTCGTCGCAATCTCTCGCCGCGAAACGTGATCCAGCCTTCGAAAACCGCTGGTCTGGTTATCGGCGCAGGTGGCATGGCTCGAGCAGCAGTTTACGCCATGATCCAGCTTGGATGCCGCAAGATCTTTATTTACAATCGGACCCGTGGGCACGCCGAGAGCGTTGCTCGCCATTTCAATTCTTGGGCGTCAGGACTCAGCAGTGATGGTGAAATGGTACGTGTGCTGAATTCTCCGCTTGAGGACTGGCCGGCAGATGTCAGACAACCGACCATAATCATATCCTGCGTTCCAGCTCGACAAGTTGGGACCAGCGCGCCAGCAAATTTCGAAATGCCGATGCAATGGCTGAGAAGCCCGACAGGTGGTGTCGTAGTTGAGGTATGAAAAAACAGGCTCTTAGACACTACCATAAATAGAAGCTAATGTTCCAATGTGTAGTTAGCGTACCTACCTCTCGACACCCCGCTGCTAAAACAAATACGAAGGGTAAGGGAGGAGACGAAAAAAGCCTGGGTTATAGTTGATGGATTAGAGGTATTGCCCGAGCAGGCGTCTGCGCAGTTTGAGCTAATGACGGGAAGGAGAGCGCCGAGACGGAGGATGCAGCTTGAGGTTAGGAATAATTACCATCGGTATGAGGCGAGTACGGCTTGAGTGAACATGGCTGGAGACTGCCGATTTTTGATAGCATCAAGAAAATCTTTATTTTCCTGACGAGGTCAATGACTGACGGTTTCGAACAATGCAATCTCGTGATAGCCGTTTCAATCAATACATGAATCGGCTGCTCGTCTAGGTTTCATGATACGAACATACGCGAATATCCGCCTCTCAAACAAACTTTCCCCCTTATCAGTACATACCCCACTTCACTTCGAGCAATCCCAGAACTTCCGGACCCAACAACAACCAACATTCAACATTCAACATTCAACAATTTCATTCATTCCTCCTCAGTCCTCCGTCAGCAATCTCCACTTCAGCACCTGGCCACTAACACCTCTACCATGACATCGGCGCTCACGCTAACAGAATCGGAGCTTCAAGAGATCTACGCCTTTGCGCTCCATCTCAGTCGGCGATCTGGCCAGATCTTGCTAGAGAGTGTCGAGAAGAGATGCGGTGCTGAGAGTGGGAGGGTGAATGGGAAGGTGGAGGAGAAGATGAATGCCGTGGATATTGTTACGCAGACCGATTTAGGTATGTTTGTGCCTGTTTGGTCTAGGAGAGAGGAAGAACGGAAGGGCGGAATGCAGATCTGATGGCTGATCACGTGGAGGGCTAGATGTCGAGGCTTTTGTGAAGGATGAGATAATGGGGAAGTATCCGGATCACAAGTAGGTGTTTGCTTGGTGTCTTCACGGTGGGATGGGGGTTCTTGTTGGGACCTCACTTAGCTCCCACTCCCATCTCAGACAGTTCCCCATTCAAGCAAGAATTTAAAACACTAAACAACCAGCAGATTCATCGGCGAAGAAACCTACTCCTCTGGCTCATCCAAAGACTTCCTCGTCACTTCTGACCCAACATGGATTGTCGATCCCCTTGATGGTACAGTAAACTACACGCATCTCTTCCCCATGTTCTGCGTCTCTATCGCGTTCTGCATCAACGGGATTCCCGCTGTTGGCGTTATCTATCAGCCTATGCTCGATACTACGTACTCGGCACTTGTGGGCCATGGAGCGTGGCAGGACGATGCGTGTGAGGGGAAGAAGAGGAGAGCGTTGCCGTATGTGAATAACCCGAAGCTGGTTTTCGGGAGAGAGGCACCAAAGGGCTGTATTTTCAGCTGTGAGTGGGGGAAAGATAGGTTTGTGCTCCAGATATCGTTTTTAAAAAAGAAACATGAACTCTCTTCTGAGAGTGTAGGGAAAACAGGCTGTAAAGAATGCATGAATGAGGTATGCTAATGGAGATTAACAGACGAGATATCGAGGGCGGTAACATGCGGCGAAAAATCGGCAGCTTTATGAATATGGCTGCTGAGATTGGCGGACGAGGTGGAAAAGGAGGAATGGTGCATGGAGTTAGGAGCTTGGGGAGGTGAGTTTTATATTTATAATGTCCTATAGGAGCTACAGACGTTCATTCCTCGAAGAGAAGCTCGACGTAAGCGAGTAAGCGAGTAAGCGATCCTTGACTAATGCATGGGAATCTAGTGCAGCTTTAGATCTAGCATACGTAGCCTCTGGCGCATTTGACATCTGGTGGGAAGGCGGATGCTGGGAATGGTACGTCTCCACCTCATAAACTCTTTTCCGTCTTTCGTTCCGTACCAAGAAGCCCCTTGTCACACTGGCTCCCAATCGGCCTCTTTCTGCGCATCCACCCTTCTACTACTACATACTAGGCTCTGCGTCTCCCAGTAAATTTCCGTACTACTGGCAAATCCTTCTTCATCTCGGTGCATACCAAGACGTACTCAAGGAATACACAAGCACATGCATGTCCTCAAAACCCACTTGCTAAATCATTCACAGGGACGTTGCAGCCGGAATCTGCATCCTCCGCGAAGCAGGGGGCCTCATCACAACCGCCAATCCACCACCAAATCCCGAAACGGACCCTATTGAAGAGGTACGACTAGGCAGTCGGCTATATTTAGCAGTTCGGCCGGCGGGTGATGGGGAGGGAGAGACGGGGAGGCAAGCTCAGGAGAGGGTCGTAAGGGAAGTGTGGAAGAGAGTCGATGTGCTGGATTACTCGAGGCCAGGAGCGTAGGTCAAGAAGGCTGGTGTATATTCAGATGAAGAGGCATACGGGTGCGAAGACATCCGAAGTAGAGGACACTCTAATGCTGAAACTCTGTATATACATACACTCGATAATCGAGAAGCAAAATACACCTTCAACGCCATAACACTCCGATTGTATGCACCGCAAACCTGCTCCGCTCCAATGGTTATCATCGAGTTCCAAGGTTACATTAACCTCCACTCATCCACTTGCGTAAGCCTCGTGCTCGCTTCTGCTTCCCTCCACACAAACCGCACCCAGCAACGTCCTATCAAAGCCTCGCCTTCTCCTTCGGCTCCTTACTCGCAAAGACCCTCTCAACCTCCTCAACAGGCAACGTACTAACCCTCCTCCTCAACCAAATCTTATCCTGCTCCAGCCCTTGCCAAATCATGGCCTCCACGCCCCCGATAACACGCCACCCGCTCTCTCCCGCCAGCCTACTAATCGCCGTATCGGGATTCGGATGGTAGCACATGTCCAGCAAGCACCCCTTCCCGCCCGCCAGCTGCTTCCCCAGCATGACCTCCACCACGGCCCTCGTCCTCAGCTCGGCCTCGCTCCGGGGCGCCAAATCCGGTATCGCCGAGACGACGACGCGCGGGCCGGGCAGGGCACGAGCTTCGGCCACGGAGGCGACCTCCCTGAGACCCGAGCCGAAACCCTTGGCGGTGCAGTAGTCGATCACGTCCCGGATCTCGACCGGGTCGCGGTTGACGAGGTAGACGTCGCTGCAGCCGAGGAAGTGCTTCAGGGCGTAGACGGCCGCGCGACACGTGCCCCCGCCGCCGACGACCATACCCGGCTGGCCCCGCATGGCGGAGGAGACAGACGGCGAGGTGTTCTGCAGGATGGCTTCCCGGATGCCGATGCAGTCGGTGTTGGTGCCGCAGAGGAGCCGGCGCCCGTGGATACCCGGCGGCGCGGTGCTCAGGAAGATGGTGTTCACGGCGCCGATTGCTTCGGCTTCGGGGGTGAGGACGTCCAGAAACGGGATTATGGCTACCTTGTGGGGCATGGTGACGGCGGCGCCGTAGAATTTAGGGTGCGTGGTTAAGGCGAGACCTGTTAGGAGGCCGGGTTAGTGACTGCTGGGATGAGAATCGCTTGACGGGATGAAAGTTCATAAGAAGCGGACAATAAATTGGATTCTTGAAAAGAGTGTTGCTTAAAATGGAGAAATATATGTAAAAAGATTCTCACATGATTCTATAGACTTGGACTCGTAAAGTATATACTCGTAGTTGAGGTTGAGACCCGAATAGACCGTGGAGTGTAAAAGAGGAGAAAGGGAGTGGGCGATAGGATAGCCGAAGAGGTAAGCGACCCTGTCGAGATGTGATATTGAAGGTGCTGGGGGAGGTGTGTACGGGTCCGTGTCTGGAGGAGGCTCATGGTTTCCTAAGTGTTGAGACATGATGAGCGGAGAGGTATATGATTTACGACATTTCAGAACGGGATCTATCTGACCTTTACATGTTTAAAGATGGTCCGGAGAGAGCTGGATCGGTAAGCAGGAAGGAAACTGGATGTAGTCCTCGTCCTCTGGCGTGTGGCGCACAAACCAAGTCAACAAGTTAAGCGGCAAAACCCAGTTCCACCTCGATACGAGCCAGTGTTACCAAGAACCCCGCAGGATCAATAGGCATCGCACTGACTGTTGGAATGGCTTTTTAAACGTACAAGAAAGACTGGATAGTTTCGGACTGCAAGGAATACAGGCCTGCACTTTTGATATTCAAGTGTCAACGGAGTACCTACTACTATCTGATAGACGTCAGATGACGTGCAGGATCCTCTTAAGTCTTCACCCGTCTCCTCATCCTGCCGCTCATTGGTTTCGAGTCTGGCAGTGCGGGGAAACATGGTTTGTGAGACGTGGAGTCAACCCCAGACTGAAGCTGCATGCAGACGCTGACGCGGGAAGACGTCGGCCTTTGCCTTCATCAAGCCGTTGACGGAGCTTGATTCTGGAATTGAAAGGGGGATCCTGCAGAGAGAAGAAGCTTGTAGGGAAGAATATGGATATGTTGTTGTTTTTGTTGTTGTTGCTGCTGTTGTTGTTGTTGTTGTTGTTGTTTCTGTTTCTGTTTTTGTTGTCGTCGCCGCTTCGTATGCTCCTCGCTAATCCGAAATGGCGCGGCCATACATGTTCCCCAATTCTGACCCCCCAATTCTGACCGCTACATACCGGTACCTAGCCAGATTTGTGGGAAATCCCGTTTCAAGGCGAGGGGAAAAGAGTTCTCCCTGGTAGATAGCTCACCGTCCCCAGGTCTCGCCTCCACCATGAACGCAAGTGGGTGGCCTGCAACTTGAGTTGATTGGCGACTTCAAGGGGACGTGCTGGTCCCTGATCTCCGGTTCTCCAGTTTATTAAACCTTCAACAGACTCAAAATGCACCGACCCGAGGACTGCTGACGAGGTCACGAAGAGGGTCACGATCCACCGTGCTGGTCTGGTAAAGAGCCACTATAATAAGGAGGCCTGCCGTCTGCCGTTACGAGCTGCACTCTCTCTCCATCTCGTCTACTTCTGTATTTGTTTACCTTAGTGATTTCTTGGCAGGCTGGCGAGTGACAAGAAGGATTGTGGTCTGAGCTTCATTCTTACGTAGCAAGAAGATTCCATTGAGTTCACGACTCTCCACTTCCAAACTTTCCGACAGATTGCGAGGACAGGAATCTGAAGAAATCCGAAACCCTCGTCCTCGCTCAAAGATGGGTTTCCTTTCTCTAGTTGAGGGTATGTCGCTCTCCTCAGCTTTCAGCACTTCTAACTGTCACAGATCGGCCAACGCCATCATGTGTCTACAATTTCCGTGTCTATTCGTGCGCAGCAGTGTAAAGTTCTCATAATCCCCAGATCTGAATGAAGTCTGACTATTGCAGAGCTGCTTTCTGCGCCGTCATGATCGGATATGACAGTGCCTTTATCGGTGGAACTATCGCCTTGGACTCCTTCAAAGAAGAGTTCAACTGGGCCCAGTACACCACGCACGAGGCGAATCTCATCTCCGAGAACATCGTTTCGCTCTACCAGGCCGGTGCTTTCTTTGGAGCATTCTTCGCCTATGCTGCTGGCCACTACCTAGGACGCAGGAAGGGTCTCCAGATCTTCGCTGGTGTCTTTGTCGTTGGAGCAGGTCTCATGCTGGGCGCCAATCGAAGTCGTGGACTGGGACTCATCTATGGTGGACGGGTGCTCGCTGGGATCGGCGTCGGCGGTGCTTCTAACCTGACTCCCATCTACATCTCGGAGCTATCGCCCCCTGCGATCCGTGGGAGGTTGGTAGGTCTATACGAGATGGGGTGGCAGATTGGAGGGGTCGTCGGATTCTGGATTAATGCAAGACACCACACATCCCCTGGGAAACCCTCCGTAACTAACTTATCTTCAGTACGGAGTTTCAGTCACTCTCCCCGCGAACCACAAGCAGTGGATCATTCCCTTTGCGATTCAGCTTATTCCAGCCGGCCTCATGTTTATCGGACTTTTCTTCATCAAGGAGTCACCGAGATGGCTCATGACCCGCAACAAGCGTAGCCAAGGCCTCAAGAACCTGTGCTGGCTGCGAAAGCTTCCCGCAGACGACATGTACATGCTCGAGGAAGTATCTGCTATTGACGCCGCCATCGAACATCAACAAAGCACCGTCGGCCTCGGGTTCTGGCAGCCTTTCAAAACCCTCGGCAAGGACCGTAAAGTTGCGTACCGCTTCTTCCTAGGCTGCTCGCTGTTCTTCTGGCAAAACACTTCCGGGATCAACGCCATCAACTACTACTCGCCAACCGTCTTCAAGTCCATCGGCGTCACCGGTACCAACACCTCGCTGCTGACCACCGGCGTCTTCGGTGTCGTGAAGGCGGTGGTGACAATCGTCTGGCTGCTATTCCTCATCGACAACCTGGGCCGGCGAAAACTCCTCATGGTTGGTGCTTTCGGCGGAGCCATATGTCTCTACTACGTAGGCGCATACATTAAGATCGCCGACCCGGCCAACAACCCCACCGCGGACGGGAAGTTGTCCTCGGGCGGCATCTCGGCCATGGCCTTCTTCTACCTCTGGACCGTCTTCTACACGCCCTCCTGGAACGGCACGCCCTGGGTCTACAATTCGGAGATGTTCCCCCAGCACGTGCGCACCCTGGGCCAGGCCTTCGCCGCCGCCTCGAACTGGCTGTTCAACTTCCTCGTGGCGCGCTTCACCGCGCAGATGTTCACTGCCATGCGCTACGGGGTGTACTTCTTCTTCGCCAGCTTGATGATGTGCAGTATCGTGTTTGTGTGGTTCCTGCTTCCCGAGACCAGGGGGGTCCCTCTGGAGTCGATGGATCGCTTGTTCTCGAAGGCGTTGACGCCGAGAAAGGCGCACGCGATTGTCATCAACGAGGTTAGGAACGACGAGGAGGTGTTCAGACACGAGGTTGAGAGGAGAGCTTTCAACGTCGAGAAGGAAGAGATCAAGGAAAGTGTTGGGCATGTTGAAGCAGCCTAGACGGCGCCTGGCGGGTGGCATTATTCTCATTTGATGATTAAAGGGGTATTATGGGTATATCTGCACGGCGTACGGCGTGGTATATGAGGATGAGGATGTGGATGTGAAGCTGTATATATCTCTATCATGGAACAGGAATGTAGAACGCAAACTGCGACGCGAATAATGACAACCCACGTAATTTCCTCGTCTACGTCTCTGGTTGAAGGCTGGGTAATATGGGTTCTGCTGCCCTCCCCGAGGAATGTCTCGCTTAAATGTCTCGCGAGCCAACATTGATTGCATCTTCGCAAATCCAGCTGACTATCTGACACCCGAAAAATCGTAAAATAAACCATATCAGAGCTCCAAGATGTACAGCATAATATTCATTGCCACTGCTATCATGCAGCAGCCATAAAAAAGAGAAAGAGACCAGACTGGCATCTCATGCGCGCCCAGGGTAATGAGACAGAACACCAAACCGGCTCCAGCTTCACCGGCACAAGCCCCCCTTCTCTCCTCCTTTCCTCTCCCCTCCTCCTCCCCGACTTCCACAGAAGGTTAGGCGAGAAGCAGCGCGGACGACACGTTGGTCCCGGGCGGAACTACGCCGAACGCCCCCACTTCAGAATCGTCGGCTCATTATTTAGCCCCTAGCGTCCTCCGGAAAAGACTTTCTACGCGATCAGCATCAATAACAACAACAACAAGAACAAGTCCGTGGATGACCAGTCTCGTAAAGCCCTTGCCAGGTTTTGGACCGGGGAGCCTTGGCTCGGGATTGGAGGAGAGAGAGAAGGATGATTTGACTTGATCTGATTGATCTGATTGATGATAAATTGTGTGGCGATGGCTTTATACTCTCAGTCTCCTCTCCTCTCCTTCCAGGTTCAAGTCTTCCATCCTGTGCTTCTGATTAATCCATTCGAGAGCGTGGGTCAAGTCAGACCTGTATATCAGATACCGTCTCTGACGCTTGCGAGTCCTCTATCATCCGTTCTTGAGCTAGCTGCTGCCGCTTGAGATATCGAACTTCTCTCGTCGTCTTTGGACCTGTCAATTCCAGGCCATAGAAGTCAAGATGTCCTTCAAACCAGCCATCTGCAGCATGGCCCTCGGCGTACGTCCCATTTCCCTCCTCCGTTCATCACTACTTTCCCCTCGCTAACACCTCGCTCACAGCGAGCCTGGGCCCACGCCCTCGCCCCCAAACTCGAAGCAGCATCCGCATCCCAGCTACCCGGCCTAGAGATCTTCTTCGAAGACCTCCTCTACCTAGCGGACTCCTTCCCGGGCGGTGCCACGCCCTCCAACCAGATCCTCGCCGCCCACCAGATCCGCGCCCAGTGCTCCTCTCTCCACCTCGAGATCATCGGCATCGGGCCCTTCAGCAACTGCGAAGGCATCCTCTGCCCGATCGCCAAAGCCGCCAAGCGAGAAGAGCTACACCTGTGGTTCGAAATCGCCCACATCCTCGACACCGACATCATCCAGATCCCGTGCACCTACATGACCGAGGGCTTCACCGGCGACCTCGACGCCGTCGCGGCCGACCTGAGAGAGATTGCCGATCTCGGCGCGCGCCAGAACCCCCCGCTCCGGTTCGCCTACGAGAACCTGTGCTGGGGGACCTTCAACGACACGTGGGAGAAGGCGTGGGCGGTCGTGCAGGCCGTCGACCGGGAGAACTTCGGGCTGTGTCTCGACACGTTCAACATCGCCGGGAAGGAGTACGCGGATCCGTGCGCGCCGGATGGCAAGAACCCCGACGCCGAAATCCGGTTCCGGGAGAGCATGCGGAAGATGGTGGCGACGATCGACGTCCGGAAGATCTTCTACGTCCAGGTCGTCGACGCGGAGAGGCTGCGCGAGCCGATGTCCGAGACGCATGCTTTCCACGTTGCGGGCCAGATGCCGAGGATGAGCTGGAGCCGGAACTGCAGGTTGTTTCTGTGCGAAGAGGATAGAGGGGGGTACTTGCCGGTGTTGGATGTGTTGAGCGCGATCTGTGACGAGCCGGAGAGAGGTGGTTTGGGCTACAAGGGCTGGCTTTCCATGGAAATGTTCAATAGGAGTCTAGTCGGGGAGAGCCCAGACGTGCCGCGGGAGCATGCGGAGAGGGCGGTGGCGAGCTGGTGGAGGACTGTGAAGGCTATGGGCTGGGAGGAGAAAGTTGAGGCGCCGAAGTATGAGCAGAGGCCTGTACCTGTTGTGCCGCTGGAGATCTCGGCGAGGCTGTGAAGCGTTGTTGTCTGTTATATTTGAAGAAGGAAACCACTTTCTCGAGCGCGCGAGATTCGATATCCCCCTCGAGCTCGCCAGGGAGAAGCGCGCTCGTCCGTAAACCAAACCTTAAGCTCCTAGCGCTTTCCAAGAGGAACGACGTCAACCCTTTCCCCTTTTTCACTCACTCAGCAGACGAAAAGCGTGCTTAGGTAACAGATAACATGATACATACTTAAACAATCCAAGAGACTGCCGCCGAAAATGAAGAGGTCAAGCAGTTCCTTTGCTCCAATGTATTTGAAAGCACCAAGTTCTCTGGGCCCAGATGCGACTGGGAAACAGGAATATGAGTAGCGCCGCAATCATACTCAGGATATTGAAATATCCCAAACACTGTCAATTGAAAGAGAAAAATGCTCGCTTCGTGAGAGGGCTCGAAAGGCGACATCTCAGATAGGCAGGAACCGAGCCTTTGCTGACCTGCTGAACGTTCAGTCCTCTGTCTTCTTTCTGATCCTGATCTTCTCCCAGTACGAAATCCAACCAATATTTCAAGTCAACAGCTACTCTCAGACAATCAGAAAAATAGAATATTAGAACTTACATCTCGCAACCCCACCCCCCTCCCCCCCCCAATCTCAATAATTAACAGCACCAAGATAACGAGTGAGTCACGACCATTCTCAAGACCAAGTAGCAAACAAGCAGCAGCCGCCATTCTCACATAGCCATCCCTATGAGGGATGAAATAGCAAACAGAGATCAAAACACGAAAGAGGAAAACCAGCCCTAGCGCCAACGGACAACAATGTCCACAGTTGAGTAATACAATCCATGCAGAGACAAAAGCTACTATCTGATCAGCTTACAATCATTAGAATGTGCAGCGTTTTCTCGGGTGCGCGAGAAATACAAGGAGGAGACCAACCCGTTTGATGATGAAACTCTCGAGTCCCAAACAGTATGTACTTCCTGTGCCACTCCTCCAATGTCCCTAGTTCAAGAGTAGGCGCATCCTCTGTTCTTTTCCCACGTCTCCCTACTCCCAAGAAGCTGCTACGCTAGGCTGGGAGGTTCTGTTTGCAGGAATCGTGGGTCGTGCCACTTTTGTTATCTCTGCTGACTTTGATTATCCATAGGCACTTGCCAGAGGGGATTCTGGCTTTTGTTTGGGGAAAAGTTCAAGAAAAAGTGGTCATGGACTCAGCTGCCTATTGCAATTTTCGTCTCCCGGTGCCTCTCACCAAGGCGCTCATTATCGATAATCAACTCTGGTAAATTTTAATTCGAGTGTCTATTGGAAGTATGGCACAGCCTTAGTCTGTCTGCATGGTATCGTCATTGTCAAAAGACATCGGCTCGGGCTCCAGTGGAACACCTCTCCCTCTACCCTCCAACAGCTCCCTCCTAACCTCTGGCCCAATCTTGGAGTGGCCCTTGGTGAGCAACAGATCAAGCAAAGCCTCTCTCTGGTCCTCGGTGATATCGTTCCTGTATCGCTGAGCAAACGCCAACAAGCACTGATGCCATATGACCGGCAATTTCGTGTCCTTGGATCCAGGTCCAGAAATACTAGTCATGGCCTCGCCGCTCAACGTGTCGACGGTCCGGAATCGCAAAAAGTGGAATACAAGTGCATCAATAACCTGGAACGGCAAGGCATATTTCTTCTCCAACATAGCCTTGATGAAAATGTTCGTCGCACCCCCTCCTTCCGTACCCGCCGAAGACTCCTGGGCGGCGATGTCACAGAGACCCTTGATCGCAGCCGCAGAGTGGAGCACAGGCACAGAGACGCGAACCAAGACAGCAGAAATAATCTGGGCTTCGCGCAGTGTGCAGGTACCACTTCCAACGAGTGGGAACAGGAAACCCTTGAACCAGGCCGCGGGTTTGTACAGCCCTTTCTTCAATGCGTTGAAAAGATGCACGTTCAGCTTCTTGGTCTCGTGAATGTCCTCTCGTACCCGTTCCAGGACCACTATCTCGAAGAATCGTTGTGCGGTGGCCGGTGTGCTAGACACAAAGATTTTGGTAGCTTCGTAGATTGCATTTGGGGTCCATGCTTCAGGTCTGGTAATCTCAATGATATCTTCCCAGCGAGGTACCGTTGGCAGAATCTTGAATGGTTTCGGTAACTTTCCAGACTTGTACCGCGAAAGTAGAAGACCAACTCTGCCCACTAGTCAGTAAATCTTCTTAGAGGAACCACGGGATGCATACTTTGTGTAGACCTCGACGACCTTTGGCGGAATCTCAAAATCTTCTTCTATCGGTCCCGGCGCTCCAGAATTGCCACCACCGTTGCCGCCTCCTGCTCCCTCGTGCATAGCGATCTTTTCCAAGATCAGATCGGCCAAGTTCGTCCCAGGTCCTTCGTCCTTCACACTATCGTCTACCCCCGGCCAGCCCTGCTTCAACAAAGGGTCCTCCTCCGTGGGAAAGAACTTGTTGAACGTTTCCAGGTCACCCGGCGCCAATTCAATCTCCTCGACATCCTCATCTCCCCACTCCTCATAGTCCTGTGTCGGCTCCTCCTCTTCCTCCTCCTCTAACCTCGACTCAAAGTCAAATGCCGTGTTTGCCGGTTGCACAGAATTCTCCTCTGTGTCCTCATCCGCAAGCTCCTGTCCCATCCGCAAGATCTTCCGCGACGCTTTCGAGTCCACGAACTGATCGCCCTCATCCTGGTGTCTGGATTTGCGCTTCTCGCCCTTGATCTTTAGGGTTCCGGTCGCTGTGAGATCCACGTCGAGGGGATTATGCCGCCGCTCTTGGCGCGGTTTTGGTGCTGGTGTTGTGGCTTTCGGCATTTTGTGGAATTAGAATTGTGGAATTGAGGTTGTGGCGATTGAATCGTCGACCCGAGGAATTTTCTCATTTTCAAAAATGATTTCTAGGGCAGGGCGCTAAGATAAGCTCCCCCACCAAAAATCGGTTGCCGCCTTATGGCCTTACGATCTGCATTTCTATACTACTGGAATTCTAGAGATACTCTTTCCTCCATCTCACTCTCACCCAAAAGACAAAAATCTTCATCATCGTCCTCGCCGAATATATTTCTCGGGTATCTCTTCTGTTCTAGTCCATTTCTTCTTGACGTTTTGTTCCAAGGCCACCCCCACTCCCCTTTTTCCTAAGCGAGCGAGCGCCGTGACTTCTCCCCCCTACACGGCTGAACATCATTGCCGATTCTTAGAAGGGTGTTATGCAAATACCTGATCGGAATACTCGAATTTTTTTTGGTGAAGAGATAGGTTTGGGATAGAGAGAACAATCAGGAAGTGCTCACGCGACTTTCATTCAAAGAAGAGAGCTGAAAGACTTATTGAAAAGGCACGATCGACAAGCGTAGTTCTTGATAGCTTGACGGTCACCTTGGTAGATGAAAGCAATGAGGAACAGGGGTGAAGAACGACAGAAAGTGTAAGCGTTCTATGTAGCAAAAGCCAACCACAGTGCCTTCAAATTCTGGGATCCTTTGAAGAGATAAATGGAGCCTTCCCATGGTAACGCTAAAATCTCTACTCCCATAAAGAATGCTATTCCAAGGGACTTTTGGAATACTGGCTCTTCAAAATCATCCGCGGCAAGACTTCTCGTTTCGAAAATTGACTCTACCCTTTTCACGTCAATATTCAAAAGCTGGCTAGCTGCCTGTCGAGTTTCAAGCGAGGCTCCCCGAATACCTACTATGTATCTAGGCGGGATTCAACTTGACTCGTCGAGTCAACCGTATGCAGGGCTGTGCGGTTGGCTGAGGGCTGCCCAGCTCTGTCCGAGAACAGGTAATTTCAGATTTTAGGCTGCATCGATATTTCCTGCCAGGTGCTAGCCCGTGGCTTCCGCAATCTCGATTGCGCGGCACTTGCTGGGAACAGTCGTTGCAAAAGCGTATTCTACCATCATCCATGGATTTCATACATCGTAGAGAGTCGTCCTCCTCTGCTTGCTGATACTCCAATGCTCCAGTCCGAAGTACCGTCTAGGCACTGGCCTTCTCCCAGATCAACTCGATCTTCTCGCCCTTCACACTTGAATTGAACCACTCGTAGATCTCCACCTTGTCCTGGCAGGCTTTCGCTCCGGCCAGAACATTCTTCTCTGCTAACCTTTCGGCTGCCATGTAAAGCTCAATCGTCGCCAGATTCCTTGCGATACACGCCCGAGCCCCAGCACCAAACGCAAAGAAGGATCTCTCCGCTGCAGCTGTCATATTTTCCGGCAGCCACCTCTCCGGCAGGAAGCTGTGAGGATTGGGGTAGGCCTCAGGATCGAGGTGAAGCTCGGTTGATGAGCAGCCGACGTGAGATCCAGCCGGGAATCGAGTGCCCTTGAATGTCCAACCACCAGGTGGAACAATGTGGGGAAGACGAGTTGGGTTTGTCATGCTGAGTCTCAGTCCCTCTCTGATGACTCCGCTGAGGTAGGGGAGGGCTTGGATGTCTTGCTTCTTCTCTCCAGCATTGACATTCGCGAGTACTTCTTCGCGAAGGATCTCGAATCTGAATTGAATGTCAACAAAGAAATTTCATATCGTCGAGTGCTAGCTACTATATGGACATACTTGTCTTGATTCAAGGCAAGATTCCGGCAAATGGTGGCAAGATTCATGCCGGTGGAATCAGTTCCAGCAAAGAGCAAGTCTTTACATTGAGCTTTGACCTCGGATTTCTCGATTCCCAAAGTAATCAACCGACCCGGAAAGTTTTGGGCGCCTTTCGGCGTCGACTCAACAAGTTGATCCACGAACTTTTCCACGACCTGCATTGAAGCACTCGTGTGCTCGTCCGAGAAGGCTTTCTCAGCAGCCCACTCTAGCCACGTGAATACCGTAGTAGGCAGATAAAAGAACCTACCAACAGCAACAAACGTATCCACAAAGGCAGAAATCGACAACGTCCTCCCCCTCTCAGAGATTCCGTTGTAATTTTCATTGAGAAGATGGGTTGATACAATGTCAACTGCCAGACTCCTCGACAGATTCAGCACATTTACCGGCCTTCCAGTGCCGGCCTCTGCCTGCATCCTCTCAACCATCAGATCCACACACCCGTACAATTCAGCTTCATTCTCTCGAATGCTCTTGGTAGAGAACATGGGCACCACAGCTTTGGCTCTGGTAGCCCTGTGGGTCGGATCGAGGCTCGAGAAGATTGTAGGGTGTCCATCGATATCGAAGTTCGCGTAGCACGGCGCCTTCAAGAACCCGCCTCTCGAGACGTATATTGGACCTATGGCATCGGCATCGCTGATATCGACTTCGTTGGGAGACACTCGGACTAGAGACCCATATTGAAGGTGGGCTTGGTGGATGACGGTCGCCTCGTCTCCGATATATGCGTGGTAATGCAGGAATAGAGACGTGGTTTTCCAGAGGAGAGGCCCAGGAATGTGCGCAAGCGGGTGAAGGGTCATTCGGTATACTGTGCGGGAGACGAGGAGGGCGGTAGAGATCGCGAGGACTGCGAGCAGTGGATGCGCGAGCAGAGGGCCGAGTAGCAAACTGACGAGACCCATTGCGTTTGCTTGGACGAGGTACTGTGATTGAGATTGCTGGAGCAAAAAATTGGTGGTAATCAGATATACGATATACGAGGAACCATTGAAGTTGCTAGAGTCATTGGAAGCATCTCCGTCGAAGGTGGGGAGGGGAGCCCGAAGAAAGATTTAGGTTGGTGACCATACCTATCGATGGCCGATCTAATGTATACATACCTAGGTACTTACTGCCACAATTCCCTGGTAAGTAATAAGACTCGATTCGCATCTTTGTCTCTTTCCTCCACCGAGATATTTATCGTCTAGACAATCAAGTTTCTATTCATGGAGTCCAAAAGTTGAGTGGGGCCGCTGCAAACCCACCTGTGATAAACATTCCAGGCCTCCTCTTCGATATTGGTTTTATCTATCTAATTATGATGGGAGTTTACCTCACAAATTCTGGGGTCCTTCCCTGTGAGGTCAACTCCCACTAGTAGTCCCCTTTATTATTTTCGTCTTCAAAGAAGTACGCTAGTAACCAAGTACTTTCCCAATACATACACACACATACATATATATCTTACCTAGAAACCATTCTCAGCAAATTTACACAATGAAGACAGATACTATTTACAAGGAAAATAGAAGGAGAAATACTCCGAGCTCTAATACAGGCAATTCGCTTTGAAGGATCCGCGTCCCGCCGCCATTCGAGAATTTAGATTTTCCCGCACTTTTCCAATTCCGTCTGGTTGATATCAGATACTTCTACAATATCAAAAATGTCACAATCTGTTACCAAATCCGGCTGCACAATAGATGCTCTCTGCCTAATAGCTCATCTGCAATGGGAATTTCTCTTTAGCATCGTGATTCCAGAGTATCTGTGGTCACCCAGGGATTCTAAAGTCTAGACCATAAAACAAACCCGAGGTTGTAAAATCAGGGTTTTGAAAGTCTGGATTTCCGAGAATGTAAATAAAATCTTTGCGATGGCCTTGGCCGCCAGGTGTTTGAAGCCTCGGTTTCAGTCACGGGGGGGGGTTATTTGCGTGATGCAGCGCATTCAAGTTGTGACAGCGCTGAAGATTCCGGATGACGAGGCTCGAGACTTGGAGGATTTTAAAAACCAGAATTTAAAACAGGGAGGAAAAGTGGGGGAAGAAAAAGGGAGTAGGGAGTTGAAATGTCGTAAGGAAAAGCTTCGGGCTTGGGGGAGGTAAAAGTCCTGTCAAAACTGGGGTTAAATCCTCAGTGCAGTTTGTATGGGGGCAGTATGATAATCCGATCCTATAATCCAATTTCTGACTTTGAGATCTAGTGGACCAAACGCGATTTCAACGCTCGGATTCGAAATCCACCCCTCGGGATATGTAATACGCGGGCGACGAAAGGGGCCCTTGATGCGATAAAATTTTGGGGGATGACGCACTGAGTGTGTCCATCGATATCTTGCAATATTGCATTTATTGTGTTCCATAAATTTATGGGAGCAACGCAATGAATCGACGAAAGGGGTTGTATGCTCACAAGTAAGTATGTCTGATATTTGTTCACTTTTGTACTATCAACCTCCCTCAATTTGTATGTTTTTATTTCTTTTCTTCCGATCAGGACAATATCAAGTTGCTCGTAAGCCTCAATTAAGCCTATGTTATGCCTCTTGGTTGGGACAGAGAGTGACAACGCTTCCGAGCCCGCTTGGCCTGCTCCGTAGACATCAAAGCTGGAGCGCAACCCCTAATTTTAGCCAATCTTGTACGAACAATCACCTACTTATTTTATCCTACTAATAAATCCAGCGACTCCCTCTCTGTCAGAGAACAATAAGACATCTGGGATCGATATTCCGGCTCCAATTCCACACTTTGCCGCATCAGCATCAGCAAGATAGGTACAACAATATCAATTCGCTAAACCTAGGGACCTGGAAATACAATACCACTCACTCACTCACTCAGTCGCAAAATACCCAAGGATCCCTCATTCATTCGTTCATCCATCCATTCCTTCATTCACATCACATCACATCTCTTTTCTTCCAGCCATAAATAAAAAAACCCCACCAAATCCACAACCGGAGCACCTCATCATCATCATCAACAACAACAACAACAGTACCTAGCTGCTTAGCAAGCGATAGAATGCGATTGGCATCTGTAAAATCCCAGCTCTAGCACCTCCTCTCTCTCTCTCGCCCGAGCAGCTCGAACAGGTAGCTCGCCCCGAGAAACTAGTCCATGAAAAGGGCTTCGGAAGGAAGGAAGAAAGGAAGGAAGGAAGGCGAAGTTCGAGCCACGGGAGGCTTAGAACCGCGTTTCATATCCGTTCCATCCACATACCGTACACACACACATCCTCGCACATCCATCCATCCATCCAGTCAGTATTCGCAGGCCACGAAGGAATTTTTTTTCTTCTGGCATCCAATCCGACCCCGTCCGCGATTGGCTATTCATTGAGTCAGCCTGCAAAAAAAAAAGGAGGCGGGGGGGAGGGGGGCTTAGGAGGAGATAAATCCGGGCGCGGCGTAGGTAAGTAAAGTAAACAAAGCTCGCTTAGCGAGATCGCATGGCCCAATGGGTGAAACGAGAGACGAGACGAGACGAGACGACAATCAGATGCTTCAATTGATCGGCCTGGTGCAGAAAGCCGGACGCCCGTTGATTCATCTGATTCTGGTCCCGTTTCGTATCATATCATCACATCACATCACACCTTGCCTTGCCTTACCTTGCCTTGCCTTACCTTGCGAGGAAAAGGAAAAGGAAAAGGGGGGTAAAAAACCCCAAATCCGTATGCTGTTGTACAAGTAAACCCCAGAGCCCGCTTTCTTTCTTCTCCAGAGAGAAAAAAATCCCCCCTAACTCTCTTTTTATTTTCGTTTCTTCCTCGATGGAAATTCTCACCCACCCCTTTTATATCTAAACACGTCCCTCTTTAATACAGCTGGTCTAAATTAATTCCTCTTTCCGAAAAACTAAAAACTAAAACAAAAATAGAAATAGAAATATGCGCTCCTCAACATTCCTTTCCGTCGTCGCCGGCGGCTTCCTGGCTCAGCTGGCGTCCGCCTCCGCCCTCGGCCGCAGACAGGCATCCAACACGACCGCGTGCGCCACAAGCGTCCACATGATTGTCGCGCGCGCCTCGACCGAGATGCCCGGCCAGGGCATCATCGGCGCCGTAGCGACCAAGGTGCAGAACGCCATGTCGGGCTCCGACTCGGAGGCCGTCGTCTACCCCGCGACCCTGACCGACTACCAGGCCAGCGAAGCCTCCGGCGTCGCCGCCATGACGAAGCTGATCGAGGAGTACACGGCGCGGTGCCCCGACACCAAGATCGCGCTGATGGGCTACTCGCAGGGCGCGCAGGTCGTGGGCGACGTCCTGTGCGGCACGAGCCAGGCGAACTTCAACACGACGAAGCCAATCGCGGAGAAGTACCAGAAGAACAGTGAGTGAACCCTCCCCCGGCACATTCCCTCTCTGTCCCGTCCCGCGGCGTCAAACGTCAACTAATACGTTTCCTTCTTCTTCTTCTTTTTCATCTAGTCGTAGCAGTCATTCAGATGGGCGACCCATCACACATGCCGAACTTCCCCCAGGACGTCGGCAACGCCACCAAGGCAGGCATCTTCCCCCGGCCCGACACCGCCGCGTGCAAGAATCTGGAGCCCATGACCAAGGCCTACTGCAACGCCGACGACCGCTTCTGTGACTCGGGAAACAGCGTCCCCGTGCACCTGGCGTACGTGCAGAACTTTGGGACGCAGGCCGCCGATTTCGTCATGAAGATGGTCATGGGAAACTCGACCATGTCGACAGGGACCGGATCCGGGACGGCGACTACGTCGTCCGGCAGTACGCCTAAGGGATCAGGGTAGGTGTTGCGTTGCATCTTGCTCTTGCTATTTGTTGTTGTCGTCGTTGTTGTTGTTGTTGTAACTGTTGTTGTAGCTGTTGAGGAATCCATGCTGACGATGAAATCAACAGCAGCCCTAGTGCGACCGCCACCGCCAAGCCCACGACGAATGGTGGTGCCGAGAGGGCGGGAGTCAACAGTGCAGCGGCCTGGATCGCCGCGCTGGTGCTGGGAGTAATCTTGTATTTGTGATTCTGAGATCACATAGTTAGTTGGGTACGCGGATAGGCGATAATGTTGAGAGAGAGAGATAGTAGAAGGTCTAAGATTGCAATTCTTTGAGCGGGATAGGAAGCGAAGCGACTAGAGCGAGAACCTCCTCCCCCTCCGAAACGCTGGCTAGTTTCAACAATATTCAATGTACATAGATTCATTGCTCGTCCTACAATTAATATCCCTGCTTAGTATCAAGTTTTCCTTCCTTACTCCAAAGGTTAGGTGGACCTCATCCTAGATAATCTGCCTAGCACTTTGCTAAAGGCATTCACAACGCCCCTTCTTTGTCCACCACCCACTTTCACGACTGAATAAATGCTGAAAACATATGTGTGGAAGTCAAGAGCACGGTATACTCCAATCCGTCAAATCGTCAAATCAAAAGAAAGAAAGAAACAAAAGGATCAGATCCGTCAACGTCCCAGATGAAGATCTGTCCGTAAAAACGAAGGGAAAAAACATTTTGCATAAACAGAAAACAAAAATTGTATTAAAAAGATGGCACGATTAACTCCTACGCGAGCTCAGTCAACCTCCTCACTGATCCCGAGATTCAGGTTATACAAACCCATTTGAATTGTGTAAGCTACTGACGCTGCAAAGGCAAGCCAAAGCAAGCAGTTGATAGTCACTAATAGGTATCTAATGCAAACCCCCAAACATCAATTCATCCTCCTCATGCCATTACGCACAAAGGTAAGCTATGCACTGCGCCCAAGCCAGCCGAATGTCCAGAACAAAGCATTCAAGCACCGTGCGCCTAGGCATCCTCCCCGTTTGTACACGGGTAGGCTATATGCCCTCATAGCCAATATCGCAGTAAGCAAAAAGTAAGAAGGGCTCGCCCCTTCCCGCGCCGGATACCCTAAATCCATGCATGCCTCAAGATGCCATGACTAGAGAGAAGTTGCCATCTGGGCAGCCATCGCTCCTCGAACGCAAACAAAGAGAAGTTAGATGTCGCGCTCGATAAACTCAAAGTCATCGTCCTCAATGACAGTTGAGTCAGAAGCTCGGACCACACGCTTGGCAGCCTTATGCTTGGGACTCTTCCTGCCCTTTCCTCGGCCGAGGACGGTCGTTTCGCCATCATGGTCCAAGACTTCATATTCGCCCTTGACAATCCTATCCGTCTGATCGCTACGGAACCTCTGCTCTGCAAGATCCACCAAGCTTCCGAGATCAACCTGCCGGCCCTTATCACCAGGGCTCGGACCCTTGTTATCAAAGCTGTAGAGGATCTCGGCCTGGCCAAAGGCAGCAGATTCTCTGAGAGCAGTTTGGATAGCAGACTCTGTGTTGTTGGAGTGTGTGGGAATGAGTTCGAGGAGGGATTTAGAGAGGTTGGCGCCGCTGTCTTTGGCTTCAACGATAGCAGCATTCTTGTGAGCAAGGCGGGATCGTCCATCGTAGCTGCCGTACGGCTTGGGAGGTTTGTTGGCATGGGATTTGTGCTCCCCGGACCTGTTTGTTCGCTTGTTAGTGAAGGATCCTGAGCTGGAGAAGGGCCGGTGGGTGTTTGCGACCTACATTTGACTCCACTGCTTGTGAGGACGGACTCGGATTTTCTGGCTCTCATTGCTAGCCACGATCTCATCGGTTACGGGGTCAAGCCGAGTACCGCAAGGTATACGGATGCCATTGCTCCACTTCTCTCTCTTGTCCTTGTCGTGCTTGAAGGCAAGGTTGTCTGCTCTGATATCCTTTCGCTCGACCGGAGCAACCGGGTTTCTGGAGGAAGTCTCAGACATAATGGATGATGAAGTCGAGTTTGAGATGTAGTGTGGCGATGGGAGGGTTGGAGGTGATGAAAGGGTTGGAAGTGATGTTGATAAAGCTTGGAGATGCGTCAAACTCCAATCTGGGGGGTTCTTTGTACTCAAAAGGTCTGGAATAAGCAACAAAGGCCTGGAAATTTCCAAGACGGTCGATGGAGCAATGTTGAAAGAATAGTAGAAATATGGGATCGAGTTGGGCAGAGATACGTAGGGAGAGCGAGTTGAGGTCGATCAGAGGAGGTCGACGACCGATGACCGAAACGAAGGAAGTTACACCGGATGACTGTTTCGTGTCTCTTGACGAGTCACTCACAGAATATAGCTCAGGTAGGCAGGTGAGAGTTGCTGATTAAGGAAGGCGCGGACCACACACAATGAAGTGGTAGTTTCGTAGCCGTAGTCGTAGGCGTAGTCAAAGAAGAGATATGCTCGCGTGGTGCGGTGTATGGAAGACAAAGAGAGAGAGAGGACCTCGGGCAGTCCGGGGACGACGAGTGAGTCAAACGAGGCGGAGGCCGGATAGTGGACAAGTGAATGATACTATCCAGACGACGTCGAGGTAGATGCAAAGGAAACGGTACGTAAGTACGAGACTGCGGGAATAGGGAGGAGAATGGTTGGGTGATGGGGATGTTGTTGTTGATGTTGAGATTGAAAGCTTGGAGAGGGTGGGGGGGAGAAGATCAGAGGGGGGTAGGGCAAGAGAGGCACGTCCCCCTCTCTTTATTTACTACTGTACCGGTACCGGTACTTTATCTCGTCAAACAAAGTATCTCGTGCTGAGTGAGAGCTAGCTGAGCTGAGCTGAGCTGATCGATCAGCCATGACCGTGACCACTGACTGACCTGACTGACCTGACTGACTTCTGCCTATAATTAATCATGGCGCATCGCCCGTATCGGATCACGGGATGGGATACGGGATGCATGGCCATGGCTGATAGACGATGATAAGGAGAATGGGATTGATACCGGTAGACTGATTGCCAGGCGCGGGGTGATAAGAAGAGGAGCATGTTTGAGATTCCATCCGGGGCTCCGAACCTTGGCTGCGTGCGATAAAGTGCCCCCTGCTCAGACAGCACATCACGTGAGCAGAGTCTATCCTGCAGAGGCACTAGCCGGATCCGGTGGCGGGGATTGTGTCACGGGTGTCAAAGCACGTGATCAGACGTCAATCTGCGATGGACAGGCTGTTGCACGCCTTTCTTTGGACCTAAAACCCAGTCCGAAACAACTAACCTCGGGATCTAGTCACCAGGCACACCTGGACGTCCTTTGACCATGCGTGCACCATGACGCTATGAGCTGGCAATGCACGTGGCTTGATAGGACCGCATCAGCAAGCTGTCTTGAAATAGAAACATGTCCAAGTGTGTACAGACGTTCAGGCCTTACGTCTTGTCTGACCGCCTTCGATAGGTCTACATAGCATACTAGTGGGCAATACTTTCTGCCTATGAGATAGGTACCTTAGGTGGGTCCAGCCTAGGGCGGTGAGACACGACAGTAAGGCCTACCTCCGTACGCCATCTCGAAAAGGGCGAGCCCATCTCTCCAAGCGAGCTCCTCCGAATCACCCCGAGGAGCACCCACTAAGTACCGTACCGTAGTGCACCCTCAAAGCCCCACAAAAACTTCCAAGCTCCTCATGTCCCAACCCAAGGGGCAGAAACAATAACGAGTCAATCTCTGCCCAACACCGCCCAAAATGTCACTCTCTAGCTACCTTGCCTCCAAGTACCTCTCCGCAGACCCCCCTTCCTCCTCCAGCAGCGGCAAGAAACGCAAGCGCAAGAACCCAAAGGAGAACAGCGGCCTCATCATCGCCGACGACGACGCCCTCGGCTGGACAGCCTCAACCGAGAACCACGATGACGACACCCCGCTCGCCATCTCCTCCGGATCTGCCGAGTTCCGCAAGGCGAAGAAGAGCGCGTGGAGAACCGTTGGGACACCTGCGCTGCAGCCTCGAGATGGGGATGCGGAGGCCGCGGACCGGATCGTCGCGCAGGCCGCACAGGAGAACAGCGCTGCGATGCAGCAGGACGAGGGGCCGGTGGTGGAAGGTGGTGGCGGTGACGACGGCGTGGTGAAGATGGGAGACGGGACCCACGCGGGACTCCAGAGTGCGAAGGCCGTAGCCGCGCAGTTTCGGAAGCGGAAGAGGGAGGAGGCGGCGGCCTGGGAGAGAGAGCAAGCCGCGCTAGGCTTGAGTACGGGGAAAGGAGGCAAGAGGAAGGAGGAGGAGACTGTCTACCGCGACGCCACGGGTCGACGGATTGATATCTCGATGCGGCGGCAGGAGGCGCGCCGGGAGGCTGATGCAAAGGCGGCCAAGGAGAGGGAGGAGCTGGAGCAGCAGAAGGGTGATGTGCAGTTGAAGGCGAGGGAGAGGAGGAGGGAGGAGCTGGACGAGGCAAGGTTTATGACTGTTGCGCGGGGGGTGGATGATGTGGAGATGAATGAGGAGTTGCGGGAGGTGGAGCGGTGGAACGATCCGGCTGCCCAGTTCTTGGTGAGGAAGGAGGACGGGAAGAGCAGGAGTGGGAAGTGGATGAAGCAAACCTACAAGGGAGCTGCGGCGCCGAACAGGTATGGGATACGGCCTGGGTATAAATGGGATGGTGTTGATCGGGGCAATGGATGGGAGGGGGAGAGGTTCAAGGCGCTCAATCGCACGATTCGGAACAAGGAGCTCGATTACGCTTGGCAGGAAGACACGTAGACCAACCACACTTGAGCCACAAGATTAGAGAAAATATGAGTCCAGGCACTTTTATTCATGTCTATGCTATGAAGGTCTTCTGATGCAGTGCCACCACGCATGCAGATCCAACAAACTCCGCCCTCAGCTTGCAGAACCTCGCAAAAATACTACACTGGTGTGCTTTCCTTCCAGATAGAAAATTCCCCACGCAACTCGCTGCCCCCATCAATACTCGAATTATTTTGTCTTTGGCCGCAGCAGTTTGTCTTGTCCATATGCTGAGTTGCTCTTGACCAAGCGGATGAAATCGGCTCTGTTATCAGCAGTAACACGACCCACAAAGACCTTGAGCAAATCCTTCATAGGAATACCTCTGGCCGGAAGAGCCTTGCGGATCTCGTGGGCTTGGACTGGACCTACTGGACCTGCACCAGGCGATTGAGCACGAGCACTAGGCGATTGGGCACGAGCAGAAGGCGATTGAGCACGAGAAGAAGGGGATTCGCCTGTGGCATATGTTAGTAGATGATTTTCAGTGTGGGAGGATGCCGCAAATCTGATCAAAACAGGGTGCTCAATGTAGCCACCACTACGCCTCTTGCACAATCGGAAAATCTTACCGGATGCAGCCGCAGGGCTGCCTGCTCTGGAACCCGCACGTGATGCAATGTGAATCTTGATCTTCTGTGGCGCCTTTCCTCCATCAGACCCCTCACCTCCAGTGGCCTCGCCATCACCAGCAGCACTACCTCGGACGGGGCTTGGATTTGGAGGCGCAGAAACAATATCCGAGAGCTTGCCTTGGTTAACCTTGATGTTGACGAGAGAGCCTTTTCGTGAGATCTGGCCGGGGCCTGCTTGTTGGGGTGCTGGAGACATTGGACGAGATCCTGGGACTGGAGTGGAGGAGCCAGAAGCTGAAGTCTGGTGCTTCTTCTTGAGCTTCTTTCTGGTCGACTCATTGCCGCTCGACTCTGAAAGGTTAGGAGAACCTGCTCGCTTCAAGTTCTTAACCTTCTCCAGAGGATCAGTGTGCTTGGGACGGCCGGATGGAGTATTCGCTCCTTTCGTCGAGGCTCCGGAGGGGGGCTTCGAGGTTGAGTCCAACTTAGCCTTTTCTTTATTCTTCGCCTCTTCGGCCTTCTCTTTGTTCTTCGCCTCTTCATCCTTCTTCTTGTCGATCTCCTTCTGCTTCTCCTCGTCGGACGTGTCATCTTCGCTCTGTTATAAGTTAGAAATGGGTTTTCTTAAAAGCGAAAGCCAGACAGCCATACCGAATCCGAGTATGGATGATCAGAATCACTGTTGTAAACAAAGTTTCGCTCTCGTTTTCTGAGTGCCTTTGTCACATCTTTGCCGAGCTTTTTTCGCGCCTCCTTTGCCTTCTTATCCTCTGCCTCTTCCTCGTCAACATCAGCTTCGTTGGTTTGATCAAATACATTGGCGCCTTGACGATCTCTCTTTACTCTTTCCTGGGCATCCTTGGCATCTTCGTCATTCTCGGGATCGAACGTGACTTGTTCGTCGTCATCTTGGAAGAGATCCCCTTCTTCGAAATCCATGTCGTCCATTTCTTGGACCTCTCTCTTTCCGACGCTCTTGAAGGTGTTGCTTTCGGCCTTGACAGTGAATAAACTACCCATCGCTTTTCGAGATTCTTGCACAGCCCGCTGGGATTCATTTTGCTCGTTAGTCTTCATGACCCATCTTGATTCCTTGTGCTTCTTTGCCATCTGCGTCTCAGCCTCCTCAATAGTGTATGTCTTGAATTGACCCTTCGGCGTGAATCTGTACCACTTCTCGATGGGAATCATCTTGAAACTCGCCCCTTCGATCACGAATATGACGTTGGTATCAGACAGCGCCGCTTCGTAATTGCCAACCCACGTATTCTTGTTGTCTGCATCCTCCAAATGCCACGCCAAAGCTTCTTCGTACTTCAGATCTGACAGCTTTTTTTGCTCCTCGGTTTTGTCGAGTCGATACACCTGGGTAGTCTTCTCGTGCCTAAAAGCCTGCGTCTTTTTCGCAGCGAGTGCAGCGGCATTATTTCCGGTAGGCGCAATCTGGGCCAGATCCAAAGCTCTCTGCTTTTCCTTCTCTGCCTTTGCAATTTCTTGCTTCTCTCGCTCCTTTGAATCCATCGGGGCTTCCATCGTAGTCTGATCCTCGTCTTTGACTCCCTTTCCAGGCGGTGGTTGTCTGGGATCTCGTCTATGCAATAGAACTGGTCTCGTAAACTCATTTTGATCGCTGGGATCAACAGGCTTCTTCGATGCGAACCGAGCAATATGATATCTTAATCCCTCCCGCATAGCTCTCTTGGTTGTAAAGAGCGGGTAGTCCATAAACTGCCCCTCCGGAGAGGTTGTCCAGCCACCTTTTGCACTTGAATTTCCTGCGCCTGGAACGTTGGAGGATTGATTCGGACCAGGACCTGCTCCTCGAGGAGGCAATTTACCATTCACAGGGTATTGAGGGGTTGGTCGGCCAGCCACGGGAAGCCCATTCGGCTTGTATGTAGAGGCATGCGGGGCAGCACCAGTGCGCCGAACTGGCTTCTTGCGCGGTCTCAGAGGGTCTGCAGCCTTGGATCTTCGTACATAGAGGGGAGCGTCGCCTTTCGGAGTTGGACCGTTGGACTGGCCAGAGGGAGAGGCGCTCATTATTGGAGATATGTCGCGGCAGATGATGCGTATCGGAGATGCTGAAGCTTATGAAAAGGCGAACAGCCGATTCGATCCCGCGTGGTTATCACCAGCGCCCAGTCTTGCTTGCCTAACACGCCGTCATGTATGTTACTTTTGCGCAGGAGAGCTGGAGAGCTCGGAGTTCTGGAGACGTCTGTGCGAAGTGGTCGGTAGGTATAATGCGATCGCTTGGAAATTTTGAAGGTGCGGTGGCCGGTTGCACAGCAGTCGTGTCAAGGTTGTACAGAGGAGAGGTTGTGTCGTGTTTGTGAGGTTGGGGGTGTTGGAGGTGGACGTGGACGTGGTAGTTCTTTGTTGGTTCTTTGCGGTTGAGAAAGGGAGAAGAGGTTGCGATTGCGATGAGCCGCCCCGGACGAGGTGAGTTCTAGCTCACTTGGTAATCTACGCTAGGCCTAATTGGGGAAAGACGTAGTTCAGTAACGTGACCAGGCTAGCCGGTACTGTGTCGCGTCGCACTACAGCATGGGAAGCGATCGCGAACTTTTAGAAAGCCTCACCTCAATTACGGAGGACCTGCTGTCCCTTCTTCTTGTCTCCGATAAATTAATTCGAAATATCAACGGAACGCGAAACAGGGGAGGGAAACTGTGGCCGAAGAAGAAGAGTCGGTTGTTCTCAACAAGCGAGAACAATGGGATTTGGCCTCTACCTGGACAGTCATCGCTGTTGGACTAATCGATCTCGACCTCCACCTCAACTCACCTCTCGAGGTCAATTAGGTATTGAAGGGCGAACTTCGATTGTTGCGCCTGAGCCTCAGTCCGCATTGAGATAGATCCTCTCTACACATTCAATCATTCAATTGACTTCCCGTCGTTACTTCACATTGCACCCAGCAAACACAGCACCTGCCCACCCAGCCAGCGGCCCTTCCTCTCTCGGCACATCAAGTTCAGCCCCAAAGCAAACACGCGTTGACCTAGATCACATGACTGCCAAAGCTACCAGTACAGGCTGGTGGTAGTGGCGACAATCCTCTCCATCCTCTCCATCCTCTCCATCCTCTCCATCCTCGCTCTTTCATCTACGACAGCAGACCTCGAACTTTCAACGACCCGCGTCGATCTCTGCCTGGAGATACAGCTGCACGCGTGCTGTTGCTTGCTTGCGGACTCTCTCACCATGTTTCCTCATCAAGACCATTCTGGTCAAAGTGGAGGAAGCCTGGAGGACCGCCTTCGAGGACTCATTCTCAGCAACGCGGAAACAAGTTCAGTCCCCAGAGGCGGGCACAATCTCCCTTCCCTTCCCCCTCCACCTGGATTTTCGCCTCAACCAGTCCTTGATCTTAACTCTGACATATCTGGCCAGCATCAGCAGCAGTTCACGCATTCTGCTCCGCTCCCTATAACCAGCAATGCTCCAAATTCTCTGCCTCCTCCGGGACTCTCATCCTCACCTGGGCGGAAGAGGCTTAATCAGGCCCAACGCCGCCAGATGAATGCCCAATTGTCAATTCCCATTGACTCGCGCCCTATTCCTGGAGTTCAAGCAGGACGTGGAAACGGTTTCTATTCGCCCAACCCGCAATTTGGAAATCAGAACTTCAACAATAGCACACCAACTTATCAAAACCAAAGATTCCCTCAGCAGCCGCATCAATCACAACATCAACAACAGCAACTTTCACCTCGTTTCCAGAATCAAGGTCCTGGTCCCGCATCCCCCTACTCCCCGCGGCCGATGCACCCGCAAAACCCTCTACAGTCGCCAATGAATCAGTACCGATCCGGTCCGAATCCCCAACTTCAGCAGAGACAAGGCCCTGGTCAATACCAACAACCGCCTCCAACTTCCTGTGGTCGGCCACCCGTTCAAAATCGGCAGCTTTACCAGCCAGGATCCCAGAACAGTCACGGCGGAAGGCCATTTGCACCAAACACACATGACCTAGCAAGTCAAACTTCTCACCTCGAACGGCTTGTCAACCTGTGTGTGCCGCAAGTGGGTATTGATCGTCAAGAAGAGACTGAAAAGGAGGCATTCAGGGCTCTGGTAGAATTAGCATGCCGAGAAGCTATCGCCGAATATGAGACCAAAGAGCTTGGCAATGAGAAATTCGATCCCTCTACAGTCGAATTGCAATGTTTCGGGAGCATGCGGTCGGGATTTGCTACTAAAGCTTCTGATATGGACCTTGCACTTCTTACTCCAAATTCGCATCCCCCGGCTGATTCGCCAGAGTCTCTGATACCCCGCATATTGGAAAAAAGGCTGTTAGACCTTGGCTACGGCACTAGGCTCTTAACGAGAACCAGAGTACCGATCATCAAGCTTTGTGAGAAGCCCACGGAGAAACTACTGTCTGACCTGCTTCAAGAACGCCACAAATGGGAGAGCGGCTTTGTTTCAGATCATGAGGAAGAGGATGAGCACCACGATGTCAAACCTACACCGGCAGTTGATGACGCCCGACAAGACCTAGACACTCAACCAATTCCATCTCCAAGGAACGACCACCAAAAAGCTAAGCTCGAGTCGTATGATGAGTCCCTGGCTACTCTCAAGCAAAAGGAAGAGCAGTCCCTCGGGGACTACTGCAACTCTGCTAAGCGATTATTGAGGAAACTCGGCGGTCGCGACGTTACCATGAATTCACCCGATCTGAACGAGAAGGAGTCGACCATTCTCAACGATGTGTGCAAAGCATTCATCTCTGGCCTTTACTCGCAAGAATTGTTCAATCGACTATGCCATTACCAGTCGATCCTGCCGCTCTACGACTCTTCTTTGCCTTTTGTGCAACGCTCACTTCATGGAGTTTGGACCCAAGCAGACGGCGAACGATTAGTATTGGCGTGGCACACCCGGCCGCTTCTGGAGCCTAACGAGAAGCTTGAATACGAAGGTTCGCAGCTTGTGGAGGCATGGTGTGCATTGCAAGACAGGACTGCCCTACTTTGTGATCCTGCTTTTTACAGCAGGCAGCTATACTTGGCCTCGGAGAAGCTCAAGAAAATCAACTCCATTCAACTGGTAGTTCTCGAGCAGATTCAACATGAAGACCCGATGTATTATCAAGCAAGGGCGCAGAAAATCTTGAATGAGCTTACGAGTCCAGGACAGCCATTACTGGTTTCCAAGACCACCTCGATTGTTGTTGACCGTTACATTGAGGGCATTGCAAATGCTCAAATTCGTGAGTCTATTCGTAGTGCCGATCGTGGCGAGGCAACCCTTCATCAGGTTGGTCTCCACCATCGGGCCCTTCAGCTGGCGATCGATTACGAGCATGCCCTCAAAGTTGGAGCATATAAAGACTCGGACCGCCCCGATGTTGAGCAGTACGTTGAGCTGCTGAGATCACGGAATTTTTATGGCTCGGTAGATCCGGAGATTGATGTTGATCAAGCTACTTTGGTTAAAAAGATGAGAATTTTACCCGACCCAACTGTGACGTCTCTCAATAAGCCTCGCGACCGTTTTAAGGACCATCTCGAGTTTCCAAAGGCAGATATCGGTATCCAATGTGATATCAACTTCTCGGCTCAGCTTGCAATCCATAACACCCAGCTACTACGGTGCTACTCACAAAGCGATCCACGCGTCAAGGTCATGGTGCTGTTTGTCAAGCACTGGGCAAAAACCCGTGGAATAAACACACCCTATAGAGGTACTCTTAGTAGCTACGGCTATGTTCTCATGGTACTTCATTATCTCGTCAATGTTGCCAAGCCGTTCGTCTGTATCAACCTCCAAGAAGTTCACAAGGACCCACCGGCATATCTACCACCGGCAGAGATTGACGCTCATACAAATTGTTTGGGTAGAGATGTCCGCTTCTGGCGTAATGAGACCGAGATCAAGAACCTCGCCGACCGAAAGCTGCTAAACAATAACCACGAGCCTATCGGACCTCTGTTAAGAGGATTCTTTGAATATTATGCCCAGCCCGGACAGATGTCATCAGTTGACAACCGAGGTTTCGATTGGGGAAGAGAGGTCTTGAGCCTTCGGACATCCGGGGGAATTCTAACAAAGCAAGAAAAAGGATGGATTGGTGCGAAGACGGTTATTCAGAAAACGACCATCGCTGCTCCACCAACTCCATCCTCGGCTACCATTCCGGACACTGCCAATAGCCCCGAAGGTCCGCTTGCAGTGGAGGCTCCAAAGACACCTAAACTTCCCCTGAAGACGATGGAAGAAACGAAGGAGATCAGACATCGATATTTGTTCGCCATCGAGGATCCATTCGAGCTCGATCACAATGTTGCTAGAACGGTAACTCACAACGGGATTGTGTCTATTAGGGATGAATTCAGACGCGCATGGCGAATCATCAAGAGTTTTGGGAAACCGTACGAGGGCCAGGAGGGACAACTGCTGGACCCGGTTTCTACCACGAACGATGAGAAGAGCGGAGCGCTGGCTTTGATGGACTTGATTCACGGCCCTGCGCCAAAGACCCAATCCGAGTTGGCTGCGTAATTATTTCATGATGGGTGGAAGATGCATTGGATGGCGTTGCTACGGGGAGCATCAACATGGTGTTCGGGTAATTCGGGGCGAGATGCCTTCCGAAACGTGAATATTTTTACTGCTTAAATTCTCCTATGCATCAGCAGGGTGATAATGCTTTATGCGAAGAGCTTATGAATGAAACAATTCTTCTCTGCTTGCAAATCTTGCGGTGCGTCAAATGATAGGTACATGGAGACTCCGCTTCCTGAGTACTGGCTTCCACCCACTGCTTACTGTGAGCCATGCATAATTCTGTACCTCGCAAATGGAAGCGATTATTTCGTGATACAAGCGATCCTACCGACCACCAAGTCCAATTCGTGGAGAAAATCAGGGAGTATTCGAAGATGAGGAGGTTTTGGGGGAGGGGAAAGGGGTTGCTGGTCGGGATTCAATGTCGGGGCAGGTCCGAGTATAGAAATCGACTCAACCTCCGAGCTCGGCTCGGAATCTTCTGCGCGCCTCTAGATTTGCAAGCATCTGCCCCTTGCGTCTTTCGACCTCTACCAACTAACTCTGAGGCTAACTCGCGATCAGGCAGGCCCTCGTTTCTCAACGAGGCTCAACGAGGTTGGACGTACTCACTCAGATGTACCGAGTTTTATGCATCTAAGGCGTCCCCAGACGTGTATGCATGCGAGTGGAGATTTGCCAATCAATCACTATCACGTCGGGAAAAGCTTGGTTCTGTTTCTGTTTCTGTTTCTGTTTCTGTTTCTGTTTCTGTTTCTGTTTCTGAACTCCTCTATCTTGTCGTTCCTAGTATATAGTTTGTTTCCGGCTTTGACAATGTTGATGATATTCCTGATGTGTACAGTATGACGCGTTCACAATAGACAGGTAGAAGCTTTGGATTGGGTGGAAAGTCTTCAACATGTATGTGTGTATACCCAATAGTCATTCGGAGATGGAGATATTGAAATGTCGGCTACATACATGGATAGGAAGTCCGCAGTGAGGACATGTTTGGTGTGTACCTGCTTGTGGTATCTTAGTAGGTGATTAATTACCTTATCAAGTCAAATGGATTGAGACCTATATATGCATGTATACCCCTAGCTCGAGCGGGTGGCTGATCGACTGCACAGTAACTCGCGATAATGAGAGACGGTAAAAAAAATGTAGGCACGGAGCAATATTCGAAGGCGATGTTGGAGGTAGGAAAGAAGGTTAAGATAGTAAGGGGGGAACGCAAAAGTAAGAGGAAGATTATAGCGGTTAGTAAGCCGGAGGCATAAGCAGTATGCTGGGGTATGGATGTGAGCAGATATGGGGGATTGATATGTCACCGTGTATTTGGGGATATCGGGATGGCCTTTGGAGTTGGGGAGCGTGTTGGGGGAAAGAGAGGAATTGTAGATAGCTAGTTGTGGAATCGAGGTTTTCGAACCTGGGCCTCCCAGCCCAGCAGTCAAAGTCAGACTTCCTTCCTGCATCTCCTTCCATCGTCCGTAGAACCAAGAGAATCCACAAGTCACGCGGATTTCATGTGGTTGAGAAGCATCATGGCATTTGAAGTCATTCCATTTGTAACTGTCCAGTCTGAACATCATCGCAGACTAAGGATTCGTAACCCTGGGATCCCCGGAAGAAAGAAAGCATCGCAGTTTTTTTGATGCCCGACGAATTATCCAAGTCCTTGTGTCCCCAGAGGAACTCAGGACAATGGACGAGGCAAGTGAAGGGGGGGGGGAAGACACACAAGCAACCTCAACATTCTAATCCTTTCCAACAAGAGTGATAGTTCCTCCAGCATGCGCCGCGATATCATCCGTCACATCCTTATCACTATGAAGTAGCCTGCCTCATCATGGGAGCTAGCTCCAGTCAAGATGCCCAGCCACTCCTTATCCACATTGTGAATAAGAGATCCTGAATCGCCACCCTGCGCGAAGGGGAATCCGCCTAGAGAGGTTGTGATGCTCCCAAGAAGTCGACTTGTCTCCCCAGTTGACAAAAGTCTTGAACCTGGGAATTTCCCCCGATATGACATCAGTAGTTCTTCCTTTTTTTAAACCCCAATATACCCTTCCTCCCAGTCCTCCATGGGTGGCCACGGTGACTCTTTTCATCAGAAGTCAGTGATTGTTATCTTTAAGGCACTGGGAGAAAATGTAAGACATTTTACCAGAGATTCTGAAGCAACCGAGAAACAAATTAGAATGGATCTTCCGGTACGTACGTTTGCTCTGTTACCAGTGCCATAGAAGAGATAATTTCTCCCGGGACATCGTCCTATGTGCTCCTTGTGATTTCGTACGACCCAACACCCATCTCTCCAGGCTTCGTCTCTGATCTGAGAACCGGCTTGTTTTGACTGTGCGATCTGCGATCCGGAACCTCGATCAAAGCCCAGTCGTATCTGTTGCCAGTCGGGGAACGACGCATCATGCCTGAAGAATGTCGAACAAATCCTATTCCACCTGTGCGCTGGCGATTGCGAATGTTGTCAATATCTCACCGTTGATGACAATAAGCGGACCGTGATCTTCAACCTTATAGATTCGTAGTATTTTCTTAAATATATCGTTGCAATTAGAAGACCGAGACGAAGACGTTGAAATTTGGTCGTATCAAGACTCTTTAGACGAACAATTGTTAGTAATAATCGCTGCTGAAGAAGTAGAAGCTCATTATAATAAATGATATAACAAAACCTTTAAACGCACTTCCTCTTTGAAAGGTAGTCAGAAAACCGATCACCTTTTAGCTACCGAAAGCGTATCCATTCGTTAAAAGCAATTGCGTATGCCTTTGCATACCTTTAAAGAGTTGTGTAAATAGCTCGGCACTGATACGTAATTGTGATTAATGCACGGTACTAAAGATTCCATATCCTTAAAAGAAAAAGTACATATGTTTTCATATGCAGTTTGATAGCAAGCGACGAGCCGAAGTGTACAAGAAGCTTTCTAGTGCTTAAATAGACTTAAAATTTTTACTTTTGCGTAGAGTTTGAAGGCCATATGATCTGTACATCTGCTTAAAACTCTTGCTTTGAAGCAGCTAATATCGGAGCCTCCACTTCGTATTTAAATTGCTTTAAAAAAGTCAAGCAGCTCATGAATAAGGCTTTGATTCCCGTGAATCACTTAATCTATTTAAAAACCATTAGCCTCCAAACTAAAAAGGCAAGAGTTAAGATTTTAAGTAGTGTTTTAAATGATTTAAGACAACATTTGGAAGTTGGATAGATGATTTTAGCGAAGAAGTAGGTTTAATAGATAATGTTGATAAAAGAGTATAGATGCAATACGAGTAGAGAATACAAAATTTTCTAATAGGCAAATTACCATTATTTATCTGCATGGTTGCATTTTCATTCTGCAAAAGATGCTGACATATTACGACTTTGGCATAATTGCTAAGGTTTGGTTAGCATCAAGATCACAATTTTCTTTACCTTACCAACCTTGAAATGGTTTCGGTTTTAATTAAAAAACCTGCGGCCAAACAAGTCACGATTTTTAAAGGTATTCCGAATAACCTTTTTGGTAGCGAAGCTTCCTTTAGTTTTACCAATACCCTTTTCACTTCATCAACACCTGATATACCTGGCCTGGACCAGACCACCCTTTATATAGGTCGCTTCCCTTCGGGTCACGTGGTAAATCAAAATCATAGCACTCATCTCCCCGAACGCGCTAGGAGTACAGAAAACGCGAACCCCCACTAAAACGCGTCTCCCATGAACATGTCCTCGCCATGATTCCCACAACCTCACAAACCAAACGAAAGCAACAATGGACGCCCCCGATCTTGGATACGATGATGGGAATCGCGCATTCCTCCAGTCGTTCATGGCGCGTGGGACTATGACCCTCAAACAGGCCAAGCCCATGCTCGCAGCCATTTTCACCATTCAGGGCGGTCGGTTCAAGCTCTTCCCCAACGCGGCGGAAAATTACTGATTTTCCTCCCAAGATGAACCAACCGATGCAGATTCCGTCACGCAAGAAGATTTGGACTCGTACATCTCCGCTGCGGCAGATATAGTCTCCCCGTACGACTACGAAATCCGAAGCACATGGGACCAAGTGACGAAAGAACGAATCTACGCCTTTGTCAACAGCGTCAGCGATCCCATCACCCAAATAGCGACGACCCGAACACCCGAAGAAGTTTTTTATATTAAGCGGTTTCTCGATGCCATGTTCATATCGTACAATACCAGGCGGAGGGAAGCGATGGCGATCACTGGTATGCAAGCCCTCGAGACGAAAGTCCGCAAACCCAGCAGAGAGAGTGTTGGCGAAGAAGCCACGCAAGGGCAAGCCTCTGATAAGGGCCTCACTTCCGAGCAGGCCGAAAGTCTGTTGAAGAGCTTGGTAGATGAGGGCTGGATTACACGCAGCAGGGAAGGTTTCTACACGTTATCTCCTCGCGGCTTGATGGAATTGCGGAACTGGTTGATCGATACGTACAACGACCCCGATGATTCTCCGGCAGGCTGGAGGAGAATCAAGACGTGTGACATGTGCTCTGATATTGTGACGATCGGTCAGCGGTGTCCGAATCTTGACTGCCATGTGCGGATACATAATGTCTGCGAAGAAGGGTATTGGGCTACGAGGGGACGGAGTAAGAAATGCCCGAGCTGTGGTACGGCTTGGGACGGAGAACACTATGTTGGGCAGAAGGCGGTCACCAGCACCGAGGAATACCTGAAAGGAAAGCGGCGGAGTGGCATCAGCAAGAAGAGGGCTGCGGTAGAACTAGAGTTGAGTTCAGAGGATGAGGAGGTTGAGCCGGAGTCGAGTAGAGCTGGTCCGAGCAGGAGGAAAGGTCGGCATGCCCCAACACCCACTCCGAGCGACTCGGACGGAGAATGATAGATGTGTTACGAGACGACTTAAGAGACATGAATGTGAAGTTCTGATATACGAATATGAGGGCGGATTGTGGAGCGCCATCAAAATGCCGTGGATCGGCGTATTGGTTGAACATGGATGGCGTTTGCGGACTTACGGACAGTTGGTACACTGGAAAGGCTTTGGTGAGGACTACTTGTCCCTCCTCTCCAGTCAGAGGTGTTTTTTTCACTGGAGGATATTTTCAATCTGCAGCTGTATTTTCACGCAACAGGTGAGCTCGGAACCGGTGAGAAGTATCCTCATTCTGGTCTTGACTGATAATAAAGTCCCTAGTTCGAGTGTCCTCGCCTCAGATTGCAAGAGGGAACACTACGGCAAAGATTGTATATATCCTAGATCCTCAACTGACATGACCTGAGTAAGATATTCAACAACTCATCAAAATCAGGCTAGACTTCGCCAGTCTCACTCTTGTCATCTTTGGTAGTGGCGAGCTCCCACACGTAAGCACCTCTCTGATCAACCCGTTGGGTATTTGCCCATAATCAGCCACTGATACAAAAACCAGGTCGCAAGAGAACTAGTCAAAGCCAGAGTCCCCGTCATCTTTACCGCCAACCGCGGTGCCCCAGACATTTTCGAGGAACGCTTCTCATATCACGGTCCACTGCTCAGTCGCTCACCAGCCGCTGTCATTACAGTCCCCTCTAACTGCTAATGCGTGAACTTTTATTTCTCACCAGAACTCTTTACATTCGACAGCTTAAACTTTCCTTCCTCGGGCCTGGCGTCGCGAATAGGCAAGGCAATGCCGTCAGCGCCTGGTCAACAGGTTGGACGGACACCTGCTCTAGATCAGGGCCTCTTTATGACTTGCCTAAGCGGCAAGATTGGTTTGTAAGGCCAGAGGCTTCTGTATATCGATTTCCAGTCCTTCCTGGACCTGGACGTCATGGCCTAGCCTCAGTCCACATACCGCGTCGGCGCGGTCACCAACGCCACCTTCGTCGCCGCCGACCCACACAACAACCTCCGCCTCGAGGGGACCTTTGCCGCGGTCCAGCAGCTGGTGGACGGCGCCTGGACGACGGGGATTGGTTGTTTGCGTATACGTGGTATCGCGACAATGGGCTGATCGGGACCAGCCACATGGTGCTGAGCTGGGAGACGGAGAGCTACGCTGCGAATGGGACTTATCGCTTCAAGTACAATGGGGATAGCAAGGTGCTCGGGGCTGCGATTACGGCCTTTCCGGGGACGAGTGAGAGTTTCACTCTTACCTGAGCCTCCCTTTCCCGGGGGGCAGAAAGAAGGCTGGAAGTGGTGTACATGGAGAGATAAAACCAAGTAGTTTAATAACTACGAACTACGAACTACGAACAACAATAACAGTAATAATTTCTCAACGCTTGCTTACTTACCTACTTTACTCCCTTCCTTACCGACTAGCTTCGGTATCCATATATCCAGCGCGAATGGAGTAGACGTGGAATTTCCAACCAACCATCGTACATAGCCACGGGGGGTGGGAACCCCCTTTCCCGCCCGCAACATACATATATACTGCGTCGCAGGCGTAAGTATTACCCCTCGAGGGTAGGGAAAACAGGGGGTTTAAAGTGGAAACTAAACTTTTAAGGCACCCTCGAGTGGTAATACTTAGGCCTGTACCGTGGTACCTTACCTGCCCGTCATGGGTACATAATTGTCTCATATATATTAACAATAAAATAGAAAGGAGAAATAGAAATGAAAAATAGAAATGAAAAATAGAAATGAAAAATAGAAATGAAAAATAGAAATGAAAAATAGAAATGAAAAATAGAAATGAAAAATAGAAATGAACAATAGAAATGAAAAATGAAAATGAAAAATACAACGAAAAATAGAAATGAAAAATAGAATGGTAGATAGGAATGAAAATGAAAATAGAAATGTAAAGATAAATAGGAGAAAAAGTAGAGTTAGAAAGGAAAAATAGAAAGGAAGAAAAAAAGAGACATTAATAAGGAGGAGCCCGGAGGAGCCCCCTTTTCTTGGGCTTTAAGCGAGGTCTCTGTTTGGACCATGTGTGACGAGGATAGAATGGCTGTCTCTGATGAGAGTTCAGGTCAGAACCTAGTAAGTAATACTTGCAGATTTATGATCCTGTGAAAACTCATGGTGTGCGTATTAGGCTCTGAAGACGTTGTTAAATTTCCCTTTCGAGAAAGAAGAATTATATGGGACATTTTTAACCAGCGTCAGCATGTGCTTATTCAAAGATATATCCCCCGTTCAGATCTACATCTACACCTCTACGATTTTATCGTCGTCGTCGTCATCGTCGTCATCTTCCTCCTCTGGCTCATCTTGCTTCGCCCAACCCCCCGCCCCCGCCGAAATCTGTGGCCTCCCACTCCCAAACGGCTTATTCCCCGTTCCAACCCTCGGCCTCCTCTCTAGTGCCTTCATCTCCCCACTGACCTCCTCTCCCTCCTCATCCCTCATCAGCACCTGTACCAGCCTCTCACAAGCCTCTCTCACGCCATCATTTTCAACGTGCAAATGCGTCTCCCGCACAATCGGATACACCCTAATGCTCCTCATCAAGTCCCGACCTTGCCTTGTCGTCGTCAACAGCATCAGCGTTTCGATATGCGTCTGTATGATACTCGGGTCGGAATCCCTCTTCTTATCAGGGGGCAAGAGTTGCAAATCAGGCAGCATATCCAGACTCTCCTCCTCGGTGAACTCCTCGTTACCCGTGATCGGCAGCAATAGGTACGGCAGGATGTTGATCTCATCCTCGTCCAAGAGCGCGGGATGGGCATCGATTTCAAATGCCACGTTTTTGATCGTTGAGGCCACACCTTTCCGTCTGACGAACGATTTGTGCTCCGTGAATACCACCAGCTTTGAGAGGGGCACTATGCCATCGTATTCTTGTTTCGTGAGGAAGTACTGCCGGCCTTCCTTGTGCTTAGCGAGGTCGGCGACGAGGTAGGAGAGGTAGTCGAAGTCGGCTGCTTTGTTATATGTCCCGTCTGCGCCCTTGACGAACAGATCCAGCAATTGGTCGATAGCTTTGTTGTTGGATGCTAGTTCCTTGGGCGCTGGCGCTTCGACCGTCAGGATATCTTTTAGCTCGTCGTATTTGGCTAGGTTGGCTAGAAGCATCGATATGAGATTCGCATTGGGTTCGGAAGGGTTCTGGAGTTGTCAGTAGGTGCTGATGCCTGGATGAATGGAGACTGACATACGGTTACGCGGCCGAGGAGCGTTTTCACAAACGCATGATCTGAGGCGAGGTATTCGAGGATTTCTTGGTCTGCAGTGAGATTTATGAGGATTGTCGTTGCATCGGCGGCGATTTTCTACGAGGTGTCAGGTAGAAGGTTTTGAAGGCGGTTTGGTATGCAGCTACTTCGTAATCTCGGACTAAAAGCTTGAGGTCTTTTACTGGCAGAAGCTCATTTGTCTTGAATATAGCGGGCTGGGAAGTAGAGTATGGGACGAGGTTCTCGACAGCTGGAGCGGCATTAGCAGTCAGTTCTGGTCTGATGATGGTGGTATTGAGAAAAGTTACCAAGCTGTCGCACTTGAGTGTTGCCATGAGAGACAAAGTCAACGAGCTTTCGACGTATTAGCAACAGGTTCGTCTGTCTTGGTTTTTGCTGCTGGCACTTACTTCTTCCAATTCTGTGGGCATCTTGGGCGAGGTCGTCGGTGATATGATCGCGACCGTCCATTGCAGCCGCCCCTCGGATTCTGCGAATTGGAAATTTGGAGGGGTCGATAATTCTGCCATCCTACACCGCCTTCATGCCACAATCGTTCAGCCACAGAATATTTTGTACATATCCATCCCTACGTATCTCGATGCTGTTTCCGCGAAGACTTCCAACCTCGCAGTCAGACTCTCATTGTGATACCAACCTGCCGAAAAGATGGACAAATTTCTTCCGGCGGCGCCTCTTAATCAAAGCCGGCCCCGATGAGAAGTTACTTGGGAATAACCATGTTGTTTCCAAAGAGTTGAGGCATAAATAAGGTATGCCGAAATTGTGACATTTGATGGCTAAGGGCTGAATGTCTTTGCAGTATCAAAAATATCTCTTGCCATCTTTCCATGCCAAAGTCGTCAAGAATCTCTACCCACTCTTCTGCGAAAAGGCAATCGAGCTGGTTACTCTGGCGAAACGAGAAGCTGGGTTGTAGCTTAATTCGAGCGAGGCACCATCAGCTCACATGAATCTAGACGATTGGCTAGCCGGGCGCATCTGGACACTATCGGGAACGTAGGGTTCGGGTCTGGACTTCAATTGCTCTTTCGACCAGATACGGCCTTTGATACATCACGTCGAGTCTTTCCGTTTCAAACGAGAATTCGGAGCTCTTTTTTGCCCTCTCGCTTTTGATAAGTCCACAGGTGGTGTTCTTGCTTGCAGCTGGCGACCCTAGCTTATGGAAGAGCCCAGAATGAGTTGTTGACCAGGATTTGCTATTGGAGAGAGTAAGGCTGGCAGCTTTGATTGGCGGTCTCAACTTCAAGCCAGTGCCAGTCACGAACCTTGATATATCAATATCTTGGTGGGGTATCACGGTAGAGGGTTGTTGGGGAAGCTAATGTGCAGATGATTGTTGTCGCTGACTGGTGAGTTGTATCCGATCATGCCGGGCACATAGGAAGCACCCTTGTCAAACTGTATAATCAATTGTTATTAGCGACGCCGGAAGCGTTTTAATAGACCGTAGAGATGATCTGCTGAAAAATCTATGGAGTTTCTGTCAAAGTATCTATCTATCTAGCTTCTGATACGTGCACAAACAAGAGTTGTTTTGTTGTCCTCACCGTAGCACATAACTCAACTACACGGTACGATAGTGACAACCTATAAGGAGTATCTCTCGTGGCGTAGTCATGCAGCGTTTCGCTTCCGGAATTCCATGATCCCTCGTACGAATGGCAAACGGCACGAAACGCGGGGTTATATATTCGCTATCCAATATCAGACCACCGTATCCGATGCGTATATACATATACATATGTTAGCTATCCACCCGAAAATCGCGGAGAGTTTTCATTCTCCTTTCAAAGCCCCCATACCCATCATCTTTGAGGTTAAGTAAGTCCAAAATGCCATCGACGATAAAAGAAGCAGCCCTCGAGGCAACAATCCTCCTCCAAGCCTTTATAGCCGGCATCCAAACCCTGCAATTCTACTGGGACTGGGCGGGAAACCACAACTACCACCAGGCTGGCTATGAGTATTTCTCCTCCCCCTTCTGTATCTATCCCACTCGTCAGCAACCTACTGATAGACACCCAGAACCCGCTTGATAGCCCTCCTCCTCTCCCTCCTCCTCCTCTTCATAGTCCTAACGCAGCTCAAACTCTCCTCTCCAAACCGCAAGCAGACCCTCCGTCTCGAACTCACCAAATCAGGCCTCGTTACCGTGCTCTGGGTATGGTCTCTGGTGTGGAGCTTGGTCAGAGGGAGTTCCGTGCAAAGGACCGTCGAGACTGTCGCTTCGCTTGTGATTCTTGGGTGCGTACTTCCTCAGAGTCCTTCTCCTTCCCTGAGGCCTGGAAGAAGGTGGAACGGCGTACTAATCCATAGCTGCAGGATCGTATTCTACTCGACTTTGGTGGCGGCGTGGAGGACGCGGGATGGCAGGATCTCCTTGAGAGCTGAAGCGGGCTCGCTCTTGCCGCATTGAGCGAGGAAATTCTCAGGAGACGTGTCGGGAGTTGAGCAAGTGTCGGTGTTCTCGCCCTCACGGAAATTGATACTGACGTTTCGTACGGTGGCACAGAGAATGGGACTGTCATATGTTTATTTTTGTTGCTCGGAGAGGTGAAGGGGTCGTTGGTTGAATTCGTTGCATATCTATACTGCTGGCATCGTATGGCAATGCGGAAGATGGGCCTGACTCGCCGACCATCTTGTTTCATATACCTGTACCTTCCTCCGTGCGAGAGTTGTTTCTTTGATATTCGTTAAATTTATACAGTGTGGCTAATGCTCCAATTATGACTTACTTGATGTGTGTATCGGGGTGGAGTTTGCTTTTATCTTCATGTAACTTTCGCGTCGCACGAAGCGATTCGTGGTAGGCGGATAGCATGATACGCTTGTTCAATGCAGAAAGGCATCCGCATAGGTATAAAAAACAGAGTTGCCAGCTCATTCAAGTAGCGGGCGTTTTGCGGAGCGTATCTGGAGGAAGACTAGAATATCTTTCAGGAGGGTCGACTGGTAGGATTTCTGTGGCACCAATGTGAGGACTGTAGCGTGAAGAAAAGAGTGGCCGTGTCCGTCAACCATCATAAGTATATCCTGAAACATAAAAGAGTAGGAAGTAAAAGTATCGGAGGTGGCTTTCTCAATCGTAGCTTTGTAGATCTTAAACCTCCTACTAGCCAGTGACTTCTGTGTTCTCGCTCTTCCCGATCCTCGGAATTGGATGAATACCAAGACGCTAGCTTGTGTGCCCGCTGCCACAGCGGCAACCTCTTCTCCTTGTCTGCATTCTTCCATATGACCGTTCCACTGTTGCATATCCACCGTCCATCTAATCAACCAGCCGGCCACCTCTGATTTCCTTGAGCACTCCTATAGGCAGTATTTCAAACTTGCACCTTGGCACCAGACAGCGTGTTTGGAAATACGGTAGAGAAGACCCAGTTCCCAATATCGCCCTTCTTGAACTCGAGAGCGGCGATGTCCCGAGCCAAATTTCCCTACGTACTCCACCGTATGAGGTAATCTCATGAGATAGATTTGAGAGAGCAGCCTGGAGAATATACTCATGGCGTGCCGCAAGTTAAAGATAGTCGCGTCTTGCTTGTTCAGTGCCACGGAGGTCGCGAACTTCGATGCTGAAATCGTTCTACTCGCTCAGTCCCAGAATATGGTTTCGTCTGTGCCTGTGATTGCGAAAATTGGAATGGAGATGTTGTGAGTAGTGATGGTTTGTGACATTGCTTTCGATATTCGGCTGTGTAATCCTTCTTCGAGAGAGGTGCTTACTGGTGAAACCTTTTTCGGAATAAGTGCTCATCCGTCAGCATATTGTACACCGTTGACCTGAGCGGCTTTCAAGAGAGTGCACTCCCAATAGATGGCCATCAAGTTGAGAGCATGTATATCGCAATCATGAGCAAGTATTTTCAGGTTGTATTTAGAATCCACGTGTTAGAGCTTGGAGCAAGCCAGCCGGGGGTAGAACACACGTATTTGTGCAGTAGACTTACATCCCTAGCTTGACTCTCTCAGTATGGTCAAGTACAGGCCTCGTTCAAGTAGTAAGTAACATCAAAGTGCTCACAGAGTATTGTAACATGCCTCATTGTATCACTAGAGACGCCATATTGGGACCTAGAAGTTAGATCACTACCCGGACGTAGAAAAGGGGGAAGTCAACAAACCAATGATACACCCGACCGAAACCGAACGCGTCCTCTCTACTCTTACTATAGCTCGTTGAGCCATGGGACAGGTACCTATAGCCCACACCGTCGCTCGCTCGGCTCCGCTTCGGCTCGCGCACAAACAAACCACATTCGCGAAAATTACACGGGGTGTTATATAACCCGAGTACGTTCCCAATTTCATCAGCTGAGACAGTGGTAGATGGGCCGGATAGCCTAATCTGGGAGTTAATTCTTCGAGCCATTTTCGCGGGAGTGTATTGCAGGCCTTGTATAGGGGACTTGTCTGGGAGGTGTTCTCACCACCAGCTTGTTTACAAATTCAAGTGTCGAGCTTGGCGCACCCTTCGCCGGGTGACGATCCTGTTTAAGAGATAGTATTGATCGTAAGGCATACACGTCAACCAGATCTCCGGATCAGCGGCAGCTACAAAATTGGTGCTCTTTTTTTGGTTCTTCTTTTTTTTTTTGTTTTTGTTTTCGAAAAGTGGGGCACGGTCGCTTAGGTTTTAGCAAAGTAGAAAGAACGAGAAGTAACTCATCAGGTAGGCAGGAAGAATATAATATCGTACGAAAAGGTATTGCTATTTTTTTCTTTACTTTTTGCTTCTCGGAATGGCGCCCAATCTTTTGATATTCAATTCTGCGACGCGGCTTGGGAATTTCCTTCGAATAAAATAAATGGATTAGCCATAGATTTATCATGAAAGGAGTAGGAGAGCTTCAATCATGGAAATTTGGTACGCCAGTCCTCGATAGGTATGTATGTAAGTCAATGCATATTCGTTAATTGCCAACCTAGTTTATGAGTTATGATGCTTCGCAAAGGATAGACCAAATACAACTTTGGAAATAATATATGCTTTGGCTCAGGTCCTCTCCGACATTTGGTAATCGAGGGTCGTGGAAGCATTAGTCATTCCCGATATCCAATTGAACGTCTATCATTGGCCATCTGATTTGGCTTTTTGGGGCCCCGGGGGGAAAGGTGGGGGAGGGAGATTTATCCCGGGGTTATACTTCCGATCCGCTCTCCGCATCCGATCCGATGCAAACACCTCGGCATCTCTCACTTCTTTGCTCTCTCACAGCAGAGGTTCTCTTTTCCCAGCAGGATAGTATTACGAAGCGCAACAGTAAGATATAGTTATTGTATGCCGTAATGCAACTTCACTTTAGGTTGGGAGCTTTTGATTTCATTTCTGTGTGTTGTTAGAAGAGCAAGAGCTCAACTCAACACTCAACTCGCCTTTCATTCTCCCGAAGCAACAAAGCTACATCTGCCGAGAAGTAACATCCTTTCGGACTCCGTGTCGAAACGTCATAAAAAGCTCCAGCCACGCCTATTGTCTCGTCTTGACTAGAGTTCCTGTTGCCTCTTCTCTCTCTGCTATATAATCTAATCCTCCCTCTGCTGCTGGCCTTATCGTTATCGGGCGCCACTACCTTACTATTGTTAACCAGTACCGCTATCATGCCTCTTACCGGTGCAGAAATCGCAAAACATAACTCAAGAGACTCGTGCTGGGTCATTGTCCATGTGCGTTGTTTGAAAGAGGTCGTACGGAATTTTATTGATATTTTGCGCAGGGCAAAGCATACGATGTGACAGACTTTCTACCTGGTACCTACCCCACCTCAGTTTATCTGCGCAATTGAGCTGATACAAGACCTCAGAGCATCCCGGTGGACCTAAGATCATCCTCAAGTACGCTGTAAGTCTGCGGAAAAGTCTCGGTCAGAATGAAGCTGATGCAGATCCAGGGCAAAGATGCCACCGAGGAGTACGAGCCGATTCACCCGCCCGATACCCTTGACAAGTACCTGGACAAGTCGAAGCACTTGGGATCGGTGGATATGGGCACAGTTGAGCAGGAGGAGAAGAAAGTGACACCAGAAGAGCTGGAGCGACAGGAGCGCATCAAGCGGATGCCGATTCTGGAACAATGCTATAACCTGATGGATTTCGAGGCTGTGGCGAGAGGCGTCATGAAGAAGACTGCTTGGGCATACTATTCCAGTGGTGCGGACGATGAAATTGTAAGCCCTACTCTCTTGCACTTCCCTGTTCTGATAGTAAACAAAAGCTAACGCTAGCAGACGATGAGGGAAAACCACTCCGCATTCCACAAGATCTGGTTCCGCCCCCGCATCCTCGTCGACGTTGAGAAAATTGATTTTTCGACTACTATGCTCGGCACAAAAGTCGACATCCCATTCTACGTTACCGCCACGGCGCTTGGAAAGCTCGGTCATCCAGAAGGGGAGGTCGTCCTCACCAGAGCAGCAAAGAAGCACAATGTCATCCAGATGATCCCTACCCTCGCCTCCTGCTCCTTCGACGAGATCATGGATGCAGCAGAGGGAGACCAAGTCCAGTGGATGCAGCTGTACGTCAACAAGGACCGTGAAATCACCAAGAAGATCGTTCAGCATGCCGAGAAGCGCGGCTGCAAAGGTCTGTTCATCACAGTCGATGCTCCGCAGCTGGGTCGTCGCGAGAAGGACATGCGCACGAAGTTCGATGACACGGGATCCAATGTACAGGCTGGCGACAAGACGGACACGTCGCAGGGTGCGGCCAGGGCTATTTCGAGTTTCATTGATCCCGCGCTGAGCTGGAAGGATATCCCGTGGTTCCAGTCCATCACCCAGATGCCCATCATCCTCAAGGGCGTGCAGCGCGTCGAGGACGTGATCCGTGCCATCGAGTCCGGCGTCCAAGGCGTGGTGCTCTCGAACCACGGAGGTCGCCAACTCGACTTCGCGCGCTCCGGTATTGAAGTCCTGGCTGAAGTCATGCCCGTCCTCCGTGAGCGCGGCTGGGAGAACCGCATCGAGATCTACATCGACGGGGGCGTGCGGCGAGCTACGGATATCATCAAGGCGTTATGTCTCGGTGCAAAGGGCGTTGGGATTGGAAGGCCGTTCCTGTTCTCGATGAGTGCGTATGGCCAGCCGGGTGTAGATCGCGCGATGCAGTTGCTTAAGGATGAGATGGAGATGAACATGAGGTTGATCGGTTGCTCCAGTGTGGACCAGCTGAATCCTTCGTTGATTGATACGAGGGGTTTGAGCATGCATACTACGAGTGTGCCGTCGGATACTTTGGTCAGTGCCCACCTTTGCCCTTACCATGGTGTCGTCGCTAACTTGACTTTAGGGACTCTCTATCTACGATCCATTGATCAGTCCCGGAGCGAAGGCGAAGTTGTAGTTGTGTTTGATGTGTGATACCCAGTTCGTTATCGGACTGCATTGTATGTAAATAAATGAATAAATAAATTTATATATATAAATATATATAAGTATAAATTGGATCAGATATACCGGTACCATGCTTTGTACGAACGTGGTCGTGAGCGAGTCATGGGCACATATCACGACCACCGGTTAGAACTCCGGTAGAACTTATTTCCAGATCAACCAACATCCTTCAAATTTACCGATCCGTGAAGTGAAAATGATTGGCTCAATGCCGGGTATATGGACCAACATCATGCACGCAAACCCGTTTCAAAAGCGACTCAGCCTCGAGCCCCCGACTCGATGGCCCATCACCCGACATCATCGGCCCCGTCCCTGATTCGCCTTGCCCCACACGTGACTACGATAAATATGGATCAAGGGCCTGTGCCCATCTCAGCCTCGCAGCCGAACCATGCGCCCAAGTTCGCCGTCCCCGGCTCGCCATTATTTGAGTTCATTTTTCGTTTGTCCTCTCCACATCCCACTTCGCTCCGTCATCTCCACTCGTCGAACGTGGTTGTTGACGTGAACTATTTCCGCTAATTGATGAAAAATTCCCGTTTCTGTGAAGCTGTGAAGGGAAGAGAAGTGCAGTTGAAGAAAGACGAGTCTACCGAGAAGCTAGGCTCTAGCTAGCTACGGAGTAGCAAGCAAGCAGCCTACCGCGGGTACTGTACCGTCGCGTCGCTGCATATCATGAGGCACGCCCCAATATGAGACATTCCCCCGAGTCGAGTACCTTAGCGTGGAATACGACGGGCTGTCCTCCGGATTATTGAACGGGATCAATTCAGCCTTGCGCATTGATTGGGATTCTGGATTTCGATATCCACACGAGACTTGGGTGCGGCGGGATTCACGATACGTCGGCCATCGCCTGCGCAAGTAAGCAAAGCAAGCAAGCCAGCTAGCACAGCTGTCTTGTCGGCGAGAGATAGCCGAGGCAGGCAGGCAGGCATGGCGCAGAGCCTCGAGGCGAAGATTGTGGTGTTGGGGTCGCAGGGGGTGGGAAAGACGAGTCTGGTCCACCGGTTCGTGCTTTCTAGCTGGGGGAAGAGAGAGAGAGTGAGAGAGAGAGGGAGGGAGGGAAGGAGGGGGAGAGAGAGAGCAAGAGAGAGAAGGAAGGCAGAGAGAGAAAGAGCAGGCGGCTAACGGCAAGGCAGATATGTGAAGAACAAATTCCAGCCGGCCAATATGGCCTCGACGGTTGGCGCCAGCTTCCTCACCAAGCGCGTGGTAGACGACGAGAGCGACACTGTCGTGAGACTGCAGATCTGGGACACAGCAGGCCAGGAACGCTTCCGGTACGCTCTCCTCTGACCTGCCTCTGACCACCCGCGCAACACAGAATCCTCCTGCCAGCATTGCTAACTCGCCCACGCTCCACCACCAGATCCATATCCCGGCTCTACTACCGCGGCGCGAACGCCTGCATCCTCTGCTACAGCATCACCTCCCTCTCCTCCTTCGAAGAGATGGGCGTCTGGCTCACCGAGCTCCGCCGCAACCTACCCCCTGACATCATCCTGCACGTCGTCGGTACGAAATCCGACATGGTCGCTCGCGACCCCTCTCTCCGTCAGGTCCCCTTTGAGCGCTGCATCGCCTACGTGGCCGATAACCTTGCGCCAGGCCAATCCAGCACACCACCGCCGACAGCCACGGCAGCCGGCATTCTAGATAACATTAGCGGGGGAGGAGGCAGTGGGAGCACCTATCGAGGCTTCCTCGGGCATGTCAGTGGAGGGGGAGGGGGAGGGGGAGGGGCCGGAGGGTTCGACGGCGCCCGGAGTCCGAGCAGTAAACGCAGCAGTGGGTTCTGGGGCCAGGAGGTCGGCTGGGACTGCTGCCACGAGGTGTCTGCCGAGAGCGGCGAGGGCGTGGAAGAGGTGTTCCGCGTCATCACGAGAAAGCTGGTGGAGCAGAACCGCAAGATCCAAGAGAGCCTGCTCAGCGCGACGGCCACGCCGGGCATGACGCCGGGGATTGACGGCCTTGGTAGCGAGGCCGGCTATTTCGACGGCACGATGAGGCCTGGTGGCAGCTTTCGCGTGGGGAGGGACCGTAGGAGCTGGTTTGGCGTGCCGGTCGAGAGTATCGATGAGCGGGGGGATGGGAGGCCGAGCGAGGACCGAGTGGTGAGGAGTAGGAGGAGGTGCTGTTAGAGATGTGTGCCTACTTTACAGGGACAGATAGATGTCTTGGGCTGTGTGTGGGATTTGATCGTGCTTGGTTATCTTTGCTGGATACCACTGGAGTTTGGGCGAGCGAGCGAGCGAGCAATCGTGTGCACTGGTTCTTTACTACTTGCTGTTTCATGGGGGCATGATCGGTTATAGCTGCATGCACTTGGAGGCATTGCGTGGTGTGTATAAGGGGTTTGCGCTTGGAGTTCAGGGACTCAATATGCAGATAATGGACATTACAGGACATTTGAGAAACTCTCCTCCGCATTCAGATTTCACATCACATTCACTCACAAATGGACGAATCTGATCACAGTGTTGATGGGCTTAAATTCCCTTCCCTTCGCCGGTCGTAAACGAAAACGTATTCATTCCATTCGCAAAGCGCAGAAAGACTGTTGTTCAGAGCCCATGCCAAATATCCACTCTCCCGATATCAAAATTGCAAAGAAAAAGAGAGAGAACCCATGTACAATCTGTTCCAAGCCAGACCTGTGAGAATTGCTACGCTGCCCCATTCGATTCGATTCGCATCCAGGTTTGAAAAACGCCACGCCGCGCTGCCCGCCCTGTCATCCAACGCTATTCACATGATCATACAACAAGAGTTCTGCTTCTTCGCTTGTGCTACACATGCTGTTAGCCAACCTTCCTTCGCCCAATAAAATAAATCTTCTTCTGGGCCAATGCCACAAGCGGAAGCGGGAAAGGGAAAAGGGGAAACAGAAAGAGGAGAAGAGACACTCACTATAAAACATCTTGCTCTGCGCACTCAACCCATCGCTCTTGGCGACCAGATCATCAATCTTCTCGCCGCGCTCCAACACGCTCTCAATCGTCTTGTGCAGCACAATCTTCGTCTCATCAAGCTCCCTCTGTATCTTCATGATGCTGTCCGCCTGTGCCGGGTCCTGGTACTTGACGATGTACTCCTTGAGCTCGGGGAACGGCAGTGTCGGGGTGGAGTTCGCCCACGTGGAGCGCGGGTGCTTCGCCAGGAACTCGTCGACGACCTTGGAGAGCAGCTGATGTGCCACCAGCGCCGGGTAAGAGTGGTCCGAGATGATGATGCCACAGATACCTTCGGTGCGGCCGTAGGCGTGGAACGTGTAGTCTACCCAGATGTGAATGTCAGCGCAAGTTCCTGCGTGTGGTGGTGTAACCCCGCCTCCTCCCTCCTCGGTCGGGAATATGGTTATGGATAGGGAGGGTCAGCGTACCTTGTTCCTCCACGTCTTGCCGTTGTCCGGGCCTCGTCCTCTCCGCGACCGTCTTGCAGAACATCGTCATAAACTCCCCGTAGCTACGTTTTGATTGTTTGTCAGCCTTGTTCTCTCCTCCGATTTCAAAATCCACTCCCGAAACCTTCTTATCCTTTGCCCTTCGCCTCCACCGCCCAAAAAGAATATGCACTCACTTCTTCTTCGTAAATCTCGAGTATGCGCTCAGGTCCATCTCCGCGCACAGCTCGTGGCTCGGCTTCTCCTCGTTTTTGATGATCTGCCTTCACCGTCAGCGTCTTTCCCCTCTTCTTCTCCCCTTCCCCTCACTACACTTCTGTGGATCATGGGAACTTACTCCGATGTAGTGGAGCTTCATGTTTGCGAATTCTGTATCTGCGGTGTCCCTTACGCAAAGTTGTGTGTGGAAGGAAGACTGGCAGCAAAGAAAGGAGTGGTCTTTGTATCCGAAACTGGACTGGGCTCCGTCACAGACAACCGGCCCGGAGAAACCACCAGCCGGGAAGATCAAGCATTTCGTCAATCGCTACTTCCTGTCCCGGAGATTCACATTGCGAATGAAGGAGGTGAAGATGCAGACGTCTAATTAATTAGTCATTTTTCCTTTACATGTACATATACTACTCTATGATCAAATGAATCCTCAAACGCCATGCACAGATCCATCCTTCTACCTGCATTGCCTTTATGCACCGTTCACAGCAGTAGAACTCGTCCCATTAACAACCCCATTCGTATGCGGCTCCTCGTACTTCTCCCAGTTCGCCAAGATGGCTCCAATCTTCGGCGAGTTTGTGAGTCTGTAGACATCCTCAAAGTACTCCTTGGTAAGCTCGAAAGGTTTCGCCGTAACGTTGGGAATGTATTTCCCCACCAGCTTGCTGTGGTCAATCGTTGTCTTGTTGATCTTCTTGAGAAGGAAGGAGCGGAAAGGCTTGACTCCTGAGCGCAAGAATGTCGAGTGGAAGGGCACGTCAATACCCTTGAGCGGAATGGTGGCGAAGCCTCGTTGGAGGTCGAGAGGCTCCGGCTTATCCTCTGTCTGCTGGGCACAGCCTTGAATGATTTCGACCAAGTGTGCCTTGACGTCCTCGAGCGACAAGGTTTGCATAAGTTGCTGAATGTCAATCTTCTGTGCCTTGAGGTAGTTGGTGACGCCGGTCAGGGTATCAAGAGCACGGAGGTCACCGGCGCAGACGTATTGCATGTTTGCAATGTTGTAGTTGACAATTTCCAGCAGCCATCCAGTCTCCTCGGCGATGTTCTCGACAACATATTGAAGAGCTTGCTCGTTAAAGGTCTTGGAGATTCTGCTTGGGTTGACAGCGCACATGGAGTAATTGGACCGGCCAGTCTCGTCACGTTCGACGGCGACTTGCATGGTGAGGCCTCTGTAGAATACAACGGACACTAAGCTCTCGATAGGCATGACATCAGCCAGCGCGGCGAGGGCGGAGTACTCTCCGAGAGAGTGACCAGCAAAACTGCTGTCCCTTTGTACGAGACCCTTCGAGCGCATGTCCTCGAAACTTGCCTTTTCCATCAGGGTCAAGGCAGGTTGCGTGAATTGGGTTGCAGAGAGGAGGCCAGTTGGCGATCTGTAGGTGTACGAGGTGGTGTTGTCGTCAATCTCCTTAAAGATCTTCTCGGACTTGGTGGATCCATCCGCTGCGACAGTCTCGAAGGTCATCGACATGTAGTTCTGACGAATGGCTTTACCACGAGGTCCACCGAAGTAGATGGTAAGTTCCTTCGGGTTGTTCTTGACAATGTTGGTAATGGCGAAACCTGGATCTTGTTAGCTGGGGTCTTAAGTGTCATCATCTGTGAATGTTTACCATAGTTGTCCAAGAAGTGCTTGTCGGCTCTGTCCCAAACTTCCTTGGCGACAGGACTGCTGGCATAGAGCTCCATACCCATACCCTGCTCTTGCGATCCTTGACCAGTGAAAACGTAGGCTGTCACTGGTTGCTCGACCTCAGCTTCACCCAGCAGGACCTTATCCTCAGTCTCTTTGTTGCTGGCCTCCACCTTGATGATCTTGCGACCGGCAACCATACCAACGTGTTGAAGTCTGACTTCAATGTCATCGTTGGGGAGGACCATGCCAGTAAGAGAGGCGTGGAAACTGCGGACACGCCCAACGTTGTTCTCAGCAGCCCAGGTCTCGACAAGACTTCGGACAGCAGCACTGGAGTACATGCCGTGGGTGATGGTACCCGGAAGGTTGGCGTAGCTTGAGAAGACGCGAGAAACATGGATGGGGTTGTAGTCACCAGACACCCGAGCGTAGGTCTCGTTGGATGCTGGTGCTCTGAGAAGGAGAGGGGTCTTGCCACTAAGGGGGATGGGGTTCTCAAAGTTGACTGGTTGCTCGATGGAAGAACCGTGTCGCTGCAAGTAATCGATGACTGGGTTACCGTGGGATACGCCAGCCTCGTACTCGACGCTGGCAACTTGGATGATCTCCTTGGTAGGCAGCTCAAGAAGAACTTGACCTCGGGTCTCGACACTACTGTAGACAGTCTCGTTCTTGAACCTGATTAGACTTTGAAGACGGAAAGTCAATGTTTGGCCCAGAAGCTCATGATCGGGCTCATCGAGAGAGAACCATTCCTTTGATCTGAGGACGGCAACATCTTTGGAGGTGGCCAGATGGATTTGCATTGGAGTCTCTGTCTTGCGCTGGAAGGTGTTCTCGAAGTCGGTGTAGGCCCCACGATACAAGAATTGAGACGTGACCTCCATGACGGGTTTGCCCTCACGAGTGATAGTACCAGTGACTTCCACCATCTTTCCCGAGGCTTGGTTTACGACGGCATTGATGCGGGCAGTTGTCTCCACCTCGTCGTCCTTCTTCAAAGGCTCGGCACCAGGCAACATGCGGAAGCCATTGGACAGGTGAACAAGTTTCAGAAGATCACCATCAATGGTTCTGGGAAAGATTGGCTTCGTAATAGCCTTCCAGCCTACAACGATGGCGAAATCCATGGGAGCAAACACCTCCTTTCCAGGGCGGTCGACGAAAGCCTCGCCCTTGTTGCCAACGGCGTGAACAAAGTCGTTAATAGCTTCGCTCGTGATCTTGGCCTTTCCACCGTTGAAATTGCCAGTGACTGCGGCATCGAGATCAATTGTCTCGTTACCGAACCACGCGCGCCAGTAAAACTCCTTGATGCGATCGTTACGGCCCTCCATGACTTCCCGGATGGGAGCATATCCAGCCTCTGGGTGGTAGGTGAACTTGAGTGGAAGAGAAACTGGCTTCCCGACAGCAGTGGTATCCTTGATCATGTTGACCAGTATCTCGTTCTTGCCAGTGAATTTGACATTGATGACTTCAACATACTTGTTGGGTCTTGGCTGTTCCTTCACCGTAATGAATGTCTTTGTAGGCTCACTGGGGTTGAGAATCTCGACGAAGAGACCACGGACGGGAGCAAAGATTCTTTTCATAGGGTTGGTCTGGAACTTCTTGCCTTGTACGAAGGCCTCGGAAGAGAAAAGGGCGTAGCGCCATGATCGCTTGTTGCCGGCGAGCAATGTCATCCACGACTCCAGAGATGGAAGAGTAGCTCCAGCGGTTGATGAGAGGCGGTAGGTTATCTTGTGAGCATCTTGCGAGATGGTGAGACCTTCGACGTCGACCTCTGCCTGCGGTTCAATAAGCTTCCCACCGAAATATTCCATGACTGGGATCGACGACTCATTGCCACCGTAGATCTCCTGTGTGAGGCCCTTGATATGATTGTGGTGGATGCCATCCAAAATTTCTTGAATGGGTTCATCAACAATTTTGGAGTACTTGACGGCGGTCGGCCCTTGAAGGATACAAGTCCGGCCAACATCCTGGTCGATGACAGCCTCGAGATCCTCAGATTGCCACAAGGAATCCTTCTTGAAATAAAATTCAAAGTTTTCATCGAGAGATGGAACGAAAGTGGTTGGCTTCTGTCCACGGCGCTGGCAGAGAAGGAGGAAGTGTTGCACGTCTTGGGCGTTTATCAATTGCGTCTCGCACTCGGGGTAGGCTGCCAAGATTTTCTTAACAGTTGGGTAGGGGTTGTCGAGTTCAGTGTAGCTTTGGAGCAGAGAAGGCTTGCCAGCACCGACGGTGAAGCGCTCTTCGACTCGGCGGATGAAGTCACCGGTAAGCTTCTCATAGGACTTGTCGATCCAGCGAGACTCATGTTGAACGTACATAAGGTCCACCATGCGACGGACAACCTCTCCGTAAGTCATATCCTCAAGATCGACCGTCTCGCCATCTTTGTTGCGACCGAACCAGACCTTCTGGAAATCGTCGTTGAGCTTCTTAATGATGTACTCACGGTTCTTCTTCAACTCCGGCACACGTTTCTCCTTGGGTAAGCTGAAGATCTTTTGGTCCATCTCAGCCCAGAATTTGACACCACGGGTAGCCAACTTGTGGATTGGCTCACCCATCTCGGAGCGGACAGTGATGACTCCACCGGCAGGACCCTTGTAGGTCTTCTCCCAGTGAGCATCGTCGACACCTTCTGCCTCTGTGATGGCTTTCTTGGCGTTCTTGCTGGTGCGTGCTTCTTTGGCCGTCATCATTCTGCTCCCGAAGAGACATCCGTCAAAAGGCATTGGTGGGTAACCGTACTTTGCGGACCAGGCACCAGTGAGGTATGGGTAGGTGTCCTCGGATCCACCGAAGCCACTTCCTGCGACAAGAATGATGTTGTCGCATCTCCTGATTCGCCCGTACATCTGAAGAATGGGCTGATGAAAATCTTCGAAAGAGTGATGTCCACCACCACGACCTCCAGTCCACTGCAGCATGACTGGGAAAGTGGGGTTGGCGTTGGCAATGTTGATGACAGCTTGGATGGCCTCTCCAGATCCTGGCTTGAAAGAGATATGCTTCAATCCTAGGGTCTCAATGTATTCAGTGGCGACTTCAATAGACGGAACACCGGCTCCAATGGTCAACCCTTCGATTGGGACACCCTCAGCGCGGAGCTGGCCCACAAGAGGAATTTGCCATTGCATGGCGCGAGGGTTGATGTAGATCAAGTTGATAGTGATACCACGCCCAGCGGGAATGGCCTCCTCAATCTTTCTCAAAGCCGTAGTCATAGTCTTGGCGTCGTAGTAGCCGCCTCCAGCCAGTTCAATCTGGTAACCAGCGTTCATGGTGGCTGCCACAAACTCCCAAGGAACTGTGCAGGGGGTCATACCGGCAACCATGACTGGAGGAACACCCAGGAGGCGAGACATCTTGGTGTCGACATATGTTTCGCCTGTGGAAGTCTTGATGAGACGTGGGCCATGTTCCTTGACCCAATCGACTGCGTACTTGACGGCGTGCTCTTCATCACGATCAAAAAGCTCAGGCTTGTATCCGACTTCGGGCACAGTACCTTCAATAGAACCAGCCAAAATGACACGAACGCCAGTTCCGTCCTTGTTACGGCTGGTCAAAACACCGAGCCCAGAGACGCCACCTGGGCCAAAGTCCAGCACGTGAGTTGCGCCAGGGAAAATGGTAGCTTTCTCCCAATTCACCGGATCGTGAGTGATCAAGCGGACGAGAGTTGGTACCACATTCCCGCTGATCTCCTCTCGGATATCCTTTCCGGTGTTGGTGTCAAATACTGGGATAGCAAGATCCTTGCTGGAGATCTTAATGTCCTTCAGATCCTCATCGATATGGGCAGTGGCCTCGGCCAGGTACTTGCTGTGGAAAGGCGATGTGATTGGCAGGAATCTGTTGACAAATCTGACCTTTCGCTCCGTAAAAGGGATTCTGGTTTGGTCGAGGCCGGTTGGAGCCTTGACCTTTCGAAGTTGCAAGTTCAAACCATAGAGGGAGATAGGAGGTCCAGTAACGACCATATTACGAGCACTGTTGATAAGGGAAATCGCGATATGTCTGTCTTCGGGGAGATATTGGTTCGTGGCATCAATGTGCTCCTGGACCTGAGCTTGTGACAAATCTCGGATGCTTAACATAGGAGTTGGGACGCCCTCCCCATTTTCTACCGAGTCTTGCAAAATTGAAGGCGCCAAGGAGGTTCTTGGGTATGCTTGCTGACTGCGAGACCCAATCCAGAAGAGGATAGTGACACAAGAGATTGCGATCTCGTCAAAGGACTCCCAGGAATCGGCGGCAGCTGTAGCCGCAGCCAAAACGATACCTTGAGAGTGACCAGTACTTCCGCTCATGCGTTCCCGGAATTGTCCTGGGGTAAGACCGAGTACTTTGCACGTAACCGTGTAATGTGCCAGCTGCACAAGACCGATCAGCGGGAAACTGACGGGTGCGGAGACCATGTAGTCCACATCAGGAGTCGCCTCTGGATCGTGGAGCCATGTCATGACATCCAAGCCTTTAGAATAGAGCTTTTCTGCTCTAGGGTCCCGTGACAGTGTTTGCAAAAGCTCTGCGGCTGAAAGAATCAATCCCTCCACAAAAGATGGATAGATGTTGTAGAGCTCCCGGAGCTCGTCAAAGTATTCCTCGATATTTCCTTGTCCACCGAAAATGGTATAGATGGTCGCAGTCTCGTCGGCCGCACGAGACAGGGCGGATTCATGAGGCTTGATGGCTCGGCCAGAAGCTGCACGAGCAGCATAGTAGCTTCGCACAACCTCGAGCTTCTTGGGGGTGATTCCTGGGAGACTTCCAGCCAAAGCGTGGACTTCATTACCGTGCAGGAACGCTCTCTCGAACTCATTGATAACGAGCTTCAGCACACCCTCGTATGAGCCTTGTGCGTCATCCTCGCCCTCCTCGACATCGAGCGCGACGAATCCGAGATATCTAGCAACGAGTTCAGCGACCGAGGAAGGCTCGTCATCTTGCGCCAATTCGTCTGTTGGGGCGGGCAGGGAGGCCAAGAAACGCTCGCTGATCTGCGAGGCGTGAAAATGGAGATTCGTGGGTATCAAAAAGGAGTGCTCGAGGGAGCCATGCTTGAGAACGAGAGGGCGGAGAGAGGAGGAGGATCGAGGGGTAGAGACACCCGTTTGGGGGCCGGTGGAAGTTCCGTACATGCTGGGAAGTGTTCTAGGAGGTGGGTTTCGCGAGTGCCTTCTATGCTGCGATGTTAATAAACGTCCGTCGCAGACTGTGAAGCACAGCAGATGGTGCTTGGTATATTACTGACTTCGTCTGAATCTTCCAGATACTCAGTGAAGAGCAGGAGCTGGACCAGGCACGAAATTGAAGCTGCAGCGAGCAGCGAACGGGAAATTTTTTGTCGAATCAACAGATCTTACTGTCGCTGAAAATCAAAAGAAGGGATAATATGTGATTGGTGCAATGTGGTAGAAGATTTGAATTGGGGGGAGGGGAGTCGATTGTGTGATGAAGAAGAAGAAGAAGAAGAAGAGGGAAGATTGCGGAAGACAGTGGGAACGGATTGGAGCTATTTGCAACCCACTCAGTAGCAGTTGAGTTAGTTGGGTTGGATTATGCACTGGTTGCGTGAGTGGAGAGGAAATGTATTGGGTAGATGTTACTGCGCTCTTTATTATCGGCCTCAACATAAGCTCGCCAAAAAAAAAAAGTTGGACCCACTCATGCCACTAGTGAGCTTAGGAAGTGTTGAGCGGCGATCCGCCCGCCCCCCCTCATAAGTGCTGAGTGAGGACGACACCGGACGACACCGGACGACAAGGACAACTTTGGCAGAAGACGGGACCGGATGGGGTTGAGGGGGATGAGGGGGTTGAGGGGTTGAGGGCAGCAAATACATCGTACGCTACGCTCCACGTCGGGAGGCAATAATAGATGTCCGAGATTGTCCTTGTACAAAGGCAACAAAACAACACATCGACTCGTCCGGACCCTCTCTTGTATAGGTACCGGTATACTACGCTAGGTACTACGTGCTACGTACTACGTACTACTAGCTACTTCACACTCCATCATCAATAGTTCGGGCCTACTTTAACAAGAGAACATCCTAACTCTTGATTGCCAGACTGGGAAATCCGTCTACCTCAGCGTCTGGCCTAGCGAGGCTACAGGAAATAGTACCAAGTATATGATGATTGTGACAGGAAAAAAGAAAGCCTTGGGTTCGGCTTAGTCTTTTTGATCGTACAGTCCTAGACAGATTGGACCAAACCGATTGCACAATCCATCATCTGCTTTTGTAATAGTCTTGCGTGTATTCTTGCGAGTATTCAGAGTCTTGGTTAATGCTGAGATACGGGATGCGGACCCGGACCTTCGCAGTGATAATATTTGTTTACCAATCGTGGTCCTCTACTATGGCGGGAATCGGGATGCAGATGGAGATGCATAGTGATGCTCTGATGCAAGGTCTTGCCGGGATACTCGACCACTTACGCCCCCAACCAGGCTTAGAGCCTAGTAACCCGTTGAGCTCCTAAGAGATTTTGGGTGGGGAAGCGCAAGCGAAAAGCCAAAGCTCAAGTCGAGTTCCATTTTTTTTTTTCCCCCATTCAAACCCAACCAGACCAGGCCTGGTTGACTGACTGCCATTTCGTCCACCCCGTCTGCTACTTCTCCTCGACTCCAGCTCCAGCTCCGGCTCCTATCCTTCTTCCTCGAGCCCTCTCCCTCATTCCCCCCCTCACAATTGCAATCAACAACTCTCTCTCAACTTTGATATCCTTCTCTGCTGTACGGAGGTACAATCCCACTTTGTTTCGCTGCCTTCTTACAGCCTTCCTTGACCTCTCGAGACAACTCGCTAGGCAGGCACCACTCAAATCGCGATACAAATACAAACTACCCGCTCCATAGCATCCAGTCAACTTCTCATAATCCTGTCCCTTTGTACAATTTTAATACCCCTCCGAACTTCCCCAACCGCTGCGGCCTTTGAACAACCTTCGAAATGCGCCCCGAAGTTGAGCAAGAGCTCGCCCATACGCTCCTCGTTGAGCTGTTGGCATATCAGTTCGCCTCGCCCGTCAGATGGATTGAGACGCAAGACGTGATCCTGGCCGAGAAGACGACTGAGCGCATTGTCGAAATCGGTCCTGCGGACACCCTAGGGGTGATGGCAAAGCGGACCATTGCCGCCAAGTATGAAGCATACGATGCAGCAAAATCCGTCCAAAGACAAATTCTCTGCTACAACAAGGATGCAAAGGAAATATACTACGACGTCGACCCTGTGGAGGACGAGCCCGAGCCAGTGGCACCCAGCTCTGCCCCAGCAGCATCTGCGCCGCCTTCGAGCGGTGCCCCGGCAGCAGCTGCCCCTCCTCCACCAAGTGCCGGGCCCGCTGCACAAGTTCCAGACGCACCAGTTGGAGCTGTAGACATTGTGCGAGCATTGATCGCTCAGAAGCTCAAGAAACCACTTTTGGAAGTTCCTCTGAACAAGGCAATCAAGGATCTTGTTGGTGGTACGTACTTTTAAATCTTACCCTGTACTTGCAGACACTCACACCGGTTTTCCAGGCAAATCTACCCTCCAAAACGAGATTCTGGGCGACTTGGGCAAAGAATTCGGTTCTACACCCGAAAAACCAGAAGATGTTCCTCTCGATGAGTTGGGAGGCTCCATGCAGGCCACATTCAACGGTCAGCTCGGAAAGCAATCCTCCTCTCTTGTTGCACGGCTGATCTCCTCGAAAATGCCCGGTGGCTTCAATATCACATCAGCAAGGAAATATCTCGAAACAAGATGGGGACTTGGGCAAGGACGACAAGACGGAGTTCTACTGCTTGCTTTGACCATGGAGCCTCCAGCCCGTCTAGGCTCTGAGAACGATGCCAAGGCCTTCCTCGACGATGTTTCGCAGAAGTACGCCGGAAATGTAGGCATCAGTCTCTCTGCGCCTGTCGCTGGAGGAGATGCTGGCGGTGGCGGCGGCGGAATGATGATGGATCCAGCTGCAATCGATGCTTTGACCAAGGACCAGAGAGCTCTTTTCAAGCAACAACTAGAACTTTTCGCCAGATATCTCAAGATGGACCTTCGAGCTGGGGAGAAGGCCTTTATTGGCTCTCAACAATCACAATCAGCTCTCCAGGCGCAATTAGATCTATGGAATGTCGAACATGGGGATTTCTACGCTGCTGGTATTGAACCTAGTTTCACACCTCTCAAGGCCCGAGTGTATGATTCGTCTTGGAACTGGGCTCGTCAAGATGCACTCACTATGTTCTACGATGTCATCTTTGGCCGTTTGAAGGCTGTGGACCGTGAGATTGTTAGTCGATGCATTCGCATCATGAACCGCTCAAACCCCACGCTTCTCGAGTTCATGCAATACCACATCGACAACTGCCCTACCGAGCGTGGCGAGACCTATCAATTGGCCAAGGAGCTTGGTCAGCAGCTCATCGAGAACTGCAGGGAGGTCTTGGACACCGCTCCGTGTTACAAAGATGTTGGGATACCAACCGGTCCTCACACAACCATCGATGCCCGTGGAAACCTAGCGTATGCGGAAGTTCCTCGTACAAGTGCCCGAAAACTCGAACACTACGTTCGCGAGATGGCCGATGGTGGGAAGATATCCGAGTACGGCAATAGAACCAAGGTCCAGAATGATCTCAGCCGCATTTACAAGCTCATCAAGCAGCAACACAAGCTTTCCAAGTCGTCTCAGCTCCAGATCAAGGCGCTTTATGGTGATGTCATTCGATCGCTCGCCATGAGCGAAGGTCAGATCATTCCAAAGGAGAACGGAAATGGCAAGGCCAACGGCGTCAAAAAGGTCCGCAATCCTCGTACCAAGGACGGAAAGGTCGAGACGATCCCTTTCTTGCACTTGAAGAGAAAGGACGAGCATGGATGGGAGTACAGCAAGAAGCTTACCGGTCTCTACATCGATGGCTTGGAGACAGCCGCCAAGAACGGTGTCACTTTCCAGGGCAAGAACGTCTTGATGACTGGTGCCGGTGCCGGTTCTATTGGTGCCGATGTTCTTCAAGGTCTAATCAGTGGTGGAGCCAAGGTTGTCGTCACGACTAGTCGATTTTCTCGCGAAGTCACTGAGTACTACCAATCCATGTATTCTCGCTTCGGTTCCCGAGGCTCTCAACTCATCGTTGTGCCCTTCAACCAGGGTAGCAAGCAAGACGTAGAGGCTTTGATTGACTACATATATGACACCAAGAAGGGCCTCGGATGGGATCTTGATTTCATTGTCCCATTCGCTGCTATCCCAGAGAACGGTCGCGAGATCGACAGCATTGATTCCAAGTCTGAGCTTGCTCACCGTATCATGTTGACTAACCTTATCCGCATGCTCGGGTGTGTGAAGTCGCAAAAAGCAGAGCGTGGCTTCGAGACCAGACCTGCCCAGGTCGTCCTTCCGCTGTCTCCAAACCACGGAACCTTCGGAAACGATGGTCTGTACTCCGAGTCCAAGTTGGGATTGGAGACCCTCTTTAACAGATGGCACTCGGAGAACTGGGGCAACTTCCTCAGCATTTGCGGTGCGGTGATCGGATGGACTCGCGGTACCGGACTCATGTCTGGAAACAACATTGTTGCCGAAGGAGTCGAAGCTTATGGTGTCCGCACTTTCTCTCAACAGGAGATGGCTTTTAACCTTCTCGGTCTCATGTCGCCAGCTGTCGTCGATCTTTGCCAATCGGAGCCTGTCTTCGCCGATCTGAACGGTGGACTTCAATTCATTCCAGACCTCAAGAACCTGATGACCAAGCTTCGACAGGACATCATGGAGACCAGCGAGGTCAGACAGGCTGTCACCAAGGAAACTGCAATTGAGAACAAAATTGTCAACGGAGACGACAGTGAGGCCCTCTACAAGAAGGTCACCATTGAACCTCGTGCCAACATCAAGTTTGAATTTCCCAGTCTTCCAGACTGGGAGAGAGATATCGAGCCACTCAACGAGAACCTCAAGGGTATGGTTGATTTGGAGAAGGTTGTCGTTGTCACCGGTTTCGCTGAAGTCGGACCCTGGGGTAACTCGCGTACTCGATGGGAGATGGAGGCACATGGGAAGTTCTCTCTCGAGGGCTGTGTCGAAATGGCTTGGATCATGGGTCTTATCAAGAACCACAACGGACCGATCAAGGGCAAGCAATACGCCGGCTGGGTCGACGCAAAGACCGGAGAGCCAGTTGATGACAAGGATATCAAAGCTAAATACGAGAAGCACATTCTTGCACACTCTGGTATCCGTCTGATCGAGCCTGAGCTCTTCAAGGGATACGACCCAAACAAAAAGCAACTCCTTCAAGAGGTTGTTATCCAAGAAGACCTCGAGCCATTCGAGACTTCCAAGGAGACTGCCGAGGAGTTTCAGCGTGAGCATGGCGACAAGGCCGAAATATTCGAGATTCCCGAGTCGGGAGAGTACATTGTGCGCATGAGAAAGGGAGCTACCCTTCTCATCCCCAAGGCTCTCCAATTCGATCGTCTGGTTGCGGGACAGATTCCAACGGGGTGGAACGCCAAGAACTACGGTATCCCCGACGACATAATCTCACAAGTTGATCCTGTCACTCTTTTCGTTCTCGTCTGCACTGTCGAGTCTCTTTTGGCGTCTGGGATCACTGATCCATATGAGTTCTACAAGTACGTCCACATCTCCGAGGTCGGTAATTGTATTGGTTCCGGTATTGGTGGTACCCACGCTCTGAGGGGCATGTACAAGGATCGTTTCTTGGACAAGCCACTCCAGAAGGATATTCTCCAGGAGTCCTTCATCAACACGATGAGCGCTTGGGTCAACATGTTGTTGCTGTCGTCCACTGGACCTATCAAGACCCCTGTCGGTGCCTGTGCCACAGCCGTCGAGTCTGTGGATATCGGTTACGAGACCATTGTCGAGGGCAAGGCTCGCGTCTGCTTCGTCGGCGGCTTCGATGACTTCCAAGAAGAAGGATCCTACGAGTTCGCCAACATGAAGGCCACTAGCAACGCCGTCGATGAGCTTGCTCACGGCCGTACGCCCGCTGAGATGTCTCGCCCAACGACAACCACCAGAAACGGCTTCATGGAATCTCAAGGTTGCGGCATGCAAGTCATCATGACCGCCAAGCTTGCTCTCGATATGGGTGTTCCCATCTATGGTATTCTTGGTCTTACCACCACTGCCACTGATAAGATTGGCCGATCAGTTCCTGCACCCGGTCAAGGTGTTCTTACGACAGCTCGTGAGAACCCAAGCAAGTTCCCATCTCCTCTTCTCGACATCAAGTACCGTCGCCGACAGATCGAGCTCCGTAAGAAGAACATCAAGCAGTGGCAAGAGTCTGAGTTGGAGTACCTTCACGAAGAGATTGATGCTATGAAGGCCCAGGGCCAAGTATTCAACGAGTCTGAGTATGCGCAAGATCGTGCCCTTCACATTGAGCGCGAAGCCGCCCGTCAAGAGCGTGAGGTCCTCAACAGCCTCGGAAACACTTTCTGGAAGAAGGATCCATCCATTGCTCCACTTCGTGGTGCTCTCGCTACCTGGGGTCTTACGATTGATGACCTTGACGTTGCTTCTTTCCATGGTACATCGACTGTGGCAAACGACAAGAACGAGTCTTCTGTTATCTGTCAACAATTGAAGCATCTCGGCCGAAAGAAGGGTAACGCTGTCCTCGGTATCTTCCAAAAGTATTTGACCGGGCACCCCAAGGGTGCTGCTGGTGCCTGGATGATGAACGGATGCTTGCAAGTTCTCAACACTGGCTTGGTTCCTGGCAATAGAAACGCCGATAATGTCGATCAAGTCATGGAGAAGTTTGACTACATCGTCTACCCCAACCGAAGCATTCAAACGGACGGTGTCAAGGCATTCTCGGTGACATCATTCGGCTTCGGTCAGAAGGGTGCTCAGGCCATTGGTATTCACCCAAAATACCTCTTCGCTACTCTGGATGAGGATACCTACGCTGCATACTGCACCAAAGTTGAGGCCAGACAGAAGAAAACCTACCGATACTTCCACAACGGAATGATCTCCAACACCATCTTTGTCGCCAAGACACACTCGCCATACACCGACGACCAACAAGGAGATGTCTTCCTGAATCCCGACGCACGTGTCTCGATGGACAAGAAGACATCTACATTGACCTACGCACCTAACTTCGCTAAGCAACCAGCCAACAAGGCCAAGACGGAAGCTACCAAGCAAATGGTAGAGTCTCTGGCCAAGGGTGCGGCGACTGCCAGCAACAAGGTTGGTGTCGATGTCGAGGACATCTCAGCCATCAACATCGAGAACGATACTTTCCTCGAGCGCAACTTCACAGATGCCGAGCGCGCCTACTGCTTGAAGGCTCCAAGCCCGCAAGCTTCGTTTGCCGGTAAGTGGAGTGCCAAGGAGGCAGTGTTCAAGTCGCTTGGTGTGGCGAGCAAGGGAGCGGGTGCGCCGTTGAAGGAGATTGAGATTATCAATAATGAAGAGGGTGCGCCGATTGTCACTGTGAGTTCACTGACCTATGACCTTTTCCAAATCATCGACTAATTTGTGTAGCTTCACGGTGCAGCAGCAGCTTCAGCAAAGAATGCTGGTGTGAAGGAAATCAGCATCTCGATCTCACATTCCGATAGTCAGGCTATCGCCGTTGCTGTTGCGTCCTTCTAGATAAAGTGTTTTCATAATGTATATTTTGGGGGGCTTTTCTCTCGAGTCGTGGGGGGGTGGGGGTAAGGGATATATAGCCGGGCGTTCTCTTGCTATTTTGCAACCAATACGCGGCTGCCATGAATCTTTTCTTGGCCGATAGAGTAGAAGGAGAGACAGGTGGCTGGCTCTCAGGGTGAGTAAGATTTTTAGTATATACTAGGTATGAATTGAAGGTTTAGACGTTTCGACTACATACGTAGTATACTACGTACTACAGCTATGCGTAATGCAACGTACCATTATGTGATGTATCCAGGGAGCTTAGCAAGTCAGCTGAACAAACAAATTTCACCGCGGGGACTCCGACCTCATCAGATTGGAACCGGGGTGGTTTCCTGCATAAGTGAGTAATCGTATCCCTGGTCGGAGTACAAGTCAGAGGCAGGAATGCGGTTCCTAGTACTCTTCATTACTACGGTCATTTTTCAGTAACACGGTCAACTTTTACGTGATTTTCCTTCTACACGCGATTAATTAACTATATCATAACTCAAATCGAAGCCGAAACGGAGAAAAGAATTGCTAAAGCTATCGCTTTCAGAAAATTCAATATTTCTATTAAACCGAGCACGATTGCCGCTAAATTCACCGTTCCTCTACGTCCATTCAACGCGAGATTCAATGGCCGAAAACTACCAAACCCCCCCCAAAAAAAGCAATGCTTTATCGAGTGCACAAAACGCAAGGTTGCGCAAAAGTATATCTTTCTTAATATACATCGGCTATCAAGCAACGAAGTTTAATATCCGCGACGTAGCAAACTCAATCTTTTCGTCTTTTAAGAGCGGCAAACGCTTTAACACGCAATAAGCTAGCAGATATAGCTTGCAAGAGAAAAAGAAAAAAAAAGATGAAGAACGATACGCGCCAAAAGGCTAGCACAAGAGCTTCTTTACTTATCGAGCTAGCTTGATTGATCATGATCAATGGAATGAGAAATCATCGATAAATATAAAGTTTATAATAAAAGGGCGGCTATGCAAATAAAGATGCGAAGCTTTTGGAATGATCGGCGCACTTTAAAAGGTGCGGCGAATTTGCAAGAACCGATCGGTCTATTGTTGCTTTATGCTGTTAAGAATGATAGGGAATGTAGATTCGGAGGTGGCGATTATGATTTTTAGAAGGTTATGTGTAATTATTTAATTATTTACTTAATTAAAAGTTATTCGAATGGCGCCGACGAGGTTGATATAGTAGTACGAATATAATCGCGTTCCGAATTCTATTGACTCTTTTAAGTTTTTTCCTAAGGTAATCGTCGGTTACCTTGAATTTAAATTGTAAAAAAATCCCGACCTGGCGCATCGGTCAATTCTTTCCAATTGAATTTAAGGAAACCGACGATTAGGTTTATCATCAAAGAATAGTGTTAAATTTTATAATTCATTTTCCTATCAAAAATTGCAATAGATATTTGTAATATAAAAAAAGGCACGAAAAAGTTGACTGTATCACTGAAAAATGACCGCCTTCTATCGATATTCCTTACTCGTGCGGGACCGCTGTGAAGTCGATCCGCTAAGGCGACAGAAAATCTTGGAGACTCACGGAATGCCTTGTCAGACTTCAGTGGAGTTCTGGACTCCTGCAAACAATACTCTTCCCCCCTGAATTAAATGTGCTAGGTAACACTGGGTCTTTCATGGGCCGATTCCAGGGCATATACTACTAGTAGTAGTATAGCAAGGGGTAAAAGGGGGGAGTATACAAGGGTTTTAAGCCAATCGAAATAAAGGCCGCTTGACTTTACCTATCCCTCGTCTTGCTTCAAATCTTTGTTTTGGCTTAGAATTCTTGTGTATTCGACCCGTTTTCTATCTATTGATAGCTATCAAAGCGAGCTTGCGAGCTTTGTACTACGTCCTAGGCTTAATTGTTACACTCTTAAGGGTAGGGTAACCAGGGGGTTTAAAGTGGAAACTAAACTTTTTGAGGCACCCTCAAGGGTCTAACAATTACGCCGGTACCGTGGTATTTCCTGAGAGCTCCTTCCCTTATAAGGGGGACTGTGGCCTCCTGAAAAAATGCAAATAACCTTTTTAAGCGACTAAAATTGATAGGTCAATTAAAAAGTGCGAGTGGTGACGGGTACCGGTAGCAGAATCCTAAAATAATAAGCAACGTAATTACTACTAAATTCTACGTGATTCCCTGACTTTTAACATCTTCGCTTCCAAAAACCGTTTAAGAAATATGAGTCGCTTTAAACGGCACGATTAAGCAAGAATGTGCCAAATGTTACACTTATAAGGAGCAGGCCGCCAACTTTAAGTCTCAAACAAAGAATAAAGTCGTTTCAATTTAGGAAAGCTATAAAGATATAGCAAAAGCATCTACGCCTTCTCGCCCGCTTATTAATATAAGTATAAAAGAGGGCGAGTCTATTGCTAGATCGTTTAGAGCCAGAGGAGTAGGATATACCTTTTCAAGCGAACGCATGCTAAGGAATAGAACTTATACTCGGACGCAGCTCTTTTTTACTATTGCTTTCGCTATTATCATTGATAAATCTTTTAAAAGGTTATAGCGGATAAGATAATTACGAATTTGACTGATAAAAATTACGTTACTAAATTAAATTACGTGGCTATTTCTCGGGTCAAGACTTTAAGAGGTCTTTACATTAAAGAGGCATTCGATTACTCTCGTTCACAAGTTACGAAGGTTTCGAAGACTAAGACCATAAAATTAGCTAATATAGCACGTCACTTGCTTTAGCATGTTCTTCTTTTTATTCCAGAATTAAATTAGTTCACGTTGTTAAGGATTTATAGTTATAAATGTATAGAGGTCACGTTTTAGTGATGAAAAATTAAAGACTAGTAATATATTATTATTTAGAATTTCAAGTTATTCAAACAAACAGGCCTCTCGAAATTATATGAACTCTTGATTGCACGTATATACGTAGTACGTTGGTAGATGCACTCCCAAGCTCGCTTTGCTGTTACGTAAGCTGCATGCTATTTACTACGTACCTCTTAATAATAGATATCAATCAGTAATCGAGTTCACCGATAACTTTACAAAAAAGCTTTTCGACGACTTTGGCTACTTAAACACCGAGAAAACGACGTAAACGCTCGAAAAAACCCACTTTATTAAAAAGAAATATTATTTATTTGTTTATAACGCTTAATGGATCTCTTTTAAAGACTACGAGAAATCATAACGAAGGCTTAAGACGCTATTCTTAATAGCTATATCGAATCTCCATACGAACCGTACTGTAGTAGAAGCGTTGTCAAGCTGTAATCGATGTTCAAGGAGGGCCAACTCCATACTAGATACGTACTACGTAAAATCCGAATCGATTAATCTTTTCTTTATTTCGATTGGCTTAATAAAACCCTTGTATACTCACTCACCCCTTTTACCCCTTGCTATACCGCCTGCCACAACGGTATATCCCCCGGAATCGGCCCATAAAAGACCCAGAATTACATTTGCTGTACGTTGTAGTAGTACAACGTACGTAGTTCTACCGGTATACAACTACTACGTAGTATTTTAGGGGGAGGGGGAGGGGGAAGTGGAGTTCTGGACTCCTGCAAACCATATTTTGGGGCGATTTTCGCCTTGGCGGACCGACTTCATGGCGGTCCCGCACGAGTAGGTAGGGATATGAATTTCCTTCCCTACTCCTTCCATACCGGTATCGAAGATCACCCCAAAGTCAAAGGTCAAGAGAGAAAGGCTTATGCTCTTTGATTTACAACGTAGTAGTACCGCTAGTACATGCTTTTGCCGGCTTTGTGTTGGGCAAAGTCGTATCTACAACTGCAAGCAAGTGGAAGGGATATGGCGACGGTACAACTACCTCTTGATCTGCTTTCAAAGGTTCATTCTGTTATCAAAACCTGCTGAGTGGATACTCCCGTGGTCTCACTCCGCAGTACCAAGGCTTACTTTCACCGACTTCCAGATGCGCGCAGAACCAAGCTTCTTGGACTTCGGTCTGTCTCTCAAGAGAGCGATAATTTGTTTGCCCTTTCTTGGCCAACACACTACTCAGCAGTACCCCTACTGATCACCTACCTGCCTATGTCGTCTCTTGGTCGTCTCTTGGAATCTTCTTGCTCATTTGGGATGCCCATAAAGAGTCAGAGTCGCGCGCCCTTCCCTTCGGCCTGATGCCACGGCCTTGATTGTTTACTCCGTGCAACCTACCTCCTGCCTACCTGTTACTTCTACAGGACCTCACCTCGTTGTCCAATCATGCGCGTCCTAAAGCCCTCCACCCTCTCGGTCCTTCTTGCCGCTTCCTCGAACGCACAAGCTCTCGCGTCAGGATCAGACCAAGCGGCATCTTGCTCTCAATTCGGGGCTTCTCTGGCGCTGGAAAATGTGACGGTCAACTTCGCAGAGCTCGTGCCAGCCGGCACCAACCTCTCGCTCTCGCAGGACTACGATCTGGATTCATGCGACCAACCGTTTCAGCTTGTCTCGGTGGATCTGTGCAGGGTAGCTATGTATGTGGCGACCACTGATCGAAGCGGCATCACGCTGGAGGCGTGGCTACCGACGAATTGGACGGGGCGGTTTCTGAGTACGGGGAATGGAGGTGTGAGTGGTTGCATACAGGTATGTTTTCTCTTGTACTTTGGAGGTGGGAGAACGGAGGAACTTGTTGAGGATACGGCGGAACGCGGATATGTTGTGAGGGGATTATGGTAAAGGGGTTTATTCACTGACTCCTTTCTGATGTTAGTATTATGATCTTGCTTATGCTAGTGGCTTTGGATTCGCCACTGTTGGTTAGCTGTCCCTGGATCGAGGATGAAGAGGTTGAAGCTTATTCGTTTTTAGGAGCTAACAATGGCCACAATGGAACGAGGGGCTATGTAAGTTACTCCATCTTGCGTACATGATTCAAAGACTTACAGCAAACGAGGCTTTTGAGAACAACACGGACGTTGTTCGTGACTTTGCAGACCGTAGCATGCATACTGGCGTCGTGGTCGGCAAGCAAGTCACTGAACTTTTTTATGGCACCGCCCACAACAAGTCCTACTACCTTGGCTGCAGCACCGGTGGCCGTCAAGGTTTGAAAGCCGTGCAAAGCTACCCCGAGGACTTCGATGGCGTTGTAGTAGGTGCTCCAGCCCTCAACTTTCCCTCTCTCTCAAGCTGGAGCGCTCTCTTCTTCACGCTATTTGGCGTGGAGGGAGACCCCACCTTTGTGAGCGTGGATCAGTGGATGGGCCTGGTTCGTCCCGAGATTCTCCGTCAGTGTGATGGGATTGATGGGGTTTTGGATGGAGTTCTTGAGGATCCAGATTTGTGTCAATTCAACCCTGCAACGCTCCTGTGTCCTGCAGGAAACTCAACAGCAGCAGACTGTCTGTCGGAAGAGCAAGTTGGAGCCGTGACCAAAGTATATGAAGATTACTATGGTGTTGATGGCGAACTCATCTACCCGAGGATGCAGCCTGGGGAAGAATCTGTCGCAGTTTTCCTCTACTACACGGGAGGGTCTTTCCCGTATTCAGATGATTGGTTCAGATACGTTGTATACAGTGAGCTATGTCCTAGTTCTCCCCTCCCCGTGAAATACGCGTGGGGGTAGGATAACAGAGACGCTGACAGCCTACAGACGACTCGAGCTGGGACCCGGCAACATACAACATTCAAGACGCCAAGGCAGCCAAAGACCAGAACCCATTCAACATCGCCACCTGGGAAGGCGACATCTCAGCGTTCCAGAAATCAGGTGGGAAGCTGTGTAAGTCACTCCCACACCCACTCCTAAACCCTCTGGGGGAAAATGAATATATCTGACGCGCTGAATAGTACACTACCATGGCCTAAGTGACGGTATTATCACTTCGACAAATAGTCCTTGGTACTACAACCACGTCTCCCAGACCATGGGCATGAGTCCGTCAGAGCTCGATGACTTCTACCGCTTATTTAGGGTGCCCGGAATGGGTAAGTCTCTCGTTCTTCACTCCCTTGACAATTTACTACCCGCCATATGGAAAGAACCTGGCTTTGACACCCAAACAGGCCACTGTGGCGGAGGCACCGGCGCCTATCTAATCGGCAATCAATTGGATCAAGTCTCAACTGCTGACCCCCAGGACAACGTACTCATGCGTATGGTCGAGTGGGTCGAGAATGGGAATGGGCCGGAGACGATCCGGGGAACGAAATATGTCAATGATGATAGATCTCAAGGTGTGGAGCTGGTGAGAGAGCATTGCAAGTACCCAAAGAGGAGTACGATTGTGGATCCGGCAAACTATCACAAGGCGGAGGCTTGGAAGTGTGTTTGAGAGAGGGTGGGCAGGTAGAAGGAAATATTCGAGGGTCGCTCTTCGTGGAGCTCCGATGTGTAACGAAGTCTTGGGGAATCAACACGTTCCAGCGATGATGCATGGATGTCGCGTGCCACCCTTTAAATGAGAATCCGAATCAACGTGTGAAGATCATAGTGCTCGGAACCGTGTAGGTCTTAGAATTGTGCCTGGGCGTTTGAAAAAGGCCTAGAAAACTGATTGTCAATAAAATACCTCGCTTAGGTAGATTATTAAACTTTATTGGGAGTTTAAAAGGGAGTTCTTTAGATGACCCAAATTAAGTACTATGACTTGTTCAGCTGTGTTCAAGAAACGGTTAACTTATGAATAATCTATCAATATCGATGTATATAAAGGTATTTAGTTGACTACTGATCAGAATAGGATGGTATATCACGTGATATAATGATAACTAATACTTGTACAGAGTTTTAAGTGGGTCGCGAAATCGCGTCGACCACGCGCGTTAAGCTGCATTACAGTTCTCCTCCACAGACATCATTTCGACGACCGCAGCGCGCCAGAGTATCAAGCACACAAAACCACAGTCGCTTAAAATAGCCAGCACCTACCACCACTGTAAGTTGGCTGCAACAACCACGGTTTACAATGCCGCCGTTCAAAGATGACCACATCCTTATAATTGCGCCGGGCTCGCAGACCACGCTCGCCCAACTCGGCCTACCCGAATCCTTTACGCCGGCTTCGCATCGATTCCCTACCAGAGTTTTTGCTGCACCCGATGGGAAGACTTTCGAGCCGCATAAAATCCGTGCAGTCAAGAAGGACACGGCTAGCACAAGCGACGATGTACAGATGGGAGGAGCGGATGGGGAGGAAGAAGAGTTGATTGAGGATCCAGAGGATGAAGAGGGGGCTATATGGCCATTGAAGGGTGAGCATTCCTCGTCTTGTCTGGTGTGTTAGATAATGCTAATGTTGCGCAGAGGGACGGATCGAGAATTTGCCTGCCTTCTATGCCTTCCTGGAACATGTCAAAGCCACCTTCAATGCGCCATTACATACGCCGGTTATGTTGATTGCGCAGCCGTGTTGGACGGCAAAGAATCACGAAGATCTTACACAGTTCATTTTCCAGAGGTTCAAGACGCCTGCTCTGTGCATTTTGGACAGTGCAATATCTACTTCATACGCCTTCGCCCTGCAGAACGCCACCATCATCGATGTTGGGTTTGAGAAGGTGGACGTTACAGCCGTTGCCGACTTCCAGATTGCGGGAAGGGGTATCGTCCGCGGCTCTGGAGGAGAGGCCATGACACGGAAGTTGATGGAGCTATTGGAGACGAAGGATTTCACGCGAAATATGGCCGAGCATCTGAAGAAGAGCTTGATCTGCGAGATTCTGCCTCCGGGAACCCCGATGCCTGGGACGGACGTAGCAGATGTGCCGATGGATGGTGATAGCAATCCGGCTGCTGCTGCGACGACTGGGGCATCTTCGTCAGGGCCAAATGTTAAAATCACTGAGCCACCTCGAGTCCCGCTCTTGGACGATGTTGAGGATGATTATGCTCTCGGTGACGATAAACCCATCGAAGATGATGGAGTGTTGGACGTTGCGAGCATTGTGACCAGCGGGAAGACGCAAGAGTTCCTGGCGAAGAAGCAAAAGGAGAAGGAAGAAAGAGCAGCATTACGCAAGGCAAATCGTGAAGCCGAGAAGGAGGCGGCTGCTCTTGCGGCTGCGAGACCGTTGCGATTGCCCAACTCGAAACGCCCACGTGCTACCTTCCACTATGAAGAGGCGGTCCAGGACTCACCTGCAGCCAAGCGACAAAGGACCCCTGAGCCAGTTGCCGAAGAACCAGTGTCTGCTATTGAGTCTAAAGCCGAAGATGGTATTCCGGCCGTGGATGGAGCACCTGCTCCAGTGATTGAGACTACTCAGCGGGAAGCGAACAAAGCCGCCAAGAAAGAGGAGAAGCGAAAGGAAAGGGAAGAGGCGAATCCCGGTCGCATTCGTAGAGATATTGAGATTGGGACCGAGCGTTTCCAGGCAGCGAGCGAGGGCTACCTAGACCAGATTGCCGATACGGTCTACCGCACTGTCCTATCCGTCAACGATATCTCGAAGAGACAGGCTGCATGGGACGCTCTGGTGATCTGTGGATCTGGGTCGAAGATCAGAGGATTCAAGGATGCGCTCATCGCTGTTCTCAACAACCGCTACCTGGTTTCTCCCAGCTCAGCAACCATGTTCATGAGCGAGCTTCCTTCCAACCTTGCTACACCCAGCGGCACCGGATCTCAAACACCAAACGCCTCTTTCTCGTCAACACCACATGCGCCTCCCACTGCTAGCGCCGTCAATCCCCTGCTCATCGCGGCTACCACTGCCTCGAACCCTGCCCTCAACCCTAACGCTTCTATGGCTTCCTTCAACGATACTCAATCTCATTCTTCGCACTCGCAGTCGCCGACAAGTATCAAGCTCGCCGTGGCTCCAACCTACTTTCCTGAATGGAAAAATTTTGATGAGGCGGTATTTCTTGGTGCTCAGGTCGCTGCTAAGGTTATTTTCGTGGTGGACCAGGGGGCGTCGAAAGGTTTCCTGTCGAGAGTGGAGTTTAATGAGGAGGGACCTACTGCTATTCATCAAATGTAAGTCCATCCTTGGAATCCGTCAGGTGGATATGTGCTAACTGTAACAGTGGACTGCTGTACTAGGTACTTTTAGGTGGCGTTGCTGGATCTGGATCTGGATGTAGAATAAAGAGCTACTATAAAAGGCGTTTGTGAAAATAACAAAAGTATACCCTTCTTTCTTCAACCTCTTGAAATTGTGCCGTTTCTGCGTTTGTCTTGCCGCGTGTTGTTTGCTATCGAATTTTCCTTATAGCTAAACCTGATTGATCTAGCCTGTGAACAAGGTGAGGTGCTTTGATCTTGCAGTTCCATTGGTAAAGCATGTTAATGCAGACCTTATAATCAATGCCTTATATCAATCTGAATGGTTACTCCTCAGAATCTAAGGAGTACACAGGGCTTGATTGTATAGACCAAATACCACGGTAGATATGTGGTTAGTATGCTCTGCACGCTCACTTCTTACACCTGCTGTCCTTTTAAGTTTGCCTGCTGTTCGGTTGATTTCACTGTCCAAAGGATGCAGAGCACATTGTATATAGGGGAGTCAGCGCTAAAGTCAAGGTTATATAGTCGACTCTGTTTATTCACCGTCCGAAGCCGTCACATGACGGCACTAGTAGGTATGCCGCTAGCTCCCGCACAGCTCCTTCCTGATATAACGAGCAGATTCTTCCCGATACCTCCCTCATCGACTCGACCTCATCAACTCGACTTCATGGACTCAACCTCTCGTCCATCAAGAAATACATACCTCTTTGCCCCGCAACATACTCTTCCTCTTCCTTTCCTCGATCTTGATTCCGATTCCAATAACAAGACGGCTGGAAGATAAAGTACCGTATCCCTTACCTTCAATTGTTTCTGCGATATCTTTGGGCTGTCGCAACGCCACCTCTTCACCTTTCTGCTGACCCTTCGCACAGAGTAAAGAGTAAACCATCGATATGCGCGTCACTCGTACAAAGACCGGTAAACTACCGACCAAAGTCGCCCGCGATGATGTCGTCTCCGACTATGAGTCTCCTCCCCCCAGCCCAATGAGCGCCGCCTCCGCTACAGCTATCGAACCCACACCCGAGCTTCTCCAACCTGAACCCATTGTCCCCATGGAGTCTGCGCCAGTCTTCCAGACCATCAAGTCCAACAACAAGATCGAGAGTGGTCTGGCCATCGTCCGCGATCTCGGCGGTGGAAGATACGAGATTATCAGCCTGAAGAACGTTGATTCAGAGGCATTCTCGTCGAAGGAGACCGGTGTTCTAATCAAGGCGGATGATGCGAGACATGCTGCTATCAAGCTGGGCAAGGATGATTGGGAGGCTGCGGCGTTCAAATGTGCTATGGCTATTGGTAGCGCTGGTAATTTTCCCTATCTGCTCGAACATACTCAACAAGACGGGCATACTGGAGGCTTCATTTCACAGAACAGCCCCGAGTATCCATTCCCTATGGACAAACATGTTTTGAGAACGCCATCGTGACATTGAAAGGTACTGACTTTGCTTTTAGATAAGACTATCTTTCGATTTCGCAAGTTGCCGATTGAACGTACGTTACAGGGGAATTCGTTTTCTTCTCATCCCAGGATGTTTTCTAATACTCCCAACACTCTTTTGATCAGGCGACTGCTGACTCTTGGTATTCCAAAGTTCGCTACCGCATCTATGATTTCGCTATTGCTGGATACAAGGTCCTCCGACGTTCCTGGTTAGCTTCTTTCCATCTGACCCATGAATTTTCTGCTCACTTGTGCCTATAGGAATGGCGAACAAGCTGCGAAAACCGTGGGATTCAACCTTATGATTGCCAGCAAAGAGATTTATGAGGAGACTAAGCCGTTCTTCTATAAGAACAACTTCCGGATCGGCCAAGAAAGCAAGCTATGTAGGTCTGACTATGCTTGACCTTTTGAAAAAATTACTAAGATGTTTGCTACCCTAGGCTCATCAATTCCTGTCATATGCCGTGATTCCCTGAAGGAGGTTACGTTCGAATGGTTTGGATGGGGACGCAAGGATAGGACTTCCTGGGATATCATCATGCTTTGCCTCCCGAATGTCAAGATCCTCAATCTACGTATTACGCACTGTACGTAATCTCGAATTTCCCGCCGTTCCAGACACATAGGACTGATTCATATTACCAGGGGCTATCAGCCACCAGTGGCCTAATACACTCGGCCAGCAGGATATGCAGGTCAAGAAGTTCGTCCAAACCAGTAAGTCATGAAAGATCTGTCGCTTCCTATTCTTGATTGTCCTCGGGTATATGAGGACATTTCCGAGACCTCTTTGAACAAGCAGTTGCTGACTCCTCGTGCCTTACAGAGGGATTTTCGGAGATCACTGGTGTGCGGGGCCTTGATACTGTCCGAGTGATAAACGAGGGTCCTCGTAAAGCTCCAGCACACGACCTGTCCCAAGATGAGCTGAAGGCTTTTCAGGATTATTTGACTGAGAAGTTGACGATGCCTAAATACGTTCCACCCCCGCCACCTCCTGCCCCATTCAAGCAGGCTGCCAAAGTCACCAGAAAGACTGCGGCACTTTTGAAGGTCAAGAAATCGAAGCGAAAAAACTGGGAGGACGATTCCGACTATGAGGGCTAGATCGATTGCTCCTCAGGTCACTGGATTCATTATCAACGTTGCTTCGTGGCTTGGAATCAGGCGTGCGTTGCTATGGGATCTGTTCTCTGACGGCGAATTTGATTGGGCATTGCTCTCTGGGGTTTAATACTGGGTCTTTTTTTTTTCGGGGCAGATTTGGGAGCGGATCAATTCATGGTGTTGTGAGCCTTTTACATAGCGCCACCTATCTTTGGTACAATGGCATCATGGAATTAGGAACGCCGTCCATATAATCGTTGGAGCGTGTCGATGAAATTCGAGAACATTAGGGAATCAGGATGCAATTTTCTTTGGCAAGAGCTTGGATCTCGGTCTTTTGAGTACTCTTTTGCGAGGTTGAGCAAATCACCAGTGAGCACCATATACTGACTGCACTGCATGCACTCACTAAATCCTAAGAGTTCTTTCTGTATATTGTTTCTTAACGCCTACTTAAGTTGCTGTGCTCAAGTCCCATCCAGCCCATCCGTAAGCCAAACCAGACAGTCGTAAAGGGTATTTCATCCGTCATTATCATAGGAGTTCGTTTGCTCTCCGTCTCTCTTCCTCTCATCATCCTCACTCGTCATGCTCGTAGGTCTCACCTATGCATGGTCCCGCTCTCCCACCTGCTGCTCATGTCGGTGCTCCCGATCCGGTTCCCGCTCGCTGCTCGACGGACCGGATCCATTCTCACGACTCGATGGCCGGGAACGCTGCTCCCGATCTGTATGGCTCCGCGACGGACCTGGTCGGCTCTGGCTGGACTCTCCGCTGGGCAGCATAGGGTCGTCGTCTAGCTCAATGATGCGTCCTTCGCTATCGACCTTCGCTTCTTTCTCTAGACGCACTTCGCGGCCGCGCTTGTGGCAGTACCAGAATACGAACAGCAGGACTAGACCCCTTTAGCAGCGGACGGGGCGGGGTTTTGGTGTCAGGTAAGAGGAGAATACATACTGAAAAGTGCAATGCTGAGCAGGACGTTGGTTCCCATGAATGCTGGCCACCTCAGCTTCAGAGCGTTCAATATCGCTTTCAGCATGGAAACTACGGCTCCGGGCTTCGTGACGAGGTCTTTGAGACTGGTGGGTTTGAGGAACTTCATGGCTGCTGCGCCGATTCCGGCTGCACCTCCTGCGGTTTCGGCGCCTCCAGCCGTGGCTGCACCTGCTGTGTTCAAGACTTGGGCTTCAGCAGCTGCGGCTAGGATCTCGGGCCCTAGGTTCTTGGTTAACTTATCCGGCAGAGTCATGACCAGCTTCTGCAGGAACCCCGGTAGATGGTCGTAGCCCTTCGCTAGTGTTTTTTGGGAGTCGTCGAGGAGGTGTGTGAGATCGTCGTAAGCGGTCGGTACGCCATTGATGAGGTCTTTGAGGATAACTGTGAACTTCTGGAGGATGACTTGCGATTCTTCCGAGATAGAGAAAGCGCGGTTATTGACGGCGGAAAGGTTGAGGTCCTCGAGGACTTTGTTGATGTCTATCTCTTCAGTAGCAGCTTCGTTTGGTGTGGCGACAGTTGAGTCTGCCTTTAACCCGTCTTTGTTCTATGAACCAGTTAGTTTTTCGGCTTGGTTCCCACAACGGTATTAATTTTGCCATACCTTTTTCGTTCCACTCCTATGCAAGAAAGAGAATCTTCCAGGCTTCTTCTCCTTCTCGGCATCTTTCTCACTCTCCTTCCCTTTCCCTTTGTCCTTCGGGCTTCGCCTCTTCTCTTCCTCAGCAGTATCATTCTCATCATGCACAACTACCTGCGCCGCATTCCCCGTCGAGTCCCCAGCCTCTGGCCCCAATACACGCGGTCGCTCAGGGAGCGGTGGTGGAGTGCCCTCTGCAGACACGATGCGCTCCAGGAAATGTTCGTCTTCCTCGTTGATGAGGGGTGGTAGTAGGCCAGCCTCTGCTTTCTTTTCCGTTTCCTGTTTCTTGACTTTCTTGGAAGTGAAGTATTCCAACATCCTGACAGTCTTTTGCGGTTATGATTTCAAGGGAATCGAAATGCTTGTCTGGTTGTGAGGATTCCTTGGGAAAGGAGGCGCAGACGGTTGGAAGTTATAACGATTTAACGATGGAACAATAAAGGTTGGACGTTCTACATAGCCACACACAGCTAGCGCCACACCTCGTCATCGCACTTTAGCTCCCTTCGCGTGGCCTCAGTGTGCCTCGGCAGACTCTCTCTGTTTACTACTCCCCTTTCTTGAAATTTTGATAGGCACAAGGGGGGACAGGATGCTGTTGACAAACTACATCAGTAGCTGAAAATAGACCCGACTTTGGTCTTTGTCCAGCTTTACTCAGTCAACCATCAGACTTGCATAGTCCGGGGCCCAGCCTCTTGGTGATTCCAGAATTGGCTATTACTGCTGGCTTCAAGCTTCGCCCCTTTCAGTCTCACTCGGTCTTGCAGCCCTTCCCTCGAGCTGATATAAGTCTTCCCATAGGGACTCTCCTCCATCACTTGGTCGAATACAATATTACAAGAAGACAGCCAGGAATGGGTGTCAAGAGTTTGAGTCCGGCTGGTATATCTCAAGCTTGCCATCCCTCAAGGCTGTTTGAAAGCACACAGCTAGTATGTCTTTTGAGAGCAACGTACATTGAAATCACATCTCCCTATTTCTCTTACAGGACTCCAAGATATATAGATATATATATATATATGTCCAAGGCCAGCTCTCTAACAAAAAGCATCGCTGTTTTTACTGCCCTCAGGAACAGCCTCGCCAATAGTTCACTGGCTGGTCAGGTTAGCCCGGGGGTTTGGGGGGCAGGGTTTGTCCCCTTGTGGTTTCCTTATGGTTTGTATATACTGACGTCGCGTATGATGGTAGTCGGGACTGACGGTCATTGTTTATTTTATTAAGATGGGGAATGCTATATAGTGATTTACAGAATTATCACCCCATGTTCCTGCTAACGATGCTCTAGAATTCTCAGTCCTGGCTCAAACAAATTCCCCCATACCACAAATTCACATCTCCCATCTCAGTCTCGATTTGGACATTGAGTTCTAGCTTGAAGTTGAGCGTCGAATACTAGAGGTAGATGAGATGTTGATACCGGAATCGACCATCAGAACATTGCCAAAGTACAAAACTGCTCCCCTTCAATACTTTATCAAGCCTATGATGGGTTGAGTGGATGGGTACAATGGAGGAGGGTGAAGGTGGCAGAACCGTGGAGCACAAGGTTGAGTGGATCCTTTTGGTGCAGATAAAGTACCGACTGTGCTCCGCGACTATGGCCGGAGAGATGGAGGAAGATGTGAGGCTTCTTGGGCGAGTGCTTGTATTAAGATAGCTGACGCTCCAAGCACAGGGGCCAACCGGGCATGAGCCGATCACAAGAGCTCATGAGGACGCACATACACCCAACATTTATCGGCGGTAACAGCAAGTCCGTTTTCCTTCTGTCCTTGCACAGACTCGGCAATGAGGGTCTGCAGCTCCTCGTAACTTTCGGGTGATTGCTTCACCCAAAGACGCAAGCCACCCTTGTCCATATCAACATTGAAGTGCATATAGGTGTCACTCCCTGGAGTATCTCCTGCTGCCAGGACCGGCTTCTTCCACATATCAACGTAGGTCAAGATAGCAGCCCACTTTCCTGCATACCAAGTGGCTGGCGTCCAAAGATGAGTGCTGAGTTCCAGGTCCAAGTTGGCTGTTTCGTTGTAGGTGCCGGCCGAGATTTGCTTTCGAGAAGAGGTAAGTTCTCCGGTCTTGGCGCACTTCAGTATTGTCGCGACTCCAAGGACGTTCTCGGGCTTCACGTTATACCCATACTTGGGATCCGAAACGACCATACGGACTATCTCTTCGTTGGAGGCGCTGACGATGTAGACCTCAATACCGTTGTTTTGAAGTTCATTGATGAGCTCGACCTGCTTGGTGAAGACCTTGGGAGGCTCTACCTCGCATTGGACGGCCGCGCCATCCTTCCACTTTGTTGTTGGGATGGTGACGTTCAAGGCGAACAAGTCATCGATGTGGCATTTCAGCTCGCGCAGGGTGAGGCCGGAGAAGACCTGGGCAATCCATGGATAACAGATCATCACATCGATCTCACAGAGACGGGTGTAGTAGCTGTGCAGCGACTCCGTATTGCTTGCATCGTCTTTGAAATCGATCAGCTTCAGCGAAGGGTCCATTGTCTCGCGAGTAATGATCCCACGGTTCTCCAAGTAGGCAATTGCTGCCTCCGAAATATCGTTTTTCCATATTGTGTTGTCGGCGTCGAAGACAGCATAGTTGGACTTGTGGGCGTTCTTGGCAATCATGTTTTTCAGAGCTTCAGCTGGAGCAGGCGGCCAGCTCTTGAGCGTGTCGGTTGGATATGATGCGGGCACATTACCGGGAACTGCGTGGGCCGTGATGGCGAGACACGCCGCGACGACGGAACTGATGATGCAGTGCTTCATGGTTGAGATGTTGAGTTCTTGTCGTGGGATGGAAGAGCAGGCGTGTAATCGCTGGCAGATGTCCGATTGCTGGATATACCTACTACTACTTATATAATTTGTTCTCGAGCGGCCAGAGCCTCCACGTCGAAAATCATCCCGGATTTAGAATCGGAACCACGGTTCGTTAGCTATTCAGAGCATTGCAATCTCAGTATCTGGTCTCCAAAAAAAATCGACGGGTGGGGAGCGATAAGACGGCAATTCCCGAAATGTCGTCCCCATGTCTCATTAGCAAGCGAACTGTGCTGAGTAGGAGGATCTAGCAAAAGTCGGTTCTTCCCAAAAACACCTATTAATAGATAGATCCGTCCACTTCCATGTCAAGGTACCCCCGGTACCTATACCTATGTCATTATCATTCTAGAGGGTTGGACCCTTTTGTACACACGATCTGCGACGTCTACAAAATTGTAGAAAAAGAAAAAAGAAAAGAACCTCGCTAATGGCTCGTAAACACAAAGACTCGTGGGAATTCGCCAACGACCTTACGAAGACCTGACGAAGTAATTTCGATAGCAAGGGGCTTCAACGGACCTATTTACGACTTTCTATTATCGGAGATGATTTACCTGACCGCTTATAACCAATACTAGTACTAGGCCCTCTTTAGAAATGGTCCAAGTAGGGAATAGACCGTTCTTGATGGCCCTATTGAGAAATACCTTCTGATGGCCGTTCCCGTTTTCATTCTCTAAAACGGGATTATTCAAGGGCTCCTGTCAAATACCTAAAAAAATTAATGAGTATCTACATTAAGATACAAGTGAAAGATAAAATTGGTGTTAATTTCTTTCTCGGCGCTCGTACGGGTCATACTACGTATATCAACGCTTGCAAAGATCTAAAACCGGAAACGATGATTGGGCTAAAGCAGGTACCGCATAAACTCGACAGAATGGCGGCGCGGGGCTTGTCTGTTGACTCTCCGCAAGATCGACGCACTGCCTCCCGTGACTTCTAAATGGTGAAGATAGTAGTAGGTACCGGTACTACGATGTTAATTATGGCTCCAGCGTAATTTCGAGCTCCATCCAGGGTCTAGACCTTTACGCAGCCAACGCACTGACCAGTTGTGAAATAGAGACTAGACGTTATTAGTAGCAGCCCTGCGCGCCACGATATCGAGTATAGGCAGCGGTACTCCGCCCGATTCTTGGCATAGGGCTGGTCCCAACACGCTCGAGGACGGTCCCAGCACGGTCTTGTGACGCAGAGACGAGCTCTTATGAACGACGATTTGGTCAATTTCGTCGATTTCATCGGTGCAATTTCAGCCACGATCTAGAGCATCTGAACTGTCTATGTTTACTCACGGAGTACAAAAACCATCCGATTTTAAACACCGACCTGGGGTGGGCCCACTAGCCATGCTAATAACCTCTTGAGAGTCGAGACCGGCTTCGAAAGAGCTCGTCATCGAATGATCAGCTAGTACCGGTAGTAACTGTCCAAACGCTCTAGCATTCCCTTTCAAGGTAGGGGTGGGTTTTAGCGCCGGGAAATTACATCTCTGTATACCGATAGGGCTCGCTATAATAAGTAGCTGCTGCTATAATAGAGAGCAGCCGGAGTAAAGCCGTTATGCCGAGATATATATGGTACTAAAGCTCTAGCTCATTTTCGCCGACTGCATCATCATCTACCTAGCTAGGTGCAAAAGGTGTGTTGCGGACCGGCCGTAGGCGACAACTTCACAATGAGTTCGGAACTGTGGCTGTGGTTGATGGAGCAGCTTGGGTCGACTCGGGCTCAGGCCAGATTTCGTGGATATCAAAACTTGGTGCCGGCCCACATCACGGAGGTGCAATATTCTTATCTCACCCCTCTATGATCCTCTGTGTACTTTAAATGGCGCCTTTTTTCACGTCCCCTCAGGTCCTTGATTATAATCTTGTGATGATACCTATCCGTGGTAAGCGAGGCGAGGAAAGTAATCCATTCAATCAGATTGCCAGCGTAGAACAAGTGAAGCTTTCAGAGTCAGCGTGAAGTGGGCGCTCTTGACCTCTCTATCTTTTAAATCGAAGGCCTGGGATAGGTAGGTATGCACCGCTTCTCTACCCCGCCTTAGCGATCGACTGCGATGCACAGTTTTCCAGCAGTAGTCATCCCCCTGATCCTAACTGCGGTATTCAATCCACCTGGAGAAATGCTCACCTTACAACTTCTCGCAAGGCCCTCAAACGAGTTTGGGAATGACTTCAAAGAGGTGCCGTCAGTCCAAAGGCGGTGAGAATACGACGCCGAGGCAGACAGTAGGGGACGAGCGGCGAAAATGTACATTACAATAAAAGGGGAAAGCAGGAAGAGAAGAAAATTACATAGTATCCGTCTGTTTCAGAGCATCAGCCTGCGGAAGTACTCCTCATAAATCACTTCCCATCGGGACTTTGAGCGTGACGAGAATAATGTTTTTTTGGATTCCATCTTGCCTCGAGCGGTTCGTCCTGCGTTTTGTTGGGCTGTCGAGATTTTTAAAGTGTATATATTATAAAGTGTGCGGGAGTCCCCTCAACCAATTAGCGTTGGCTCGATGGTCTAGTGGTACGATTCTTGCTTCGGGCTTTCCCCTGAGTTCTGCTCAGATCCAATGTGAGAGGTCCCGGGTTCAATCCCCGGTCGAGCCCATCTGCTGATTATTCCTTTTGCTTTGTTCACATAACTCATCTTGAGCGATAGAGGATTTTTATTTTTATTTTTTTGCTTGCTGTGTGCGATCATCTCTTGTGGCGAGTAGCCAGCCAGCCAGTCAGTGGGTGACTCAGCGACCTAGCTACAGTAGAGAGACGATTAGTCGTGAAGAGTTCCAAAGTGCGCTCGCCCGCCGACTCTCCCTCTCTCGTTGCCGGCGTACAGAATAGGTTCCAATTGCTACGAAGTCGAGAGAGAGACAATACTAGAAGTTGACCCTCACAAATTTTTTAAGGCCCAAATTTGATTTGCCGAAGCATTACGGTACGTAGCCGCCGCCGCGGTTTGGCAGAGCCTGCCTGCCCTTCCGGGCCTGCTTTGGCCGCCCGCCTTTCTTTCTGTCTGTTTGAGTTGAATTAGGTACGTACCTACCTACATACATATATGTTGTTATCACTAAAACAATCACCATTACCCGAACAATCAAGAATCAACAATCAACAACCGACAACCGACGCACTCTGGAGTGAGACCGGTGGAAGAAATGGAAAAAAAGTAGGAGAGAGAGAGATGGACAGAATAGAAATGTATGCCGTGGTGTTACCGGTAGATTAGAGTCCGTCCGTCATAACCCTCTCCCCTACTACTACCACCCACCCAGCCATCGATCATGGTCAAGAGCGAGCCAGAAAATCCGATTAGGCGTTAGTTTAACTAAGCACAGCGAGGTCGGAATAGGGATCGGGTGTCGACATTGGATTCATTTCTTTTCATTTCTCTGTACAAGCACAGAGCACAGCTAAGGAAAGGGTATCTATCTAATCGTAAAGGAACTATGGTACAGACCAGGACCTGCAGTCTCCATCTCCAGCGCCAGATTCAAGAAAGACATTGCTCGCTTCCGCTTCGCGAATCCCGATCCAGAACACCACCTCGTAATATGTATATGTGTATGTATGATGTGTCTTTCCAAAATCACCACCCAGAGAACACCAGTATGCACCGCCGGGACCGAGACCCAGACCGAGACCGAGAAATCATTGAACCACCTCCAGCCCAGCCTGCTGCTGATTCATACTCCCAGCGCTCCCCGAACTCCGGATGCTCAAGTTACTCCCAGCCTGCTGCCTCGGACTCCGATGCCTGCTCCGCGGAAAGCTCGGTATGCGTCCGCTCAATCCAAACCCACTCCTCGCATTACTATCCGCACTACTACTCCCCAACCTCGGACTCGTCCCCGATCTGCCACCATCCTGTAAACCCTCCACAAAGGCCGCGGGAAACAGCCCCCACTTCCCCTTGCTGCTCTGTCCACTCCAGCACCACTGATCTTGGAAAGTATAGCCGATGCAGCTTATCCTGTCCCCCTTACTGAAGCGCAGCCAGCCCCCGTCCTTCATGTCCTTGGGCTTGAAGTCCCACCGCGCAACGGCGAGGAGGCTGCTTTGCGGGTTCATCAATACGTCCTCTTTGGCTGGCATTTCCAGCATGATCTCGCCGGCTGGAAAGGCGCCGCGATCGCCGTCGTGGTAGCCTACACACCATTTCCCGCCGAAGCGTTCGGGGAACGTGATCCCTACGATCCTCGCTCCGTTCGCGAATTTCAGCACAGGGTGGCCTTCGGGATCCCGTGAACTGCTGCGCTCATTTTTAGGATGGTGGTTTGATGTGGCTTGGCCAGAGGGTCGTGTCGCGACCTTCTGCGCGATTTCAGACATGCTGTATGGTGGTAAAGTGGGCTGAGCAGTAGTGAAGTGGATGTCAAAGTCGACGACTTCAGGGAGCACGAAGCCGTATAGGATGGTGATCCCACTGATGGCGGGCAAGGGCCGGGGATGTTTGGCGAGGTGTCTGAGGAGTTGGGGGACGGAGAAGAAGACGGTGGCGTCGTGGTCCTCGATTGTTTTGTGCTCGTCGATGCAGAAGATGCACTGTTTACTTTGCGTTAGCGAGGAATTTTGACAGACGAGGGAGAATTCACGGCGTAGACGGGCTCTTTGAGCGAGTTTGTCTTGACGTGGCATTTGGAGATGAATCTTTGGCGCCATCTGATTCCGCTGCTTCCGTGGATCCCGGACCCTGCTTATAATCAGTATCTGTCACTTCAGACTGGAAACGGAATTGCCTACGCTCTAGTAAACGGTCTTTCTCGACGTCGTTCCATCCAATTTCATATGAGCACTTCACGCATCGCGCTGAGATTGTTGCACTGTAATGTCCCTGATATGGCTGTTAGTTCCTGTGCTGTTAGCCATACCAAGATGGCGCGCAGAAGCGATACGTACGGCTGGCCTTTTCACAATCTTGAAGCCATTCTCTCCTCGCAAAACTGCCTTTGAGCCTTCGCAGAAACCACCAAATTTGTAGAAAGAAGTATCATGCCGTATGGGACAGTCAACCGACTCCATTGAAGCAGTCGGTGTTGGATGGTGGTACTCATCAGGGCCCACAGCAATCTTCTCGTTCTCATGGTCAATACCCGTTACAACTTCGATACCTGGCTCAACCCCCTTTCCAAAATCAGGAGTCTGGAGGGTTGTAGCGATCGCTTCACCCACTAGGGTTCGCCAAGTCTCGGTTCCGCCTGAACCTATTGAAGTTCCATGTTCACTGAGCGGAGGGCTCAAAGGTGCTGCTCTGAGACCCAGTATTGAGTCTCGGCTATCCTGCCTTGGAGACTGACAGGTATCTTGAAGGATTGAGCTAGTTCTTGAGCTCCTGGTCCCCTGAGAAGCCTGACCTTGACTTTTTTCTCTCGTCATCAATATATCGTGACCGCTCAAGCTCAGCCGCGAACTTCGTGCTTCGACTGGACTTGTTGCTATACTTGTTGCTATAGTTGCGCTTCCAAAGTTGGGAGAGCCAGGCCGTGGGACATCGACGAGCGACTTCCTTTCTCGCTCTTCATCAATTGAAGACACGGATTTCCTCATTTCGATCAAAAATGACAACTTTGACTGCCTGCGTCTTTCCAGGAACTCGTCATTGGCATCTACTCGAGAGCGGACAGCCTCCCTCGGTATTAGTCCTTTATCCCCATCTGGAGGAGATGGTGGTGATATATCCCGAGACGATCGTTGCCTCTGATGAGCAGAACTAGCGCCGCTACGGGCTGGCGTCCGCAGGTGGAAATGAGAAGCGCCGTTGATAGCACAGGGGCTCTCGGTCCTCGCAGGAAGCCTGGGAGGATCTTCTATAACGGTGTTGTTGATCTGAAGTGGTTCGGTAGGCGAATCGGGACAGTTGAGTGTACGAGAAGTTGGCGGCAGCGGTTTCCGCAGTGTAGGCAACCTCTCCAGCCTCATCTTCGCAAGTCTCTGACTCGCGTGTAGTTGCTCTCGCAGACCCTCGAAGATATTCACACAAGTTGCGCTGCAATTTTTGGCTTCCTCCAGCGCATCAACGCAGGTCGCTGGGTCAAACATTTCCGAGTCCTCCTCTATGTCGTCAATCTTATCGCGTACCTCGTTCTTGAGATCCTGTAGCTGTTTTTGAATAGTATCTGCGGTTCAGTTAGCAGTCTTCACGTCACAGGTATTCCAACAGCCTTACTGTCCTCCACCAGAGCCTTGGTGAACGGCTCCCCGCATATCGCTACATTCTGGCGGTAAGCTTCCACGATCGCCTGCGAGCTCTGTGTCAATGATATCTGCAGGTATTGCGCTGTATCGGAAATCTGCAGTGCTCTCCCAGCCGGTACTCTACTCGCAGATGCAACGAGTCTGCCAGCGATCTTGATGCCAGCGTCGATGGCCTTCAGCAGCGCTCTCACGGGAGGCACAAATTCGTCCCCCATAGTCGGTTGACTCGGTTCAAGACCGGCTGTCAGGGACTGACTGGCTCCTGGTTCCTGGCTCCTGGTTCCTGGTTCCTGGGATGCTATCCGGATGTTTTGCTAGTCAGAGCGAACGGTGTTTTGCGAGTTATGGTGCACCGGATCGAAGACTGATTGATGCCTGGATGAATGGATGAATATTAGAAAGGATGAACGGGGTACGTAAGACACTCACTCGCTTTGCCCTATCACTTTGGGCGGCTGTGCAAGCCATGCATCCATACTACCACGGCGATGCACGCCGCACGTGGGGAATCATCTGATCTTGTGGCACGACCAGTTGGAGACAGAGAAGAGGAAGAAGAAAAAGGCGGACTGCTTGATCCCCCGTATATATATACTTCGAGAATCTCCTCGCCCCCCCGCTATTTTGGACAGCCAGCACTCAGCACTTTGTACAGTAAGATGTATCCCGGGCAATATGTCAACACTCGCTTATTAATTTTTCATCCAAGCTTTGAGATGGGATTTATTAGAGATTCAAGCATCGACAAGCTCCCGCAGCCGTCCAAGATCCACCGGCATCTCCACTTTCCGCTCCGTACGGTATCTGACTGGTAGCAACGGGCCCGCACTGTTGTGTCAGCCAATGGGAATCTCATGCAGAATAATACTGGGTGGGTATATATCCATATATATATATATATAGATTGTATATATCTATATATATATAGATAGATAGATGTATGGTACTTTGGTGACCACGAGAGAGGCACGCCAGATGACAGACAGCCCTCGATATCTATCCATCCATCCGAATACCAGCAGTACCCACCGATTCCCTTCGAATTCGTACGAAACCAAACCAAAACATCAAAACATCAAAACATCAGACGAAAGTGGCATAATCACCCCCCTGGCACGCTCGAGCATCAACAAACAGCCTCAACTGCTATCTGCAACAAAAAAAAAGAGCCTTTCTCCTGGAGGGTTTTATTTCCGGCTGAGCGTCTGCAGATCTCGGAGGAGCGGGTTCAGATAGGTGACGGACGTCCCTGTCGCCAGGGCAGGTTTTCCGTATCGTACCTATCGTTTTTTGGGGGGCCGAGAAGTGACGAGGCACGTGACTTCACCGGTTGTTCATATTGGCTTGGTTGGTCGGTTGGTTGTGCAGAGGATGTCGAGAAGATGTGGTGAGGTTTGTTGGCCAATCTGGCTGTGTGCTCTCCGGGGGTTCCTTTCTGAAGAATCCGAGAATTATATGATATGTCAGGCTGTGGAAATCACTCGTTCTTCAACGTCATATGCGCGATGTTTCTATTTATGTCTGTGCCCTCCCTCCTCTTTTTGTTTTTGTTGCATGTCGCATTCTGCAGACGTGCGTCAAGAATGCGCGTCACCCCCCACCCTTATCTGGGCGGCTCTCATAGGGTCACGTTTCTGATCAGCCGGAGCGCAAGAAATTAATAAAGCCCGGATGATATCCAAAGCGGGGATTCTGCTTTTTTACCCTGCGATCCGGGACATACAACTACAATTATTTATAGACAGGTGGTGTGCCTACTATTCGATGCGAAATGCAACCCACCGTCGTCGCCGCTTCATATCCATTACCCATCATCCATCATCCATCATCCATCATTGGCTTCGACGCAGAGTTTTGTTGCACATCGACGAACTGGATTCCCGGGAATCAAACCTACTGATCTCCTCCCCTCATTCGCCCGTGGCGGGATTTTGTTGCACGTCGCAACGAACTGATTTCCCGGGACTCGTCTGAAGCCCTTTCATTCGTCGTTTGTTATGCCTGCCCAGACACCTCCTGGACCCCCTGGCATGAGAGTGGGACCTGACGTCACAGCTAGCTAGCTGTAAGGGGCCCTCCGTAAAGTAAAGGAGACTCCGGATGGGATGGGCCGGGGAAATTATTCAGTCCGGCGTGGAAGTGAAATTATTATCGGTTTTGCTAACATTTCTTGTGATGTACGAACCGCTTCTTGATCAATTGTTAACAAAAACCTGATATCCTCTTGAGATACGATTACGCGAATCGATTGATTCAATTTTCCATGCTTTAATATGATAAGTCGTCGTATCGCTTGAGATCCAATATAGTATTGACTTGATCTAAGATTCGCTTGGTTTTGGTAGATTCGTATCGTCGACATCGTCAAAATCGTTGAAAAAAAAGCACTGCAAGCCCGCATCTCATTCAATTCTACGCTTGAGAACGTAATCAGATATATGAAAATCCTGAATATTAATACCCTACGAGTTTGCCGATCTTATGATATAACTCTTATTATTATAGCTTTAATTTCCGTTGAGATGCAAGCAATTGAGATCGTGAAACATCGCTAGATGAAGCTCTTGGAAATCTATATTTTCTATAATTTCAGAGCTGACAACGTAAATCGATACATAATCGTTATAGAAATCCATAATTTACGAGTATCCTTTTTTTTTCTCTACTATTATCATAGCTTTAACATTCGTTGCGATGCACGCAATCAAGTCGGGAAATTTCATGAGATTTTCGCCTGCCTCTGGTACGTAGCGTTTGACGCCGGGCAGCATGGTATCTCCGGACATGATCGTTCCTGTCCCCTCCAGCTGCGAGGTCAAGCCCTACCATTATCTTATCGGCCAGATAAGATACGAACACCACATACTACACACGACACGGCAAAGTCAGTTTTCGCCATGTCGGATGGGCTTGCGACTTATCGGCTTTTGTTGCAAAACAAAGATGCACATTTTCAATTTTCGTGGACCCTGGAGGTCTGTCCTGATTATGCTTTGAGGGCAGACAGACCCCTGGCGGACCGAGCGTCGGGGGCCGGCCTGGCGACGAAGAGGCAGAATACGAGGCTCGATCAATCGAGAAGGTACCGGTATTGGTGGTGCCAGACAGCTACCGTCCTCGTGTAGAAACGCTGTCGGCCAGAACGCGAGAGAACTGCCCTTTTCCGGCGTTGCGGGCATCCCAAAGCAGTCGTGCGCGAGGGCGTGTGAGAGCCTCTCGAAGCCTCAGGGAGATAGATAGTCGTACTACGTAGATTCCAGGTACCGAGCGCTGTTGAAGCTCGAAAACTTTAATCAAGGCCTCGAACTGCACATTTGCTGAACCTCGAAAACTCTGTCAGAGTCTCGACCTGCGCTGTTTAGGTTAATCTTGCCGACCATGAGGCCAGACCCTTCGGCTGATTTTCAAGCCCTTATCGGACCTCGAACTGTACAGAGTAGGTACAACTACCTACCGGTACCTACCTACTCGCGTTGTCGTTACAGGCCACACACTCTCCTACTACCTACACCACGAGGGTCAGAAGAAACCTTACCTCGTTCGATGAAAAACCCATCCCCTATTTCGGGTGCTGAAAAGGGGGGTAAATCATTCGACCTGCATCAGTCGACAATACGAATTTGATACGTAAAAGCACCTCCTCGATCAAGCTCGCCAACTTCATCCCTCTGCCCATCCACCGTTGCCTGTGCCTCGAACATAGATCGTGTGTGCCTCAACCTGTCAACTTGCAATTGAGCGCTGCGTTGCGCTGCGACTTGTCTGACTTTCTTCTTCTCATGCGTCTCGCATAACCTTTTGCAAGCCAGGCGTGGCGTGCCCTTTCCTTATCCCAGCTCACGGGCCAGATTCTGGTCGGCATAACCATCAGTGGCAATCACGCAATAAAGTGTAGTACTGTACATACAGTCTGCGAAGCGAGAGGGCCCGAATTAGGTTTACAGAACAGAAAGAATTGTCGAGGCGGCACGGGCAGCAGCCAACCACCAACCACCAACCACCAAATCGATGGGCAACGCTGCGTACGTACGTAGTACGTAGTACTGCGTCGCAGGCGTAAGTATTACCCCTCGAGGGTAGGGAAAACAGGGGGTTTAAAGTGGAAACTAAACTTTTGAGGCACCCTCGAGGGGTAATACTTAGGCCTGTAACGTGGTATATTTCTGATCGGACATTACCGGAGCTTTTATGCATTAAGGTTACCCCATCACGAATTGGTGTTCTTCTAGAAAAAAATTTACTACGGTACTGTACCAGTGGTGCCTCTCCCAGGCGTAATACCTCAGTGCAGCCCTAACAGCCCTAGCAGCCCTAGCAGCCTTAACAACCTTAACCAGCTTCCCGCCTGAGGGTGCCTCCTCACAAGCCTGGAGGGCCCATGGCGAAAACCACCTACCACACCCAACCACTAGACCTACCATACACCCAATCCGATCGGGCAACCCCGAAGCGCCCGCCAAAGCTGTGCACGCCTCCAGCGGGTCCAGGTGTTGGAGCCGCAGAAGTACACGCAGGGACTACATCGCTGCATCGCAGAACTCGGAGCTGAGTCAGGGTGAAGAGGGCGAGGGCGAGGGCGAGCTTCCGCGCTGGGTGGGAATCAGGGTCGGTTATTCAAGGTTGTAGCGGCGTGTGGTTCTTGTTCTTGTGCTACGTACTACTATATTCTGCTGGGAGGTTTAAAGGCAGATAGGGAAGTTCATGGCAGATACTACGTACGTAGTAGGTGTGTATGATAGTGGTCGGTTTCGCTAGAGCCGTCTGTCTGGTTTCAAGGGTCAGGGCGAGCTTCCGAGTTGGGCTGGAATCAGAGGCAGTGAGTTAAGGTTATAACGGTATATTGTTCTTGTATATTCTG